GGCCATTGTTGCGGTCAAGCGCTAGCCGGTTGGTCTCAACTTGGACTGGTCGGGGCGGGGAACCCACGGAATGGGAACACCGACATTGCGGTGACCGGCGGCAAGTTTGTTCGATGCCTAGGTCTCGGACCATAAGGGGAAGGGGGGAAAAAAAAAAACCACACCCCAGCAAGGACTGGTAATGGCGATGGGTACGGGTTTAGCCCGTCAGGTGTACTACGTAGGCGGATTTGGTCCGTCTTACAGTACTAGCAAAGAGCAAGAGCAAGGCTTCTCTCTCACTTTTCCTTCTATTTCCTTCCTTTTTCGTCTGACCAAAACCAAAAGGTTTGCCCAGCAAAGCAGCTACAGTACACGATGGCTCAGCTAGACAAGGGGCCACGACTGGGCTTGTGCAGGTACGCAGCCCCAGGCGGGTGCGGACACCATTGCGGACAGGGCAGGTACCGGTACATGCTTCTTCTCCACCCACGTCCAAGTCCATGCCCATGCCCGCCCTGTGGATTATGACCTGTCTCGCCCTGTGGAACTGCCCTGTGGCTAGCCCGGTGCTTCCACACGGGATCTCCCCAATCACGGCTACCCTGTGCCATTCCGGTCTCCTGTCTGCCCTCTCTGTTCCAGCGTCTTGGGGATCCGCCAAAAAAGAAGCGGGGACCAAGGGTCCAACCGGCACCGTTTCTCGTTTGCTTCCTTGCCCATCCCATCGCATCTGCTCCCTTCCCTGCCTGCTGGAATTCAACACTTCAACGAAAACACGACCAATCAGCGTGTTTCATTGCGTCTGAACTTCCCCAACTCTTTCGGCCGTCGCATGACGGAAGTCTCCATTCCCCATCCCCCATTCCACCCAAAGAAAGTCACTGCGCCCAAGAAAAAAAATTCACCGCACCATACTACCTATGCGTACCTGGCACCAGGTACCTTCTCAGCACAAGCAGCACCACCACTCGCCGCAACCACGCCAGATTAGCACGTCCGTCACCCGTCACTCAATCTGCCCGTCCCGCCTGCTCCTGCCGCTGTGCCGCTGGGCATTGTTTGGGGAAATAGCCTTGGCCGTCTCAAAGCATTGGGATTGGGATTTGGTCTTTCCGGAGTGGACGAAACCTAGCCAAAGGAGACTTGGTTTTACTTCATTTTATTTTTTGGCTTGGGCCTGGCTGCAGCAACTTCTCCCTGAGAATAGGTACTTCTCGACCGACGACGACGCCAACAATCCCTGCTCACCATCACCTCACACAAACAAACACACACATACCTCGCACACGCCTCACACCGTCCTATCCCTTGCCGATTCCCGCTGGAGAAGGGAAAAAAAAAACAGACTCAAATCCCACACACCCTTCTTGTCCGCCTGCTCAACTACTTACGCTCTCGACCTCCGGCCTTCTTCTTCCTCCCTTGACATCTTCGACTCTCTTTTCTTCCCTTCTTCTCCTCCTTCCTCTCGCTATCTCTCTCTCCTCTCCGCCTTTCTCCAACCTCTCCATCACCCGTCCGCTCGACGAAAAGAAAGAAAGCTGGGCTTCGCAGTTGAGTCGCCTCCAACAACATCTCACACATTGCCAGGTCAGTTTAACACCCACCATCCACCCTTGTCGTGTCGTCCTACCCCTCCGTCACCTTCGCACCCGCCTCGACCCACATACACACCCGGTTGTACTTCTCATCCCCCCTCCCACCCCAAGGAGCTGGGGCTACGCCAACTACAAGATCCACTTATTATTGTCTGGTGGTGTCCCCAGCTGCCGATGAGCAGTAGCCTCGCAGATCCAACGATTCCAGCTTCTGCGAACGTCGTCCTCCGAGTCTCTCCTGAAATCTCACCTACTCCCCACCACAAATCCGACTCGTTTGTTTTCCACCAAACTTCCTCCTCCACCCTCACACCCTCTCAATCCTTACTTGGAGTCACTTTCTCTCGCGGGCAGACATCTTCTTGTTGCTTCTGGCGTCCATTGTCTGCTTCGACAAGCTAGCTGACCTTATTTACCCCTCGCCAGACTTTTTTTCCCTCTTTTCCCCCTCCTGTTGAGATCTCCCGCACCGACGAAGCTCGACTTTATTCACAATGCCTGCGGCCACTCCCTCCGCTAACGGTGCCAATGGCGCCAAGGCAGCCAGCGGTCTGTCTGCCAACGACAACATCACACGCTTCAGCGCTCCCAGCCGTCCTCTGAGCCCTCTTCCCGAACATGCTCTGTTCAACGACAAGACCAGATGTTTCGTCTACGGTCTGCAGCCCCGCGCCGTCCAGGGTATGCTTGACTTCGACTTCATCTGCAAGCGCAAGACCCCCTCTGTTGCTGGTATCATCTACACCTTCGGTGGTCAGTTCGTGAGCAAGATGTACTGGGGAACCAGCGAGACCCTCCTCCCCGTTTACCAGGAGGTTCCCAAGGCCATGGCCAAGCACCCCGACGTCGACGTTGTTGTCAACTTCGCCTCCTCCCGAAGTGTCTTCAGCTCCACCATGGAGCTCCTGGAGTACCCTCAGATCAGGACCATCGCCATCATTGCTGAGGGTGTCCCTGAGCGCGTAAGTTACACGTCACGACTTGCCAGCATTGTCCCTATTTGACTGACATCCGTCCAGCGTGCCCGTGAGATTGCCCACAAGGCTCAGCAGAAGGGTGTCACCATCATTGGCCCCGCCACTGTCGGTGGTATCAAGCCCGGCTGCTTCAAGATCGGTAACACCGGTGGTATGATGGACAACATCGTTGCCTCCAAGCTCTACCGCAAGGGTTCCGTTGGTTACGTCTCCAAGTCTGGTGGTATGTCCAACGAGCTCAACAACATTATTGCCAACAACACCGACGGTGTCTACGAGGGTGTCGCCATTGGTGGTGACAGATACCCCGGAACCACTTTCATCGACCACTTGCTCAGATACCAGGCCGACCCCGACTGCAAGATCCTCGTCTTGCTCGGTGAGGTTGGTGGTGTTGAGGAGTACAAGGTCATCAAGGCCGTTGAGGACGGTGTCATCACCAAGCCCATTGTTGCCTGGGCCATTGGTACCTGCGCCAGCATGTTCAAGACTGAGGTTCAGTTCGGTCACGCTGGTGCTTTCGCCAACTCCACCCTGGAGACGGCCAAGACCAAGAACGAGAAGATGAAGGCTGCCGGCTTCTACGTCCCCGAGACATTCGAGGACATGCCCCAGGTCCTCAAGGCTCTCTACGACAGCTTGGTTAAGAACGGCACCATCAAGCCCCAGCCTGAGCCCGTCGTTCCCAAGATCCCCATCGACTACTCTTGGGCCCAGGAGCTTGGTCTCATCCGTAAGCCCGCTGCCTTCATCTCCACCATCTCCGATGACCGTGGCCAGGAGCTCCTGTACGCTGGCATGCCCATTTCTGATGTTTTCAAGGAGGAGATCGGCATTGGTGGTGTCATGTCCCTTCTTTGGTTCCGTCGCCGTCTGCCTGCCTACGCCTCCAAGTTCCTTGAGATGGTTCTCATGCTTACTGCCGACCACGGTCCCGCTGTGTCCGGTGCCATGAACACCATCATCACCACCCGTGCCGGCAAGGATCTCATCTCCTCGCTCGTCGCTGGTCTGTTGACCATTGGTTCCCGCTTCGGTGGTGCCCTTGACGGCGCCGCCGAGGAGTTCACCAAGGCCTTTGACAAGGGCCTGAGCCCCCGTGAGTTCGTCGACAGCATGCGCAAGGCGAACAAGCTCATCCCCGGTATTGGTCACCGTGTCAAGTCCCGCAACAACCCCGATCTCCGTGTCGAGCTTGTCAAGGAGTACGTCAAGGCCAAGTTCCCCACCCACAAGCTCCTCGACTACGCCTTGGCTGTCGAGAGCGTCACCACCTCCAAGAAGGACAACCTCATTCTCAACGTCGATGGCTGCATTGCTGTCTGCTTCGTCGACCTCCTGCGCAACTGCGGTGCCTTCTCCTCCGAAGAGGCCGAGGACTACCTCAAGATGGGTGTCCTCAACGGTCTGTTCGTTCTCGGCCGTTCCATCGGTCTTATTGCCCACTACCTCGACCAGAAGAGACTGCGCACTGGTCTGTACCGTCACCCGTGGGATGACATTACCTACATCCTCCCCCAGCTTGGCTCCGGCCCGCCAGGTACCGAGGGCAGAGTGGAGGTTCAGATGTAAGGTGGGAATAAAGGTTAGCCGGGGAGGATTATGGGTCGCCACGGGATGTGGCTATAGAAATGGAGTAAATGATTTTAACGTCATGCGAGGGATGATGGTGTGCTAAATGGCGTCTTGTACGACAAGATATATACGTGTAGTGCTGGTAGTCCTAAAGGGATTACACTAATGGTTTGCCCGTTCTCATCACCAGTTTTTCTGCTTAATGTGATGGAATGTTGTGACAATTATGTTTCACTCCCACGAGATCATGAAATACAACTATTATAAACCTCGCTTCATACATAATATGTATATCCCTGCAGAAAGGTTACCGATCAACATGCGGCTCGTGGTTAGAATCTTGCATCAGTATTCATATTCGAGTGACTACGCCATCAAATTGCACCATATTTCATTCCACTGGGTGCAGTAGCCAAGGTTAAGTCTACTGATGGATAGTGACAGGGGTTTGTGTTCAGCGCCGACCGGCAAGTTCCGTCACGACCAGCGCACGGGCCATCGAAATCCTAGAGAGCTCAGTGAATTTTGGATCCCTTCTTCGAAATGGCACTAATCGACGACAAGGTCCTTGAACCTCACGACATTTGCGGCACGGGAAGAACGGAACTGCCACGGCTGGTAGACAATTGTAATGAACTCCCGAATCTCCTGAAACCAACGTTCAATTGAGCCCCGTCAAAACCTCCACCTCCGAACCAAGGCTAACGCGCAACCTGCAACACAGAATAATACTACACGAGCAAGACGCACCACCTCCATCACCCACCCATCCGTCAACGACCTTCAACGAAAGAAAGGCTAAGGCCAAGGCGCGCAAATCCCGTTCCGTATCGCAATCGATCATTAGCCGGCAAGAAAGCAAGAAATCATGTCCTTCTTCCGCATCACCCTCCACCGCTCGGCCATCGGTCTGCCCAAGAGCACGCGCGGCGTTCTCGACGCCCTCGGCCTCCACCGCCGCACGCAGACCGTTTTTCACCCTGTCTCGCCGCAGTTCGCTGGTATGATTATGAAAGTCAAGGAGCTCGTCAAGGTCGAGGAGGTTGATCGCGCGCTGAGCAAGCGCGAGCTGCATGAGCAGCGGAGGCCGGATCCCGGATTCTACGTCGAGAAGGCTGTTGCGCGGTGAAAGCCATACCTGGTTTTAACCACGACTTGCTCCTCGGAAGCCGGTGTTAAACTCATGGGCTCGTGATCTAGGGGAGATTTGTTACGTTGTGAAAGGAGAAAGGTTTGGAGGTTACGGATGTGGTTGAGGAGATTGAAAGATTGAAGCCAAGATGGGAAAAACTGCAACGTACCAGAGGATGAAGCCACTGGAGGTTTTCAGTTCCCAGAGAGGAAACTTGAGACTTGAAGAGTCTAATCGTGTACCACCACCACGAAGGAAGATTTGTACAAAAAAAAAAGACTTGGCGGGAATGTACAACACCTGCGGAATTCGCAGTTCTCAGCGAAATGCATCAAAAAAGAAGTTCACTCAATTACATTCACGGGATCATGTGCAAGATCGGCGTGTGATCCATTGGCCCGTGAGAACACTAGCAACGAACGACAATGACTGATGTGACTGTTTTGCGGGGAATCACGAAAAGAAAGCTACCAAGAGACCTGAGATGCTGCTAATAACCGTGACCTATTTTCTCGTCATCTCCCCCCCCGGACTCAGAGGCCCCTACAAAGCGGGCGACCCCGCCAAAAATATAATTATGTATGTATCTTCCCCAGTTCTTCATACCAGTTGAGCAAGCCCGAAACTGGCGGAATGCAATGAATGATGGCGCCCCTCCCCTACTCCCATGGTTCTCATGTGATATACCTCCCCAAAGCTCCTAAAAGCGGCTTAAGGGTTCCAAGTTCGTCAAGTGAGCTAGCCATGTGCCGAGTTAGGACCGACGGGATAGTCTTCTTTGCTAAAGTTGACTGTCCATTTCAGGATGTTTCAGACCTAGACCTGGACGCCTAGAAACCTCGAGCCTTGTCGATATACTCCTGGGATGGGGTCTCGTACTCGCTGACAAAGTAGTTCTTAGCGTTCTTGCCGAGCCAGACGGTCAGCTTGGAGAGTTCCTCGCGCAGTCGGGACACAGATTGTTGGTCCATGTTGGTTTGGGCAACGAGTTCCGGCAACGAGACTACTTTCGTGTTAGTGCTTGTGATGCGAAAACATACTCGCTGACATACCCATCAAGCGGCACAGGTGCTCTGGGCCATAAGTGTCGCAGACAGTCTTAGTCTTCTCATTCTCGCCAGCCTTCTCCCACACCTTACGAATCTCATGGTACTGGGGACGCTCAAACCTTGGACAATGTTAACCGGGTTGCAAACGAAGGGAAGTGTTGTGTGTCTAGGACATACCGGTACAGAAGAATCCGGCTGAGGGACTTCTCAAAGTATTCGCGGAGACCAGCGACAACCTCCTCAAGGATATCCATGTTCGCGGACCCATCATCTCTGTTGGGACGTTCATAAGCAAGATAATCGTTCAAGATTTCATCGACAGGATGAGGGTGAGGGAGGGGAACGAGTTGGTTGTTCTTGGTAATGTTCTCCCAGTCATCCACGAGCATCGCCTTGATGTGATCAGGGATGGGCAGCTTGATGGACGGGCGGGCATGAAATCCATCTTCCTATTCGTTTGGTTAGCATTCTGCAGGTCGTGCAAATGTAGAAACACGACGAATGAACACGTTAATCAGCTATGCCACTTGGCACATCTGTGGTAATATCCTCCCCAGTTACCAGCCATCGAACATACGCTGATTGTCTCCCATGAGTCCGGAGAGCCGTACAAGGCCGGTGCGTCTGCTTCTTTACCCGGCGGAGAACGAGGCCTGCGCTTCTTCCGTACAGACTGCTCCCTCCTGCGGGTCTTTGGCAGATGGACATATCGGTTGTCGAAGTTGATCCTCCCATCCTTGGTGACGTAGGTATTGTTACGGGAAGGCAACAAGCATAGATGGTCTTTAGCCACGGCTGGTTCCTTCCATACGACTGCTTTGCTATCACACGGTTGCCAGCGTGTTGTGTCCACCAGACGAGCATTGCGAGTGCGAGGAGCCATAGTAGTGGCTGTTTGTCTAGCCAATTAGAGGGCCACGACGTTGTTAATGGGCTTACGCCACTAATTAGGTGTCGAGTTGCAGAACACCCGGTACGTATGTGAAAACTCAATTCAATTGAGAAAGATATCGTATCGCTAGGCGGTGGTCGGTCGGAAATCTTGAAATGAGAAGTGACTTGTGAAGTTACGCAAGGAAGGTGCGGCTCAAATTTGGCTGTGCCGCTAAAGCGCCAAAGCCTGTGCGGAACCAGCGCCTTTGTACCAATGTTGGGCGAAGCGCAAGATCTTAGACTGAATGCTGCTTCGGTCGAACATTGCGTCGAAAACAAAGGAGAATTTCAACGCTGCTGTCTCGCTTTCGCTTATTGCTCTCGTTAACGTAGCTTTCATAACGGCAATTATCAGCCACGTCTGTTTGAGTAGCGTGCGTAGTCTCCTGATTTGTCGGGGTTTGCCGCCTCGTAACGTTGGCTGTCGATGAAGTATCCGTGTAAATACTATCGCGAGGATTTACTGGCGTTTCCCAAAGAAACTCAACACTAGAATCGCTTGACTTGCTGGCGAAGCTGGGCACTCTGTCGCATTTCGCCATGGGTTTGGCTTTGGGCGAGACAAGTGTGTATGTCTGATCTCTCGCATTTCCCTCCCAATTGATCGTTCTCCATTGAGGTAAGAAGCTCTTGCAACGACTTTCGATTTCTTCCTCGTCGGGCTCCCAGTACTCGAAAACCGACACTAGATCGACATCACTAGAGGATTGACGAAAGGGCGGGTTGATGAGGGGGCTCTCCTCATAGCCCCAGTAATAGCCATTGTATGCCGAGTAGTGGGCTCCAGATGGCATCTCAGAGGGATACCCAAGGACGTTGTGTCCTAGAATCTGATCGTGGTCTGTCGTACAGGAGGCCGGCATATCGGTAGGACCAGCATCGTTGCCATAATTTTCTTGGAAGATGCGATCAGGTTGCACCAAGTTCGAGTCGTGTTGATTTTCATTGACATCCTCATACAAGCCATGCTGACGGTCTATCCGCCCAGAAGTAGATTGGGGAGTTGAGAAGTTCACTCGGTCCCTGCTGTTCCAGTTGCTGGCGTCGCTCATACTGAGATGTGTCGATGATCGAAGGGTAGCCATGTAAAAAGAGTATCAACAAGCGTGGAGTAATGTTATGAAGTCCTCATAAGCGGGTCGAGAAGGAGTCTAAAGCTCTCAATTTGTGGCCAGTGGTTGATGAATCGGAAGGATAACGTGACGGTAGTTGATGGAGATGGATCGTTGAAGGGAATAAGTGATTGTAGGCAGGTATGTCAAGGAACATCACCTCACTTCCACCATTCTTCAGACGGAAGATACATTGAGGGCGAGGTCCTTATAATGGCGGCCCAGAGATGATTCTATGTCCGCCTGCAGCTCTTCACTGCAGGCTCAACAGCCCCACTAGGCCTGAGGCTGTTCGCCCCTTGTTGTCTCCAGTCCTTTCTCGTTTTGTGGTGTTGTTTCACGAAACCTCACAATGTGCCTGTCCTTGCGGGCATCTAACAATGACAAAAGGGGAGAAAGCAGAACTCAAGAAACGAGAGCATGAAAACGACATAAAAACAGAGGTTTGTTTCAATGCTTACCTGTTCAAGATCAAAGTCTCTTGCTCGTCGAGGGCCACGGCCGCTGGCGGCAACTCCTGCAGTTCGCTCTTCACTACCACGAGCCGAGTCTGTTCCGTTGGCGCGGAGGCCTTTTTTGGGGGCTTTGGCGCTGCTCTTCTGGCGAAGGTCTTTCATCTGGGCGTGCAGCTGGCTGGCCAGCTCCTTGTTCTCTTCAGTGAACTTGCGGATGCGGTCGATAGAGACCCAGTCGTCCCAGGTGTTCTTCCAGCCCTTGTAATGAATGCGGTACTGAAATCCCTCGCCACTATCGGCCGGCTGGATGTCCAGAATCTTCGCCTCATACAGCATCTCACCGTGGAAGCAAAGGACTTTCTCGTCCTTTGAGAACGGCTGGGGCGGTTGGCGTGCGGGCGCCATGGTTGTGATGAAGTTTGTGACGGCCTAGAATAACTCAAAACTATAGGATGATTTTGTGAAGAGTGGCAGCAACCAAGTCTGGATGAGAGCTTGATGCCGAAGGGTGACTGCTCGGTCAAGGGCGATGAAGTTAAATTCTCGGACAGTGCGTAGGATGAGAACACACGGCCAATCGTGACACTGATTAGGGGAAGACTCTCAGGGGTCTCGGCCAGTAGCACAGTACAAAATAAAATGCCTACAGGATGCGGCCCTTTGGACAGATCCGGATAACAGTGCACAGTGAGTCGCTAACACGGTATATATACCTACTGAGCGGGTTAATATCTGGTTCAAAACAACACGAAAATGGGAGGGAAATGACCTCGCTGATTGTTATTCTTCAACAAGAATATGTTTGAGGACGTGAAATGCCGTTGGCGACGTTTTCCGTTGAGAAACGGTTTGCGGTGGATGAGGTGAAGATGGCAAGCGTATTCGGCGGGTGAATTCTTTCCACGGAGTGAAACGCGCTGAGGCTCATTAACGCGTCCTGCCGGAGCAACCGCGTCTGGCCCAAAGAGCAAGCGCCACCCAACTCAGGGCACCTTAACACCTTGACCAGTCGCAGTAGTGTTCCTCACCTCAACACACCCCTGCTGCGATCCTGAGGAAGATTAGGACAACCATTGTCGAAGTAATATCTCAGATCCATCCTATCTACTGCATGCATCTCTGGATTTGCTAGGTTCATCAAGCGACCTCGCCCATCATGGCGCCCACCGAGTCTGAAATTTTACAAAACTATCTCATCGTCCCAGCCCAGCTGCCATCCATCATCAGTCTTGAAGAATTCACAGAGCTCTTCCCTAAAGCGCAACGGGCAAACCCACAGATTCGCTCGCTGTATCGCGACTTCCAACACCAGAGAAGAACACTTGTGGACACGGTAGCGGAAAACATATCGGAAGAGGAGAAGAGAGGCAGATACATTAGACGCGACATCGCAATTGCCCGACGCAAGGCCGCAAATGAAGATGCCGACCAGGAGCTTGAGATTGAGAGAGCAGTACGTCTCAAGTCACTCAGTGGAAGTCCTGACCTTGCTAACCTTGATACTAGCTTTTTGGCTCATCTGGAGCCGAAGACCCCAAGCATACACTTCAATCTATTATTCCCGAAATGGACACCGCAATAGCGGATCTGGAGGCAGAGATCGGGAGCCTAGAGGCCCAAGAAGCAGCTCTTCTCGAGTCTGTTAAGCAGACTGTCGGCACCATGAGCGACCTCCGCTATGGTCGACTCTCTAACCCCAAGCTCAGAGACGATGTGATTCAAGGCCTAAAAAGTGTGCAGGATGCCTGTGAAGGGAAAAGTTGATCCAACTAACTAAAGATTACTATTTGGCACTACGTAATCCATGACCGGGTCGTAAACCATGTCTCTCAGATAACCGCAGCACATCTAAACCGTGTGTTGTGCCTCCCAGCTCCTCCAATGCCGCTCTCCAACCCTCATCATACTCGCTTACCGCGCAACACCACCGGCGGGGGCAGCAGCAGCAGGAGGAGCGCCAGCGCCAGCTTGACGCTGGTCCATGGTGTTGTTCATGCGGCGGTTCATCAGGGTACGGCTGCCGAAGGAGACAAGGAGCATGAAGAGCCAGTTGGGGACCAAGTTGAAGGCCCAGAAGAAGTAGCCGACGGGGATGGACAGGTTGTTCTGAGCGACCCAGCTGTTGAAAGGGTGGAAGATGTTGTCGTTCAAAATCCACTCCTCCTTGTCGTTCTTCTTCCACAGGTCGACAATGTCATCCGACGTCGTAGTAGTGACGTTGAGACGCTTCCTGTAGATGTCGACCTGAGATCCCTGGGGAAGCATGTTGATGGACCAGATGGACGCAGTGCCGGCGGACCAAGCGTTGCAGAGGACAGGCTGGTCATCGCAGTTGATGAGACCCATGTGGGGGGATTCGGGGAGCTTGGCGAACTTGGTCGCGGTCTCGTTGAAAGCAGTCTCGATCTTCTCGCAGTGGCCTGAGGTAAAATTAGCATTTCACATTCAATCAAAGTTGCGTGATGCGATTAAAGCGTACCGAAACAGGTCTTGTTGCGACCAGTGATCAGAACCCACCACTCCTCAGGCTTCGCAGCCTCAGGCTTGACAGGAGCGTAGAGAACATCCTTCCAGTTGTCGACAGTCAGGACTGAGACCTTCTTCTCGGTCACTGGCTCGGGCACGGCAGCCTCGCCGGGGGCTTCTGGCTGCTTGACACTAGGCGCAGAGCCACCGAAGGAGCTAAGGAAGTTCTGGAACTGGGCCTTGTACTGCTCGAATTGCGACTCAGCCGCCGTCGCGAGAAGCGGCAGGGCAAGGAGAGTGGTGGCAGACACGCGCATGATGTCGGTTATGTGAAGTTGAGGGTGAAGGTCGAAACAGGTTTCGCGTTCAGCGTCCAAGACACTGATGCAAGTTGGCGTGAGGGGAAAGAACGCGAACTAGTGGTACACACGAAAATGGGTAAACGGAGATTACGCCGACTACACCAAAGGCCAAGGAGGGACGATAAAGTATGGGATGAGAGGGATAAGAAGTGTACAAGAAAAGCTGGAGCTGGTTGGTGCTGAAGAGGACACAAAGTCGGATGGAGAAAAAAAAGTGGAAGGGGCACAGAGCTAATTAGGCAGAGGAAGACCCCTTTGGCACCTCCTGAACCATGTCAGTTGGTGATCCGACTGGGAAATCACACTTAAGGAGCTTGGGGCGCTTGGGGGGAGCCAGAACACTGTGAAACCCACTGAACAGGAGCTACAGAAGTGTTCGCCTCCCCACGCGGTCTAGCCCGAAACAGCCTGGCGTCCACTGCCAGTCAGCGTCATTTCGGGAACACAGTGGAACATCGGTCCGGGGTAGCAGCCACTTTCTGAGACACCATTTCCTCACCAGCCACATGCGATGAGGCTGAGAGCTGCAGATACGTACCAAGAGTTTAGAGGGGAACGCGTCTGAAGCTCCAGTACGGCTTGGGGATCTCTCAACATATACGATTGCGCGACGGCAATACCGGCGCAAAAGTCACAATGGTTTGTTTAAAAGTCTGATGATGCAGAATATTACTGACACTATTCTAGCCACCAAAAGAATTAGATCAAAAGAGGAAACGCGGTCGTCCCCCTAACGCGCCGAATACCAACGACGCGTCGGCCCTCTCTCCAAGTACTGGAGTTGCTGAGCCCAATGAGGCGGTCGACGACAGCGAGGCGCCCCGGAAACGTGGGCGCCCAAGCAAGCGCAAAGACTCAGAGCAAGTACCGGAGCAACAAGTCGAGCCATCCTCCCCTGCAGACGAACCGAAGCCCAAGAAGCGGGGCAGACCACGGCGTGAGGACGCCGACAGAGACGCAGGCCAGGAGGATACCGAGCCGGCGCAACAGAAGAGACGGAGGGAACGCGATGCAGAGAATAATGAGGAACCTAGCCAAGAATCACCTACAGGGCCAGCAACCCGAGACAAGCCTGGGCGTAAACCAGCAAAAGACGCGCCAAGGGAGCTTCACGCTGAGGAAGCGGGTGCGGTTGATGCTGCCAAGAAGAAGCGTGGACGTCCGGCGAAAGCATCTCAAGACCAACCTGGGGAGGAACAGGAATCGACGCCAGTGCCGAAAAAGAAGCGCGGCCGTCCCTCTTTGAGTAAGGCACCTGCAGCAGGGGAATCTGAAGCAGCAGAGAAGGAATCAGACCCGACACCAGTACCTAAGAAAAAACGCGGTCGCCCGTCTTTGAACAAGAACAACGCAGTTGAAGAACCAGAAACAGCAAAGGAAGTGCCAGAAACAAGTCCAGGCGCCAAGAAGAAGCGCGGCCGCCCGGCTCTGAACAAGGGGGTGGAAACAGAAGAACCAAAAATATCAGAACCAACACCACCCAGGAAACGAGGCCGTCCACCTTCGAACAAAAACCCTGAAGTAGAAGAACCAGAAGCAGCGGAAGAAGAAGGAGACACAGAACCAACTCCAGTGCCCAAGAAAAAACGAGGCCGCCCCTCTTTGAACAAGCAGCCTACAGCAGAAGAGCCCGAGGCAGCAGAAGAGGAAGCGGTGCGCAAGAAACGAGGTAGGAAGCCCAAAGATAGAGCCGTCGAGGCTGAAGAGCCGGCTCCCGAGGAAGAACAAACTGCCGAAGCGTCAACTAAAAGGAAGCGTGGACGCCCAGCGGCCTCGGAAAAGGAACCAGAGCCGTCTCCTAACAGAGATGCACCCGCAAAGAAGAAACGGGGTCGTCCGTCGCTTCAATCCCAGGAAAATAGCCCAGATGCTTCCAGACCACCGAAAGACCCACGCGAAAGGAAACCCAAACAAGCTTCTCCAGCCGCGACACAAGAGAAACAGACAAAGAAGGGGCGAAAGAAGTCCTCGCAAGACGATGAACCTCAGGAACCATCACCAGAGACACAACGCCGACCAAGAGGCCGCCCACGCACATCTGATGCATCGGCCTCTCCTCGTGACCAAGAAGGTCAAGCTTCAAAACCCCGCAAGTCAAAGAAACGCCCTGCAGGAGAAGACGAAACAGAGCAACAAACATCGCCGCCAAAGAAACGTCGCCGTCGCACATCAGATGAGCAGCACCAGTCAAAGCCGACCTCCGCCGCAGCCCCTCGTCGATCAATACCAAAACACCGCCATATCGCCACCAAAACCCGCCAGATCCCCCGCTCAGTAATCGAGGAGAAATGGACTCCCCTGGCCCCGCCGTCCCTCTCGCTCGTCTCCAGCATCCTGCGCCTCGCTGAGCGACCCGTCCTCCAGCGGCTAGCAGGTAACGAGAAGCGCCGCGACCAAGCAACCTCTGCGATCCGCCTTGTCGCCAATCGCCTTAGCAAGAAACTCGCTCGCGGTCTCCCATTCCCGCCGGCCTCCGCTCCGCCCCGTGGCGCCCCGAAGAAGAAGGAGAATGAGGACGGCGGTAGAGTAGAGGAACTCGATTTTGAGCGCGTCGTCGACGGCGTCGCTTCACTCGAGAAGCAGCTTGACCCCTTGCTTCACGCCATCGAGCTCCTAAAGGCGGAGAAGGAGCGCGACGAGAGGGCGTTGGAGGAGGACTACGAGACGCTCAAGACGCTGGAAGCGAACGCGCGTTCGGAAGCGAGGAACTTCAAAGACAGCCTCCGCAAGACGCACGTCCTCGTCCCCGAGCAAAAGACCGACGCCCGAGAAGAAGAAGACGGCGTTTTCAAGTTCGTCCCCGACGACCATCTGGGCGGCGCCTTGTTCAAGGTAGACACAATCTTCTTTACTAATTTACTCTTATCAAAAAAAAAAAAAACGCAGAATGCTAACCCCCCGTATCAGGACCTCGAAAACGAAGAGCTGCGAGGATTGGTGGGGCAGGTCGGCAGCCACATGGAGAGCATGCGAAGCAACCTCCAGCAGATTGACGGCGTCGTGCCGCAGATCGGCAAGAGCAGAGCCGCGCTGCAGGACGTGCTGTTCAAGCATCTCGACCAGCAGACTTACGAAAACGTGCTATTTGGGTGAGATCACCGGTCATCTGTTTGCTATTCGCGCATGGAGTTTCAGGAGGCATAGGACGGCAGTCCGCATGGAGTTTTGATGCAGGGACCAATGCAGCCTTGTGAGCTGGCCGGGACACCGAGGGGCGGGTTGTAGGATTTGGCTTTGCTTGGCTGCCCTATATATATCTCTCTCTCTTGACGAGTCTCTCTTCAGCTTATGATTAATGACCACGTATAGCTTGGATGATAATAGCCATCATCTTACGCTTGTCCACGGTGTGGCATTCGCTTCAGATCGTGACTTGTAGTGTACGGGTGGCTGGGAAATTGATATTACCATTCATCATTCCACAGCCACATTCGAACTGAGCAAGGATTGTACTACATTAACATCGTCACAATATCTAAGTGGGCCGTTCTGAAGTATCACTAAAATCCATTGTTGAAAAGCTATACACTGGGGGAAAATTCCATCCATCGACCCCAATCTATACCGTACAAGAAGCGTGATCCATGTTCTTCTTAGTGTCTTTTCCGAGACCATCTCCAAGCCACAAGATCGTTTGTCTATTCATAACATTCTTCGCCCCCCAAGGGCATGATCATCGTTATAGAGCCATAGCCGCGTGCTTCTTTTGCGTCAGGCAGCAGAACCCAAAGAATCCGGCTTCACTTCACGGTGTTGCTAACTCCAGGTTGTCAGTGATTACATTCTTACATACCTCTGGGATACTGACCTCACCCAACTGGGACTTGTTTACTTCATTCTCCAGCCATACAAATTTAGACTTGCCAAGCCTAGATGTAAGGAATGGTTAAACTTAAAGTTCATGCTCTCAGGACCGTCTTCTTGGCGGACTCTGACGCGCTGACAAAACTGTTCTCGACCATCTCCGAGTTATGATTCTCCGTGGCCCGGTCGCAAGGGCTGTTAGATAAACGGCTAACAGGAGTAGCCCAGTTCTCAGTTGTCGCAGTAGTATCACCAATCTGGGAAATGGCCCGGTTAGCTGGTGTAACTGGACGGTTAGACAAACCACCATTTCCGGACTCGGCAGCGCCCTTGTCACAGTCGGTAATGTGATCAGTCTTAGTGGCTTGGTCGCGTTTGGCATGCTCAGCCTCTTGAATCTGCACAGCCAGTGCCTTTCCCAGCGAATTCTTCGATTCCTTCTCCATCTCAGCAATAGCAAGGGCTGGATTGGTTGCCATCTTCGCACGTTGGCTGACCTTCATAGCCTCGATGCTCTTCTCGAGTGCTTTGAGGTCTTTGTATCCTTCCTTGGTCGGCAGAATCTCAAGTTCTGGGTATTCTAGTTGATCGGGTTGCTTGCTTTTCGGCTTGGACTGGGCCATCTTGTTCAAGCCAGCTTTCACCGCTTTGCCCAATCTCTTTGATAGAGATTGGGGGGTTTGCTGGGTCTCCATTTCTTGCTCCACTGAGGTCTTGTCGGTGACCCATGTCTGCTTTTCGCTCACAGTGGCACTAGCAGCGAAATCCTTTGGAATAACATTATCAGCCGGTCCGGCGGCCGCTGTTCGCTCGGCTCGAGTGTGTGAAGCCCATTTGGCCCAAGATGCGGGGGGCGTAGCAAGTTTCTGGGGCGCCGATTTCTAGTTGGCACCTGCAACAGCTTCATTGGCATCTACTTCCCTTTTTTTGACGGATACTACAGTATCCGATGTAACTAGGGCACTCGAATTTGGTGGTACAGTGGAACCTGGAATGTTACAATTGTGGTTATCAGTCGAGATCGGCTCAGCTCTGGGAAGCGTATGCTCAGATATACTCCCTTTGCTAAGCCGAAACGAGGAGCCGGAAGCAGTAGACTTGTTGCGCTGCTCTTTCTCCTGTTGAATGGCTCGCTTCCAGACAGCTGTAACACTTTCGGTAAGTTTAGGGGCAGTGAAGTCCTCGGTAGCCGAGGGAGCCTGCACACGAGGTGTAGTGCTGAGGTTCGACAGTTTCTTGACATGACCAAGGGGTTTCGAGGCTCTCAGTGATTCGGAAGAAGTATTGAAAGGTGCGAGCATGGCAGATGGCTGGCTCTGCGACTTTCTATGACCCTTTGAGCCGGATGCTGTGCGCTGTAGTAAGGCCTGAATGAACGAAGATTTCCGGTTGGGGGGGTCGTCACTGATCTCAACCCCAAGAATTCCAAGCTTCTGCTGAGACTTAGGAGGTGTCAGCGACAAGGAGCTTTTGGACTTTCTAATGCCTTGGCCCATCAACGCAGTTCCACTTTTGCGAGCATCTTTGCTTTTGATGCTAGAGATGTTGGCTGACAAAGTCTTATCGACTATATGTCCGACAGGAGTTACAACCACTTCGGAAGAGGGTACTAGGCTGAGAGTAGTACGATAGCTCTCATCTGAGCGCTCTTGTCGGAAGTGGTCAAATGCTGCCTTAAGTTAGCTATGTAAAGAGAAATATATTGCAGACTAGCACATACAATTGAACGGAGGCAAATCGAGATCCTTGAATGTTTCAAGGATATAATGTGCATTTACGCCACTACCCACATCTTGCGAGCTTCGTGATGAGTGCTGACGTGTGTTGTAGGCTGAAGACTAAACGGACGATGAAGGGTATTGAGGCTGTCCAGGGGTCAAAGCTGCCTCTGGTGTTACGATGGTCTTCATTGCTGGGTTGATTGTTTCCTCGTCATGCTCACAAGTGATGTGCAATTGATACGAGTCATCTTGCCCTATGGCCTTAGCGTCTAAGGCCTTTAGTCCGGATGCTTCCTGGTTTCCTGTGGCAGTTCCATGCGAAGAGGACTCTGCGGCTTGCTGTTGGTTGCGAAGATCCTCTACCTCTATCTCGCAAATCACACGATCCATCTTATCCTCCATCTCCAAATTCAATGCCAAGGTGCTCTGGAGATCCATATGAGAGAATCGTGGGCTGGCTGGAGATTTGATAGTCAGATCCCCAGAAGTTCCCAGCCTGGGGAGGGTGGTGTGGCTTGGAGACCTGAGGACCATATCATTAGGCGCATCATCATAGTTAGCCAGACGAGACACAGGCTCGGTTTCTGTATGGTCTTCATTGGTGGCAAAATTATTGTCCTGAGAAGCAAGCTCCTGAGCGAGCAGCCAAACTCCCCAATCGTTGCCCTCTTGAGATTGCGAAGACTCCGAAGCTCGATGGTTGTTGGATGCCCTATCGATTTCGAGATTTTCGGAAGGCTGCAAATTGCCTTGAGTGACTTGTTTGTTGACAATAATGCCCAGCGGGATCCCTTCTTTTGATACATTCTTGGTATCAACGACATTAGTGACTTGCGCAGGTCCAATAGAAGCCTTCTCCGAGTATGTGGAGAAAGAGTTCTGGCTACTGCCGTGATCAATACACTGCGAAAGGCGCCATGTTTTGAAAGAATCATCGTCTTGGTCATCAGAGGATCGCTGTGCAAGAAGAACCGGTGGCGGCGGCATAAGGGGTAAAGATCCTCGTTCGCGCAGAACAATCTGAGAGGCCATCACCTTGGGGGAAGTCTCAGATCTGGGGTATCCCCTTCGTCGACGATATTCATTGTCATAGTCGGTAGGATCGTACTTAATGGTCGCAGGGGGCAATCTTGCAGCCTTGGGTCGTGACAAAGGCAAATGATAGTCGATACCAGCAACGGAATTGCCAGTCACGACAGAGAACTCAATGTTATCTCGTGGTCCGCTGCGGAGGCTATCACACCGATCGTTGGGATCCTCCACAACTGTCTCCAACTCACGGAATCTGTTACTTCCCCGCGTGGACACAGACCGAGAACTATTGTTCTCGCTCCTAACCTCGGCCTGAAGGCGCGCGCGAGAGTTACGTCTGACCTCCGCACGATAGGCATCCTGCTCGCGCTTTCTCTTCTCTTCAGGAGTGATGGTGGGCACTGGCTTCGGCTCGCCGGTAGACGCGCGCTTGTTGTCGCCTTGAGACAAACGTCTTGAGAGTCTTTTTCGCGCCGTACCGAGGGCTCCGCCGCTTGGCTTTGGTGCCTGGATCTCGTCCTCCGGGTCCGATACGTATTCGACGCCAACAGGATCAGGAAGAAAGAAAGAATCAGGGGTTCGCGCGTTGGATCGAGAAGACGCGAACGAACTGTTGGTGTTGTTTCTAGTAAGCCAGTGTTCAAGATCGTAGTTTCCACCAGAAAGCTTGGCAGGCTGCGGCAGCTGGATGAGTGCGATGGACTGCTGCTCTGGAGCGCTGCTGGCCGTCGTCTCTGCCTCTGAGTCTGCCGCCTTCTTTCCAAGGACGATACAACAGAGCTTCTTCATCTCTTCCGACGTTGACCACTCTGGTCCGATCTCCAAACGAGGGTGAGATGTTAATAGTCGGATGGGTAGTAGCAAATACCGAATGCCGATCCAAGAAACTGCTCTATCAGCCCAAGCGGGAGGATAAGACAAAAGTAGGCCAAAGAGCAGCAAATGCTGAAAGAGTGTTTATGGTAAGCAAGGAGGCCAAAAGAGAGGAGACAGAATCTGGCAAGGTCTGCTGGGATAGATGGAGGCAAAGAAATCTTTTCAGGATCAAGGTGGTGAGAAGACAAGAAGGGTTACGATGCATTGGCCTTGGGGACGAAAAGGCGAGAGCCCCTGAGAATTCCTTCTCGTCAGCCTCTGTTTTCACTTGGGGCAGTCACAAGGAGCAATAGCCATCCACAGGCGGGTGCTCAGGACTGATCACGACTCGTCAAAGGTAAGCGCCTTCCTCCTGTTCATGATGCCTCGTAGTCGATGGGAATTGTCCATCAAAGACATTGCAGCATTCGGTGAAGGGTTTCTGCTCAAAGTGGCATGGCCAAGCACTTGCTCTGGCACATTCACAGGCTCTATACTTTGTAGCTCGACAACTCCTTTGAGCGTGTGTCGACAATTGAAACGGCCCTGGAAGAGCCTCTTTGCTCGCATTTACTTTCAAGTCTCGTTAAAACTTATATTGAAACTTGGAAAGTCAGGTGGTAATCAAGCAACTGAGCTTTGTTCAATAATGAGTTTCTTTTTGACATCTGCTGCTCTCCTGTTTGGATATATAGTAGCTTTGTCATTGTTGAGGTCCCTTCGTGAAGCTGAGTTGAATGCATTCCTAATATCTCTTAAGATATCTTGCAAATGTAACTCAATAATCGACTAAACCTTGGGAGGACGTAATGACGATGACAAAGGCAGGTGCACATGCCGCTCTTGACATAGAAACCTAAGTTGGTCAGTCTCATACCGCATGGGGAGGAGATGTGGTCCTCTTCTTAGTAAGCTATCGGACAACACTCATTGCAGGACAGAACCGCCCTCTGACGAAAGCAGTAGTTGACATATGGACCCCTTAAGGTCGTTCGTTAGTGAGATCCGCAACAGAGCCTCGTCTCCAGTAGCTCAGCCGTAAATGCGGCCACCCGTCTGCCCTACAAGGCCGCATTGCGAACCCTGTGGCGCAGGCCACTTGGTTCTCGGGCAATTTGTTGCAACAGCAGAGAAGCGGCGTTTGATAATTCGAATTCTCAAGTTGAGTGTCGCGGTCCAGACTCCTCCATTGGGCTGAGAAGCCAAGACTCTTGAGCGCTTTGGTTAGAGATAAAGGTGCGGCGACGACATGGGCTGTCCGTCGTGGTTGGGTATCCAGTGCATGCCTATGGGGAACGGGGCTCACGCATGAAATTTGGCGACAGGGTTTGGGTAAGCGACTGATGTGTGGTGAACAAACAAGACGGAGTAGTCACAGACGAGGGTGCCAGACAGGAGAAACGCCCCCCTCTCCGTCTTCTAAGCCTCTAAGGAGGCGCCAGGGCGCTACCGTGTTTGAAATTTGCGACGGGTACTCCGACCTGGATGGGCTGGCCGGGCAACTTTTGATTAGGTAGTAAAATGTAAAATGTCGTATAGAGATATCGGATGAGAATGTGGATGTGAAAACGTGCGCATTTTGGGATGGTGACGGGGAAATACGATGGCTGGAATATCTTAGTATGTAATACGACGGCCCAGCAGTTGGAAGAAGCAATGATATGGCGGGGATTGTCTTTGAGAGAGAGAAAAAAAAAAGTCAGTGATTGTGATGGTGGCGGCGGTGGCGGCTTTTGCGGGGCAGGTTAGGTCGATTATCGGCCGGCATCAATACGATGAGTGAGAAATATCGAGCAAGATATCTCGGGCAATTGTGCCTTGAAAGCGGGCTTCATTTCGCCAATTCCCCCCCCCAGAAACAATGAGGAGTTCGCGATAGTGGGCATCCATCGCCCACACACCTACGGCTCCGAAGGCCAAGACAGGCAGGCAGATATCAAGCAGGCCAGCAGCTGGGCCGTGTTCCCGATGTCAGCGGGGCGTCGGACTAAAGAATCCTCTTATTTGGCCTGTAAATCGATCAAACTCGACCAGAATCGAAGGCAATCGTGTGTGTGTGTGGCAGTACACACACATAGTGAGTGCCGATCCGCCGAAGGAAGCGTACGAATCCCTCATCAAGACGGTCCGGGGTCTTCAGGTGAAGGAAATGCCAACTTTAGGATGTAATTTCCAGCGCGAATTATCTGCGAGATTAATCACGAACCAACGCGCCAGCATGAGCAGACTAAGGATATGGAGGTACAGGCTTGAACAGAATATACCGCGGGTTAGGTCCAACAGGTCAGACCAGGTATCCGTAGGGTCAAGCAGGCCGGGACCAGAGAGCGGGGGAGGAAGTGCCGGGAAGTTTGGGAAAAGACGCACTCTCTCATTTACTATGTAATCAATCAAGTGGGTGAGATGAGTGGTTAGCTGAAGTAAAAGACAACACTACAAGCAGCCTAATGCGTGATGAGCTGGAGACGCCATCGTTGACATAATCTCGTCACAATCAGTCTGTGACAGTCATTCTGGGGCGGACCCTGAGGGTAGAGATTTGTCGCCTACATCCCTGCGGCCTGCGAGGGGAAGGTGGCCAGGCCACAGGGTCTAAGGCCTGGCATCCTGGCCTGATGATGGCCTCTGTCTACCGTCTATCCATACATTACTCAGGTTTTCCCGCATGTTTTCCCAGATGAAGCCCCGCCACCAATTCCGGGGAGCAAAGGTTTGCGACTCCTACGAGGTTGTCAACTTGGAAGATGACCTGTTCACCGTCAACGCCCGCCCCCCATTTTAATGGCCCATTCTAATGGGGGCCCTTTTACAGATAATGGGGGGGCCGATTAACCAGAGAGGGAAAAAATGAGGAAAAAGGAAAAAAAAAAAAAAGAAAAGAAAAGGGGATCGTCTCGGGGGTCTGAAACAGGCCTTCTCGGGGGTTCGATGCTTGGCCATGAGCCAAAAGGTGGGAGGAAGTCTGTCAGGACCTGGATGAGTCCGTGTTGACAGCGAACCGTATGCTTGCTGAGGTTGCTTCTATTCCGTCTGATGATGTTCAATTTCATCAGATCATCCCGCCGTTTCGATCTCACGTTTCCGCTGACTGCTCTCTGTTTCCCAACCAGGGCCACCCTAGATCCAGAGCAACTAACCAGTCACACCAAGAAATTAGCACCAGAGGCTTCTTTGATACGATAAAATGCACCTATGATGGTTCCATGGATCATTTCGCGCCAGAAAACCCCAACCTATCGAGGCCATGGCCGGAAAGCCAAACGTTGATTCCTTCTAGTAACAATTCGAAAGGAAAGCCAACAACTCAAAATAGAAAACACCAACAAATAAGAAATAAACGCAAAACTAAAAAAGATACAAAAATTCTGTAAATAAACATACTCGAAAAAAAAAAGCCTGGACCGTTGGTAATCTCCATCATCACAGACGATCATGGAGAACGGAAAGTTTTTCTGGGGTTCCCACGGCTCTCCTGCGCCCCCAAATCAAGGTTGGTTCTATCGTGGGCATTCCGGAAAGTTTAGACGTGGTATCGAGGGAAAATGATTTGCGATGGCAGGCGGCAGATGAGCGCACGCAGCGCACAGCGTCACAACCCAGGCCTTCCAAGGAACCATTTCAGGGCCACCGTCCACCACGTCGATCCCATTTTCCCCCCGGGACGGCGCCACATCTTTGTTGGACGCCCCCCTTGAGCCTTTGCGTAAGGTGAAAGACGATTTGACGGGTGTCCATCCACACTAAAGGGGGGGAAGGAGAGAGATAAGAGGGGGCCCAGGGGCTTAGCGTTGGCCCCATGTTGGTCGGTGTCAGCGCCATCGCAACGCGGTTCCTGGCTAGAGCAAGGCACCCGACACGACGTACATCTGCAGAGTCTTAAGCTGTGCCTAATAATGAATGGGAACAGTGACACAACCGAAATACCGCAATTCCCGAGTCTCCCCCCAGCGACGGACCCGGGAGAATGCTCCCGGTAATGAAACACAAGTTGAATGAATGATTGACTGTATTATTTACAAGCTTTATCGGACTATTACCGGCAGATAGAAGACCTCATATTCAAGCACACCTTTCATTATGACTCAGGTGCCCGATGACGATGTCATGTGTGTGGTACTTATGCCGGTCTATATCGGACATGGCGAAAACTGAGAGAGAGGGCGATTGGCAACGATGGGGGGGAGGGGACGAAGGCCGATGATGGATGATGCGGCGTTAAGGAGCGATGCCGCAATGGGAAGTAGTTAAGAATAGGGGCGTCAAAGGCGTTGTAGGATCGACTGGCTACCACTGCGTCACAGATATTTCTGGTGCACCTTAAGCAAGCCACGCACGGCACGCGCTCGCTGCAACCCCTTTGCATCTCTCGAGTCTCACGTCACCTCTTGGTGTAGAGGGGTCTAAGGGTGCTTGGGGAAGAAGGAAAAAAAAAAAAAACGGCTGGGGCTACGGCCAAGTGAGTTTTAGGGTCGTGTGGCTAATTTACGCTCTTGAGCGGACGGTAGACCGCGCTAGATGCAAGGAGAGACATGGTGTTAAAAGTAAACGGTCGCCGGAAAAGCGGCAGTTTTTTCAATTTTACCTACTTGTGGCTCATTATTGGCGCCGGGGTGAGACCTTGCCGCCGATTGTCGACGACGATGAGTGAGTGGGTGAGTGAGTATGAGAGAGATATGGAGGTTGTAGCCAGCAACGAGATTGTGGGAGCGGCAAGAGAAGAGATTACACATCTGGGCGGGCAGTAGGGCACTTGGCATCCGAGGTCATGTTGGATGGTTGATTCAGTGAGCAACAGACGATTCCAAGACTTGCATCATGTTGCACTGAATACGATCTGTCGGTCAGTTCAGCTCAGTTTGAAAAGGCCACACACTCTCACCTACCTCTTGCAGGAACGCACAGATTTGGGTGCATACTCTGTACGAGCACATGTCTGTGTCATTCATCCATCCGGATACACAAAATAGGGCATGCGGCTCGCGGCTCGGGATACGGCAACAGGGACATCTCCACAGCTCATTCATTGTTCCTGGGATACGGATGCAAAAAACAATGAGCACGAATAGTGACCGAGAAAGAGACCTTCATATCATCATCCCGCGCGGCGACTGTTGCTCTCTCCACCGGCAGGCTGCAGGTCGAGACTAGGCTGAAGCTGCAGAGAAGCTGAGAGGAAGAATAGTTGAGAATAAAAGCCAATGAGAATGCGTGCCAATATCCGCATCGTGGTACCATCTCATGTTGTGTCGCACTCTCTCATCCCATATCACTCAAACCTATTTTTTTGTTTTTTGTGCTCATCACAAAGTTGAATGGTCCAGGAACAGGGACGGGGCTCAGGGGTGTGTGGCCGCCTGTCTCTGCGATCGGGAGCAGCTGGCATTCGGTTAGGTGTGGAGACTGTGGGTCGGGTGATTGGCCACGCTTGTGTCTCATGTTCGGCGGTACCTGCATATGAGGAGCGGATAACAGGGGTTGAACCCGACAGGGGCCTGCCTGATGGGCAACTGGCAAGTCCGGACGACGGCAAGAGCGGGTGAGATTGACAGGTGCAAACAGTCTTAGCAGGCGCCACCCAGCTGAGGGATTGCGCAGGGTGCCCTTTCCTTGCCAACCGTTTTTTTTTTTTTTTTCTCTTCCTCATTCTGTTTATTTCCCCTTTTTATGTTTTTTATTCATTTATTTATTCAGATGAACCTTGCAAGTAAACCAACACTACCTCCTATTTTCCAAGGGGAAAAGGGGTTCGCGAGTTCAACATAACGATCGCTCTCTATCAGCCTCTTAATGCACATCATATTGTCTTAACACGACGATTACTACTATGCAAGACACAAGTGTGTGGTATAAGCCTAAAGGGATAGATACCATTGCATGGTATATTCCTACGTCCCCGTTGCCGCCACTACTTTCAACGTTGTCGAATCGGCGCCGTCGTCTACCGGCGCGGGTGGGTCCCGGCCACTCCTGGCTGAAATGAAGAGGCCTCTGTCTGTGGGTTGAGGAACCGGCTTCAATCTCTGGCCCCATGCGAGGGCTGTGTGTGCAGTGGTCGTACATCGTCTCTGTTAGCTTCGCAAGGCGGGCTTCTTGGTGCGAATACCTCAACCCCCCCGGCTCCGAGGGGTCATGTCCTTGGCCCCCTTCTCCTCACCTTTCACCGCACCTCATCCACGGTCATCGTCCTTGACCACGGCACAACCTAGTTCCTACTTCTGCTTGGTGCGGCCTAGGCCCGACACTTCTACCTTGCTTGCTAACCTACTACTAGCTCTAGCAGGCTGCGCTGCCTTGTTCTGCCCTGCCAGCTTCTTCCTCCTTCTCCTCCTCCTCCTCCTCCTCCTTGACAGACCCCCCATGTCTTTCTATGCGGGCCAAGCCAGCGTTTGGCCCCGTTCGGTCCACCCCTAATGCGGTTCGATGCGCCTGCACCGTACCTGGCTTCTCCCCTCCCGCTGCGCTGGCCTTGCAAGTGGTGTAAGCCAGCCAAGGTGTGAGTGGCCTCGACCGGACCCTGGACCTGCAATTCCAAAAGTCCATCAACTCTCCTCGTTGTCGCTGACCCAAGATGAAGGGCCCACGGCTCTAAGGGCCCTAGCCAGACACCCCCCCTTCAACTCTTCCGAGGATTGAGATCCTATCCACACGTCTACGTTCGCGCCCCTCCCCATGTCCCATGTTCTAATCCACCACCTGCTCCACGGGCTAAAAGGTCTCTGACCTCCTCGTCCCCTTCTAAATACCTTCTTCCCCTTCTCTCCTCTACCAGCGTTTTTGCTCTTTTTCTCTACTCTCCACAGTCTTTCGTTGTCAGTCCTCGGACACATTACATTCCTTCACCAAACCCCAGACACTCGCTATCGAGTCTACCATTCGTTCCTTTTGCGCAAACTGTGTCTTGCAGCCAACCTTTGAACCATCCGCGGAATTGATCTTTCGCCTCGTTTTACGAACCCCTCGAAACCGAACATCTTACCAGTCTACCCTCGTGGAGATATCTGAGAACCCCTCTAACCCCTCAACACCAAAACAAATATCAAAATGAAGTCCGCAGTTGCCGCCGTCGGCCTCATGGCCTCCCTCGCCAGCGCCAGCGCTTACCAGCCCCGCCACTTCCACTGGCGCCGTGACAACTCCACCGCTCCTGCCGGCCCCGGCTACACTACCCTCACCGTCCAGGTCACCGAGGTTGCCACCGTCACCTCTTGCGCCCCTACCATTACCAACTGCCCTGCCCGCAGCGGTACCCTCCCCGCCTCTGACCTTATCACCACCGTTGTCACCAACACCGTTGTTCTGACCGAGGTTGTCTGCCCCGTCACCGATGCCGCCAGCATCTCCCAGTCTGTCATCCAGGAGCACTCCACTGGCAGCCTCCCCGGCACCACCCTGACCGGACCCGCCGCTACCCCTACCGCCCCCGGCGCTCCCCTTACCACTGCTCCTGCCAGGACCAACTCTGCTCAGGACCCTACTGCCACCAAGCCCCCCGGCGACGACGATGACGACGAGGACGATGACTGCCCCGCCGATGGCGACGTCGAGACCTCCATCACCGAGATCGTCAGCACCAAGACCCTCACCATGACCGTTGGCAAGGGCTCTACTGCCTCCGTCGTCACCACCGCCGTCGAGACCACCGCCACCTCCACCGTCCTTGTCACCAAGCCCTACTCCGAGGGTGCTGAGAAGCCCACTGGTGCTGTCACCGGCGTCGGTAGCGAGGAGCCTACCACCACCACCACTGCCACCTCTACCGGTACTCGCACCGTCACCATCAAGCGCCCTGGTGCCTCTGAGCCCGCTGCCCCTGGCAACCCCGGCAACACTGGCTCCGGCGAGTGCCCTCCTGCTGTTACCGTCACCCTCCCTGCCTCTACTGTCTACGTTACCATCGGTGCTTCTTCCGTCCCCACCGCTCCCGCCGGTGACAACGGCAGCAGCAACGGTTCCGGCTCCGGCTCCGGCTCCGGCTCCGGCAACGGCAACGGCGCTGTCACCCCCAGTCAGACCGCCTCTGCTGAGGCCCCTACCAGCTCTGAGGCCGCTGGTGGTGACGACGACGATGAGGATGACTGCCCTGCTGATGAGGAGGATGACGATGAGGATGAGGATGACTGCCCCGCTGACGACGTCGTCACCGTCTCTTCCACTGTCACCGTTGCCCCTACCGCTGCTCCCTTCCCCACCAACGGCACCAGCGGTGTCGCCCAGCCCACCGGTGCTGCCCAGCGCCGCTCCAACAAGCTCTTTTAAAGTGTTTGATGTAGATTCCCCCCGCATGTCAAGTTATCATATTATGAGAAGAATCTATGATTCATGAACAAACACATTCTTATCCTTCTACCACTTTTGTCTTGTCTACACTTCCTTCAGGGTGAAAATAAAGCGAAAGTCACTGTACAAAACAAAACGGATGACAGGGGAAAAGGAGGAAAATCGGCTCTTTGGTTTTCAGTCCTGCCCCTTTCTGCGTTGTTGCGTTGTTTTATCTTTTTAGAGGCGGAAAAAAAGAGAGGACCACTCGACGTGGTGAGTCTTGCTTCTGAGGTTGTTTTTTTTCGGGTCATATCAAAGCATCGTCTTTTATGTTTTTGGGGTTTTCAGCATGACTTTTTTGTTGCTACAAAAAGTCTCCGAACTCTGGGAGGGAAACATGCATTTTCTTGGGTGCGCGCGTTCATGTAGCGAGTCGTTTGGGAGCACCTATGGAGAGGTGATGCTCTGCGGCATATCTTGTTCCCTTTTTCTCTAGTAAAGAGATGAAACAGGATGTTTGAGTTGCAAGAAAGAAAGAAAATCCAGAAAATTTCAGTTCTTTTGTATATACTCTTGTTTTTTTCTATCAATGGGGATGAGGTTTGGTGAATTTTGCTCTCTTCCCTCCCACCCCCACCCCCCTTATCTTTTTTCATGAATGAGACGATCGGTTGAAAGTCCAAATCTTGGCTGTTACAACGCGCTTGAAGTGATGTGTGTGTAAGTAAATTCGATGGGTATGTTTTGCGTGTGATTCGGAGGTTTTGTGAGACTTGGGCATGCTTGAGGGTTGTCTTGATTGGGCTCTGAGACATGAGTGTCCCCTGGTTGTCTTGAGCTTGTCTTTACTCTTGTTCTTTCCCAACTCGTTTCAAAGGGGGGAACTGGCGGTCTGTGCTTCCACGACTTTTGCGACGAAGATACAACTTTACGGTACAATCAGTTTCAAAAAAGGAGGGTGAGTTGGAGAAGAAACGTTTGACCACTTAGATAGCTTGATATTTTTAACAATAATATTCTCATGTTTCTTTCCGTTTGTGCTGAATGCTATAGAGTTCATTTTTCTGTTTTCAATCTGCGTTTTGATATATTGATATGCCTGTCCTCATGATGATAGTCGTTAAATGCTTTGATCTTACTCTGTCATTATGAATTTGGTTGTCTTTGGCATCTGCGCTACTTAGCCAAGTATTGCAAATTTGACGGCCTGCCAGGGGTTTTTGATACCGGTAATGAGCTGCTGGTTGCAACCAGTCATAAGCCATGAGTTCCCTTGAGACGCCATCATGAACTGGTGCCCCATGCCCTGCAATGTCAGCGGTACCTTTGACCCCAAATGTAATGACGTGCCTGATGCGCTCTGTAAATACCTTTTTACACCTCTTCCTTCCTTAACCTCCTCTCCTCTCGCTGCTGGGCCCGCGCCTCCTCCCTTCGTCGTTGCTCCTCAACCCTCTTCTCCATGTCCGCCTTCCTCTCTCTCAGCGCAATACAGAACTTCGAGTTGGCTCGAATCTGCTCGCCTTTCCAGATAAAGATGAAGGGGATAACGCACATGATGGCGCTGAGGCCGCCAAGCAGACTACATGCCCCCGCAATGCCGAGCCTATTGAACATTGGCGTCGTCGCCAGAGGCAGCACAACCGCCAGAAGAGACCGGCTGGTCGAAGCAGCGGCGTTGGCGGACGCGGCAAATATCTCATAGGCATCCGTGAGGTAGTTTAGCAGCGCGATGAATATAAGCATGAAGCCCGCACCAAAAGGTATCCCCGCAAGCATGGGGGCGACGAAGCTCACCCCCTCCCTCGAGGACCAGCCCAGCCAGAACAGAGAGACGAAAAACAGGGGACCACCGATGCAGGAGAGCGGCAGGCGCCGGTACTCTTCCTGCTTGGCCCAGGACGAGCCGTTCCGCAGCGCCTGTAGGTGCCTTCGTTCCCAGAACAGGAAGACGGGAACGGCGAGGAGTGCGCCGCCGCCTATCGGTAGATACGCCAACCCAGCCACACCCGGAGAAAGACCGTAGAGCTTCTGGAAGATTATGGGAAAGGCCTGAAAGGACATGTAGAAGATGGTGTAGACGAGTGCCAGGTAGGCACAAGAGCAGCTGACAATGGGTTCAAAGAGCAGCATGCGTACGGGACGTGTGAGGACGACCGTTGCGAGCTGTTTGAAATCTGTGCTTTCCAACTCGCGGGGTGCAACGACGGTCGAAGCGAGAGAAGGGTCCGATTTGCGTATTTTGCGTGCACGTCGGGTGAGGAGGATGGGTGCGTAGGTCTCGGGAAGAAGAGCGACTGGGAGGAGGGTTAGGCCGGCGTACATTAGGGCGATCCAGAAGGTCCAGCGCCAGCCTATCGTTGGGGAGCAGAAACCCGAAACAATTGGTGCGAAGAGGGGTCCGAAAGTGGTCATCTGTGGTTGGTTTAGAGAGGAGGGGTTTTGGAGAGGGGGTAGAGGGCGACTCACGACCATGAACGCCGTCATTGCACGTCCCCGGGTTTCGGGGTTGCCGTAGATGTCGGCGAGGATGCCCGTCACAATGGCGATGGGGGAGCTGGCAAAGATACCGGTGAAGAGTCGAAAGAATAGAAGAGAGGGCCAGTTGGGGGCTAGGGCGCAGGCCATAGTCCAGATTGTGAACATGATAAATGTGACAATCGTCAAAACGCGTCGGCCCAGGTGCTCGCTGAGAGGACCCCAGACGACTGGACCGAAAACATAGCCGATCAGGTAAACGGAGATCGGAAGGACCTGTTGCTGCGGACTCGTAATACCCCATTCCGAGGTGATGAAAGGGATGGCATTTGAGGGCAGGGCAGAGCCTAATGTGCTGTTGATGACCTGCATCATGGTCAGGCAGAGAATGAGAAATTTCTTAGTCTGAGAACTTGTTAGTCTTTGCAAAAGGTTGGGAGGCATGTGCTCCTTACATTTGACCAGTTGTACGGGTTTTCCGGGTCACCATCTTCCCATGATACTATTGTCTTCTCATCCTCTTCGCCTGATGAACTTGGGCTGGTGTGCTTTTCGTCATGTAGGCCCTGCTCTTCGCCGCGAGACTCATATCGATTACGCGCGTCATCTTCGTCTATCTTCTTCACGGCATCTGCCAAGGAGGACCGGTTGCCTAGACCATGTTAGATAACTAGGTTACTTGCAACTTATAGTTTACTAAGTCTCACGTTGAAGAGGCGAAAGTGTGCTTTCTATGTCTTCCCTGAGTTCGTCGGTGTGAGGCATCGCGAACCGTTTACAAAAGCACAACCTCTTGGCAGTCACTCTGGTTAAATGTTGGGGCTTTCACATTCCAGGACATACTGGGGGAGGGCAAGAGCCATTATAGTACGTGTATGGATTAATAATGCCCTAAACCGACGAGAGGCCCGATGATCGGTTGTCTGCATGCTGCATGTGGATGATCACCCTAGTCTGAGACCGTTTAGTCTTTGTTTCCACCCTCTTTTTGACATTATAGGAACTCAGGACGAATCATGACTGGCCCAGGGGTAATAAGGAAAAATTGAAGTCTTATCCCCGTCATCGCTGACGGAGGGGAAGCACGAGATGGGCGTGAAAGGTATGACTAGTCATTGGGTCATTAACCGCATCGGAGCCGAACCGCGACCCACTTGGACATCGATGCCGCCTATCTGGGCCGTCGGGGTAGTTCTTTTCCGGCGTATGCCCGGGCCTACCCCTCCATGAAAGGGTGGTCACTCGGCTCTTCAGATAGCGCCATTGTGTCGCTTCGATTTGCAATCGCCCAGCTAATGCCGATACCGTCACAGACTCAGAATTAGCGCTAAAAACATGCACCTTGGTAGAGCCTTGCTTGCTGATGACCCTTGAGGAGCCTACACCCAGCCTTCAGGAGACGCAAGTTTCTCCAAGAGAGCAACTGCGACATATCTAGCCCTCTAGCGATGAATGATTTATCGAGTACCTGACGTCGGCTGGAATTTCATTTCAGCGTTGATGGTTGCCTATGTTGTGGTGTGTCATGTCTGATCGACTAGTCGCGGCTCTGGTCGTCCAATCGTGATTGATTCATGTCTCAAGGTTGATGCTCTTTCCAAATCTGGCGTACAGCTCGACCTTGAGTTGGGTCATCTCTTCCTTGATCGTCTCCAACTTGGATTCCAACCCCTCGACCTCCTGATCTATTTTGGATGAAGCCTTCTCAAGCATCTCTAGGGCTTGCGGTTGCGGAACATGGAAATAGGCGTCGCCAATCTTGTATCTATCGTCCAGGTCAGTTTGTGCTGTCGTTAAAACATGTCTTGGATGGGTTCGTGTGCGTACGGTACGGTCTCGTCCTCGTCAGCTAGCTCCAGCTCTGTGCTAAGGTCGTCGAGTTCCTCCTTCTCTTTCTATGTGTCGCCACAACGTTAGCTGAGTTTGGTTGTTTGAATACAAGGCTAAACTGACGTTCTTGTTCTTGAGTTCATCTTCGATACCAAGTTCGTGCGAGTGCAGACGGCTGAATCTGTTGATCTTGTCCTGGTCCTCCCTCCGAACCTCAACCTCGTCGCCCATAGCCTCCTCATCGGCCTTGCTGAGCTGCAAGAAGCAATGTTAGAGCAGGTTCACAAATAAATAATTTCGAAGTACGTACCATGCGCCTCGATAACATTTTGAAGATTTGTTTTGCAGCTCGTAGCGGTGATTGGAAGGTTGTCGTCGATGCTGCTGGCGATTGGCGACTGAGGCAGGAGCTTCCCAAAAAGCTCGGAAGGAGGGTCACAGTATTGACACACAGTGCGGAGGGGTCATGCACTGTCCCAAGAAGAAGTCAGCGCAAGGTGTGTTCACCTCGGGAACTGCCGCCTCTAAACAAAACAAATCAGCTCCCCTACCCGGAACGTCACACCGAGCAGCTATCGCACGCTCAGCCATCTTATATCAACCTCCTCAATCAACAGATACCACGACGCTCTTGTACCGACATCGTCGATATGGCGCCTGGTCAGAAAGCATACCCGCGCGGGACGGTCAAAAAGATTGTTAAAGCCCATTCAAACTGCAATCTCAGCAAGAATGTTGATGTCATGGTCCGTTGATTCCACTTCCGACGCGTCGGTGACGCGCCGCTGACATCTCAACAGATCTACCTAGATTATGTTCTTTTCATGCAGACGTAAGTCAATAATTCAACTGATAAAATAATCTACGACGCTTACATTTACCCAGCCTCATTAAAGAGGCAGCCATTGAGTCCAAGAAATCCGGTGAGAGGGGTATCACTGCTAGGAGCGTGAAGAAGGTCACCTCGGTATGTTTTTATGCCATTACACATCTTGCACATGGAACTTGAGCGCTGACCATGTCCTAAGGATACCTTGACCAAGTTTAAGGGTTGAATCACCGAGCCTACCAGTCTGCGAGATATTGAATCCGACCCTCACCAGGGCACACATAGCGAACGCCGAGCCTTAGCGATCCTAACACCACAAAGGGTATACGTATGTGTCAGCAGAGCAGCTTGTTTTGGTAAGCAAGTTTGCGTACGCGCGCATACTCCTCGGCTGCCGAATCATAAAGGGCGGCAACCATGGCCCTTGTAGAGGTGATGCACAAGACGCAGGTCGGGCTGGGTCTAGGGACGATGGATCAGATATCGTGGGCTAATGCGGGGGAAAGCATCCTTTGCTAGAGTTAGGCGCAAGCCAAACTCAACGGTTTGCCTCTCGCCTGGGAACACCGTACTTGCTGGGAAATTCCCAATCACAAGATGACAACTGTGGAGTGGTATGTTCGTCTGAACAGACGGGTCGGACTCACCAATTTTGGACGGTTGCATTGTCTGGTGGCTACGAATCAGACCACTTATTGATGCAATGATTGGAAGTTGCGTTTTTGTAGGTCAGCAAACACTCCAGCAAGCATTCCCAGCCACTGAAAGAGCGGCAGACGCAGATTAATGCGGGGGATTAGCGCGGATGTACTTTGGGGCATCGGTTAGCACAAGGCTGATATGCCCTGTCTCGTACGTCATCCAAATATGGTCTCAGTGATGCCTAAATAAATTTGTCCAAAAATCGCAAGTAACCGCATTGATTCGAAGGAGATGGGAACCTTCTTCAATTCAGTACTCCCTACGTGCTATTTGTTACCATGTCATAGAGGTTGCCTTTGGGGTGACGTGTACCTGCGAATGTACCTTTTCTTCTTGCCAGTTCTAGAACCTTGACGGAGGAGAAACAGTGGATGCAGGGGGGTGTTAGGGAAACTGAAGGGAAGTAGCCAGCAGCCGGACGCCGGACAGGGGTGCTGTTGGCTCCTGGAATCCACTTCACCTCACCCAGAAGGGACGGCCTGAGCAGTGAATTGACTGGCCTCATTGCCTAAGCCTCCGCCCTCCACTGCATCATCTTTGCGATCCTCCAAAACTTGTCCCCGACCTTAATTCTGCACATACAACAGCTTCACCTAACTTTACCTTACCTTACCTTATCACTCCTCTTCACAACCGCGTTATCCTAATCATCTCTTCTGATCTTGGGGTCTTCCTTCGATTACGTATCCTAAGCAAACAAACAATTTGTTTACTCCTGTTACCTGTGCGCCTGCTGTTGTAGCTGGCCACCACGTCACCCGGAAAAAATCATACAAAGCTCACGCGACCACGACCGTGTTGTTGACTGCCATCCCCAGCTTCAACATGGCCGCCTCCCCCGTTCAGAACCCCGCGGTTCAATCCGAATCCAAGTCGGCCAAGAAGAAGAAGGCCAAGGCTGCTGAGCGTACCGATTCTCCTGCTCCCACCGCCTCTCCCGCTCCTGAGAAGGCTGATGGTTCTGATGAGTCCGGCGAGAGCCCCTACGTTCGGGAGCTTCAGAAGTACGAACCGACTATCAATTGATGCCTCTGAGATGTTTTATTTGCTAACCGATTTCTATAGGAACATCCGCAACACCAACAAGAAGCTTGTACGTGCTCCTACCCCTCTCTGCGCTTAGCTTTCTCCGCTGACATGTTGTCAAATAGACCAACGCCTCTAAGATCGATAATTTGATTGCCGAGAACCCTGGCAAGACCCTCGACCAGCTCGTTGCCTCCCGCATCATCAATGCCGACCAGAAGGCCCAATACCAGAAGAAGCCTGCTCTTCAAGCTCAGGTTCAACAATACGAGGAGCAGCTTGCTCAGTACAAGAAGATTGACCAAGAATACCGTACCCGCGCTGCAACTGAGAAGGCAGAGCTGGAGAAGGCCTTCGCTGAGAAGCTGGAGAAGGAGAAGGCTGACGCTGTTGCCGAGGTGAAGGCGAAGTTGGAGGGTGACTCCAACCAGTCTCTTACTAGCAAGCTCCTGATCCTGTCGCAATTCCTCCGGCTTGCCGCCGCTCGCCGATCTGAGGAAGCTGACCAGAGTGTCGACGAGAACCTTGCTCTCGAAGGAACCCTGCTTGCTATCTACGCAGGTGACGAGAGCGCTGTCGCTGCCATGCTGAAGCTCATCGACGGCACCAACGATAAGACGTATGGTGTCAGTGGCGAGCAGCTCGAGACGACTTGTAAGTTACGGCCCGTTAACCCCGAATTGCTATTCCTACTGACCTTTCCAAGTTGCCCAGGTCAAGGCTGCCTCTCAGGCATACAAAGCGCCTTACGAGGAGGGTGTTGCTGCCGAGGCTGGAGCTGTCGAGCCTGCTACCGATCCCACCGTCGCCAACGCTACCGTGAACGAGATCGAGGCTGGCGAGGGCGTCGCCCTGATCAACGGCCACGCCGAGCACAACACTGAGAGCCCTGCCAACGCCAACATCACTAGCGGCTCCGGCAACGCTGCTGGCGAGAAGTGGGACCAGAACGATAACAACTTGTCTGAATCCCAGGAGTGGGTTTCTGTCCCTCGCGATCCTGCCGAGACTGAGACTGGCGTCGAGGCCACCCCTGCCGCTGCCTCCAACACCCAGTCCTGGGCTGACGACCAGCCTGAGCACCACGAGACCCAGGCCGAGGTTCGTGATTTTTCATCTACACCCACATCATGACATGTTTGACTGACATTATACAGGCTCCTGCTGCAGCTCCCGCGGCTGATCCCAATGATGGCTTCCACCAGGTGCAGGGACGCAACCGCGGACGCGGTGATCGTGAGGGCGGTTCCGGTCATCGTGGCCGCGGCCGTGGCGAGTGGCGTGGACGTGGTGGCTACCGTGGCGAGGGCCGTGGTGGTCGTGGCCGCGGCGGTCAGCGTGGCGGCTCCGTCTCAATGCGAGGACCTCGCCGGACTGAAGAGTCGTAGAGGCGCTCTGTTCGACGGCGTTTTCGGGCATCTCGACGGTCGTTGAGTACGCCCCATCCCTACGCGTCGTCACGTGTCTCCCGACGAAATTATATGACTGGAGCATGGCGACGCCCTACGCAACGTGATTTACTGCAAGCGCTTTGATAGGTGTCAAGGCCTTTTGGTATGGGTGGGGAATGTTGATAATGGACGATTAACGCATTCGGTTTCCCTATTCTGGGTTTGTGGTTTATGGGCGGTTGGCATGGCTGGCGGTGTCGGGTGGCGTGGCTTACGCTTGTACAATACATAGCATGACTTTGGGCCGGCATACAAAAAAACAACCAGGAATGAGATGATAATACCCAAGAATTTGGATGTGTACATTTGAGTGATCTGTGGGTAACCAAAGGACAGATGGTCTGTATTACAGAAACGAGAGACTTGGAAAAAATAAAGAAACTAGGATGGCCTTATGATGCTGTGGTCTGGTGTCTGACCTTGTGGGGGCGGCTACACATGTTGTCGCCTATTCCATGACTGGCTTGCATTTTACCAGGAGCCTCTCTAAGGTTATTAGGCCGAAACCATTTCACAACCAAAATATGTCAGATGTATATTCTCAAAGCAAGTGATACATCTATATCTTATTTCTTTCAAGAAGTCAGCTCTGAAACCATGCAAGGGCAAGGCACTCACACGTCAATACCATGTCCCCCAATGCTTGCTTCAGCCAGCGACTTTGAATTAGATTGTAAGATGATTCATTTAAATGTTTTATATTCGAGAGAGTTGTGTTGTGCAAGACCCTGCGGAGAGTGTCGTATAAATTTGTGCAACTTTGATAAAAGGCCCCTGTAATTGGTCTTTACAAGACTGTTAACGCCTGTCTATTGAAATGCTGGATTCTCCTCAGTGTCAGCAGTCTCGACGTGTAAGACTCAAGTTGAATACCAACATTGGCATGAAAACACACTCACCCAGCCATTCAAGAGAGACGCTTCATCAATTTGCTTCTGGATAAGAGGTTCTGAGCTTGAAAGCAGGTATGCTGGGACGTAAACGGCTCCATGCACCGGGTGCATAGACGCCTGGTGAAGTGGCCGAAGAAGGTCTGAGTCGAGGTGCAGTTACTCATGGTGACACGTACGGGGATGGGTGAGATGTGTTCAAGCCGACTGGGTTGCAATCTTCTATTCGTGATCAAAAGTCGTATAAGTAGATCCTTTTTAGACTACGGGAGGGCTATCAAACTCAGCTTTTTCCCCCTGCCGAATCCGCCGCAACCTAGAACGTGTATTACATTTGCCCCTCTCCGCCATTTTTCGTCAGCCGCCTTTGGTCCAGGCGACGAGAGTGGAGGCCGAGATTCTGTTAAGCATACCGACATTCTCACCTTGGGGATGGGGGTTATACAGGGCAAACAATCACGGCAGTCCTCGCCAAGGTGGTTTTTGTTTCTGTTGTGCTGACTGGTCCTTCCCCCCTCACTTTCTTGGCGGGCGGCTTACGGAAGCCCTGGGCTGTGTGACAAGGCTTTGGATTGGGCGGGGGGGAAAACTTGCTTCGTTACACCAAGTGTTCGTCTGACTTGTGGGGACGGCACACTCACTCACGTTTACGCAGGCAAATCGGCGAATCCACACATCGTATGTGGGCGAAACCAGCACAGAACGCTCAGAATGGGAAAAGTGGTGTTGTTGGTTGGAAGAACTAACTAACTGGCTAGAGGGCTGTGGAGGCTGGCTAAGACCAGTGGTGGCGGCCGTCAGCCCACGTGACGGGCCGGCGAGGCCTGCCACCCACATCGTAAGCATTGGGGGGAGGGAATCAGCCTCACTGTAGATGGCGGCAATTGGGGGTTTCCCCCCCGGTGCTGATCCTACAAGGAGGGCGTGTATTTTTGGGGGCGGTCTTAGTCATCGGCGACTTGTAAAGTCGGGTCCAGATCATGCGGATGTTGGTTAACGCCGCAGATCGTGATGAGTGAGCGAACCTACTTGGCAAATGGGCGGGATGGGACATGCTGCTGGGGGGGTTGTTAATACGAAATGACGTTTAGCTAAATTGGCAATGGGTTTAGGATCAGATCATGAAGTCTGATTTGAAATGGAATTCCGCATGGAGATAGCCGTCTCGATGAAGACGAGAGAGAGGCTTGCTTACTTTAGGCTATCAGCCGACTTTCACGATTACCAAATCACAAAACGTACGCAGGAACGAATGATTTTGAACGAGTGAGAGAGACAGAGCACATTGCGCCGTGTCCCTTGTCATGATTAAATTATATGTATATATGCTGCAACCAGATACGCCTCCCAAGATACCCCCATAATCATTATGCGCGGCACATTCTGCCGTCGGCCGCAACGTTCCACGCGTCGCTACCGACCGTCTTAAGCGCGTAAAAGACGCCAGTGGAATCCCACTTCTTCTTGATTTCCAAGAGACGGTCGTAGTTGCCGCCGAAGAAGGCCTCCTTCCAGTTCTCCATGTTGAAGTCGGCCTCGTTGACGTAGTTGCCGCTGCCGGGGGTGGCGGCCTCGATGGGCGGCATGATGTCCTCCGTCATGCGCTTCTGGTCAGAGACCATCTGGTTCCAGTTGGCGGGGTCGTTGCTCCAGGCGGTGGAGTACTGAACGTGGATGGCGGCGTTGCGCCAGTGAGGGTTGACAGCGTTGTCGACGCCAGCGGGGGCGCTCGCGTTGAGGGCGACACCGGCGGAGAGCACGCCGTACTTGTCGGCGCCGTAGCGGATCGCATCGACGTAGCCGGCGCGGGCGGTGGTGTCAGAGAGGACGGAGCGAGGCACCAGACGAGAGCCAAAGTTGTAGGACTCGACAGCGACGTGGCCGTAGGGGAGAGGGCCCATCCACTTGTTGTAGTGGTCGCGGTAGCTGTAGTCGGTGGCGGAGGAGGAGTAGGGGATACCGAGGTCGGCAAGGACGTCGAGGAAGGGCTGGAGGATGGCCTTGGCCTCGACGGAGGTCTTGTTGTAGGCCGTCAGGGGGTTGATGGCGAAGATGGAGCTGCTGTAGAGGAAGACGACCATGGCGCCCTTGTCGGTCATGCCGGGAAGGAGAGAGTGGAAGGAGTCGAGCATCTGCCACCACTTCTCTTGGGTAGTGTAAGCCGCGGCGGTCTGCAGACCAACACCGCCGACGTTGGCATCAGGGTAAGCGCGGACGGTGACGGACGTGACGACGCCAAAGGTACCGGGGCCACCACCGCTGAGGGCCCAGAAGAGGTCTGCGTTCTCCTTGCGGGAGGCGGTGACGATCTTGCCGTCGGCAGTGACGACCTCGAACTCGAGCGCCTGATCGGCGGCCATGCCGAAGTTGGTGGTGAGCGCGGAGTGACCACCGCCCTGGATGTAGCCACCGGCGGGGCCGACAGTGGGGCACTCGCCGCCGACAACGACGAGACCGGCGGACTTACTGGCCTCGGTAATCTCGTAACCAAGAACACCGGCGCCGAGTTTGATGGCGGGACCGTTCCAGAGGTCGTCGGACCAGCTGGTCACGGTAATGTCCTTGAGCTTGTGGGTCCAGGCGGCGAGAGCACCGGCACCGGTTGATCGACCAAGATGGCTGGAGAAGGGAGTAAAATTAGCGGGGGATTTGTGGACGCAAATGGAGTTTGGGAATAAGCTTACTCATGGCCCGTGTTGCGAACCAGGAAACGGATGTTGTTCTCCCGCGCAAAGTTGACGGTCTCGACGACGTCCTGGGCGGAGGTCACCTCGACGGCGTAGTTGACGTAGTTGCCGAGCAGGCAGGGGGTAGTGCGGTCGGTGAAGGGATCGCAGGACTGGTTGGCGAAGTAGCTCTGCATCACGGAAGATGAGGAGGGGAAGCTAGCGTCGTGTTAGTGGTGGTGACTTGACACAATTCTCGAGAGCTTGGTAGTGACATACTGAGTCTCAGGGAGAGTCCAAGCCGCGCGCAACGCCGTGCATGCGGCCTCATCGTAGTTAGGGTCGTGGCAGACCGAGCCGATGGGCACGGTAGCGATGAGCTTGCCGTCAACGGTGGTGTTGAGGGTGTTCCACGAGTCCGTAGAGGGCCAGCAGGCGTCACCGGGAAGGCAACGACACGAGTCATCAGCGCGCTTGTGGAGGACGGCGGCGGCGGCGGCAAAGGGCGCGGCAGCAAGGGCTGCCGTTGCAATGACGGCGGAAGACTTCATCTTGACAGGGCTGGAGGAGCGGAGAGCCGTGAATGAGTGTATAAAAAGGAATGACTGGGCTGCTGCAGGGAAGACTCCTGACGACCACACGAATCGTTAGGGCCATGGCGGGATGGTCTTTATATTGGAGGGATACCACGGCTTGGGAGGCCAAGAAGGCCGGCGTTGTTGGTTTGCAACACAAGACTGCGATCTTCTGGGCCCGGGCTGTGTAGAGGTCGTAGAACAGGGATGCAGAACGGGAGGGGGGCCAACCGTTGGAAGGTCTCGTCCGCGGCGCCAGGGCCGGTACTGGGGGTATCCCCCTTTGGGCAGCAAGCCCGGCATTGTGTGGTGTCGACGGGGTTATATTGCGGAGTCGCTGTACCCAGTGTTTTCCCCTTGAAGCAGGGACTGGGGGGCAAACATAGTGGTAGTTCTATCCACAGTCCACATTCTCTTTGCCCGAGCTTCTTCGGTCTCTTTTCTGCTCAGGATCGACGCGAGGTTCTTGGGGGGGGCTTGTGCGTCCTTGCACTGGGAAAACTGGATGAAAGTTGGATAACCATCGAGGCTTAGATTCTGAGCGCGAAATGAGACATGCGTACGGAGTACGTGTCATTCGATTTGGCAGGCTTCTGGAAGGGTTATGGAAGACTTGACCAGGGGTTCGCATGAAATCGAATCTCATCAACTGCCGGGGGTGCTGGTCAGGGGGATGAGCATCAGACGAACAGCTGTACGAGACAGCTTTAGATAAGTCGACATATGATAACTGCAGTTGGAATCGTGTTCTCTGTTGGTAATGCTGCAGCTTTACCCTGGACAATTGGCGATAACTGATCCCTGACTCGTCTGGATATGCCTCGGTTGCCACCTCCAGCTTGGCCCCTACTAGAGCCTGTTGACGAACACCCCTGTGTATCTACACTAGTGCCATCTCCATCTGGTCTTTGTTCCTGTTCCTGCAGCACAGGCCCCATACTGGCTAATACATAGCAGGCTCTCTTTGTCTAGGACGGGCCGTTGGCACACTGACACTGCGAGACGTTGACGGTAGTATTCGCACTGATGTTAACTTTGACGACGGGAGTGGCTGACGGTATTTGCCCTAATCTTGCGGGTATCACAAATGAATTCATATTTTGTGTCAACGGTGTACTAAAGTTGAACGCCGTGTCCGCCATAGTTCGTCGCTAGGATGTCTATTTTGAGTTGACGCAGGGAGAGGAGAGAGCAAATGTCAACTAAGACATTGGGCGCAGAAGCAATTCATCAGCCGTGTGGGGTGCATTTCGTACGGAAGGATTCTTGGTGCCTTTCTTTTTTGTGTCCATTTTTCGATAGTCCGAAGGACATGTTCCCTGTTCCGGCCAAGACGACCATTTTTTTGAAAACCAACAACACACAAACAAATATGTGCCGAGAACGAGAAATAATTTGCCGCCTCTCCCGTCCACACCACCACCACACCAACACCATCGAAAAATCACTTCCCAAATCAGTTCTTCCTCTTATCCAATAGCGGCCACTAGCGCCGCCGTTGCATGGCCTAAAATGGCCCAAACGTCTAGAACCTGCTCCGAAGCCTAGCAGGGCACGATGTCACCGGCCCGGGGCGAAAAAAGGAGGACCGAACGTTTGCGAGTGGCGACGTCGAACGATATAACTTCGGCGATAATGTCAAACTTTGGGTTTAAACCCTTTCTTTGTACCCTGCGGGAGGGGTCGAGAGAGAAAAAAAAAAAAAACAACCGTAGTCTGTGTCAGATGCGTTGCATCGACTTTCTTCTTACATAGTATCTTCGGCCGAGTCCCGAAGTCGGTAGCTGCCGATACACCTGAGTTCTGCAGCGAACCCCCGGCTCATCCCCCAGTGACCTCTTTTTTTTTTCTTCGCCTCCGCGCAAACACGTGTTGCTGCTCGGGATGAGGGGCCTAACGGGGATGTGTGGGTTTGGAGGAGGGGACTATTGTACTGGGATCAATTTCGGTGGTGAGGTTCAATTTGAGCTCGTGCGCAAACGCGGACAGTTACTCGGGCTGACGCAATATCTTATTCATTCCGAAAGGTGGGACTATATTCTTTTTATCTATCTTTTTTTCTCGATCCATACGTCTTGGGAGGTCCGAGTATCGATGAGTCACTGGCTTGAGGCTCTGCTCTTCCTTTCCTACTTTGGCCAATGTCCTTGTATCTCGCTGATCGGATCACTCGGTGTTGCGCCAAGCCCATGTTTTAGGCCCTGTTACACTGCACGAAGCCTATCTCTCCCGGCTCGCTGAGGAGGATGTTTGTCGGCCTGGCAATCATCCATGCCCCGAGACCTTGTCTGCTGGGCTCCGGCTCAAGGAACGCGCACCTGGCGGGCTGGCCGGGCGGGGGGTAGATGAAGACGTTGGTCACGATGCCGTTGCTGTCTGTCAAAGGTGTCAGCAAGGGGGGTTTTGCTTTTTGCCTCGGCTACGGAGGCCAGAGCTCAATCGAGGTAGGCTTACCGATGGGGTACCCTGAAAACGTCTCAGGTACGTCCACGAGATCGGTCGACGTGCCATTTTCATAAGTGAAAGCTATGCCGAACACAACAGAGGGCTCCTCCTCCTGTGGTGCTGGGGCAGCCGCAGCGAGAGAGGCAAAAATGGTGACGAGGGCTGTGGTGAACTTCATATTAACCGATTACAAATGTGCTCGTTGGTGTCGTTTTGGGGTGATTCCGTGGAGTCAACAATTTCATTTTATAGACTCCAAGAGTCTTCAAGTTTGCTCGTAAACCGTCATTCTCCCGCTGACAGAGCGCCACGTCGATACGAACAACACCGCCTTTCTCTAACCACTCGCTTCTCAAGCCAAGAGGTGGAAGTCCACCATCAGTCGTCTTGTTCGTGTTCCTGAAATCGTATGAAGGTAACGTCACCATACGAGACGGAACACGCCTGCTTGATGGCAAATGCTGACAATCATGGATGCCTTTAGAACAGCATGTGGCTTACATTTGGCTTTCAAGCGCAACCGAGTTGCGGAATTTGACTTGGCTTTGTAATCCGGGGCTCTCAATTCTAAGCGACGATTCAAAATTCCCGCTGACAAGCATTTTCCCGTGACTTGGCAAATCGTGCTCGGTAAAGCCAATGTAACATGCAGTCAAGTTCGTGACGTCCTTGGAGGCGGAATTCCCTCCGGCACTTGCGGGGCATTTTGCGAAATATGCGGGGTGTAACATTCACGATATAGTGCTCTCCGACCAGAAAGCGGTTTTTAGAAACACTGACTAGAGAAGTCCGACATGACTCGTACTCGATTCCGGCACTTGTCCATGAACTCTGATTGGGACAAATTCCATCAAAGTTCCAATTGTGAATCCCTGATCCAGGCCCTCCACGACAATTCTGACGACCATCGTTCCCCCGCTAATCTTCATCTCCTGACGAACCTTGAAGACGGAACTGTGGATCAGGTGTGCGACATTCATTTTCCAGACAGAACCAAGCCAAGACTTTTGAACTCTCACAATCATTCATACTACCAACGGCGAGTGCTTGATACCAATGGGGTTGACAAGTATTTCGCGATGCAGAGCCAGACGATCAGATCAGCGAATTCCGGTAAACAAAAGCGGCGGCTCGTTACGAGCATCGGAGCTCCACTCCTTGCCGAAGGTGATGTCGCCGCAGATATCCCGATTTTCGTTGTTGACTACCCGCTCGGTGCTGCTTGCTCTGGTGTTGCTGTGCGCATAAGGTATATTTGAAGAGGAAAAGAAAGGTTTTCGTGCATCCTTTCAAAACGCGATCCGTTCTTCACCAAAGGGTGGTCGGGTGATTTGAGGCCCATATCGCGCCTAGATGCTCCGTCCATTGGTCTGAAAGCCTTTTAAAACATCGGGTCCGCAAGATGTGTGCTGTGCCAAGTAGTCTTGCTGCAATTGTGTATAGATAATCTCTCGACCATAATATACTTCAACATTTGGCAGGTAGGTTTATCCATTCGAAGCACTGCATCTTGGTGGAGGACTCTCTGGATACCCCATAGAACTAAAGCCAAAGACATTGGATTCAGAGTAATCAAGGAAATGCCAAAAATGGCGATCCTAGTACCCGGCCGCTGGAATCGATTTTGATCCCCTCTTTCCTTAAGAGCAACCGCTTCTCATCGAGAGTTATGCCCTCTCCATTTCTCGGCCACTTGCCCTTGAAGCCTCCCAGGGCTCCACCAGTGGCAACAACCCTGTGACATGGAACTTCTGGTGCGAAAGGATTCCGGCGCAACGCGTTGCCAACGGCCCGTGGTGACGACTTGAGATGAGCTGCCAGGATACCATATGTGGTAACCTGACCCTTGGGTATTTGGCAAAGAGCGGTCCAGACCCTCTTCTCGAACTGGGTGCGGTTGGAGCGCGCGATGCGGTCAATCTGTGTTTTCATATCGTCGCTTTCTGGGATGCGACACGGCAGTATATCACGCTCCACAGGCGACACCTTTGTAACGGATGTTCTGGGCATGATGATGGGATGAATGGATGAACAGCTGAGGTTATTGTGATGGTTACGATGTGTGAAGTGACGGTCTAGGTTCCCGAGTTGGCACTTCTGAGTGAGACGACAGAACAGAGAGATGATAGTCCACTGCAGTGAGAAGAAGCATAAATAACCAGTTTGTTGTCTTTTGCGCTGAGTCAACGGCGAAGGTTTGTCCAATGTCATGGCAAGGGCGCGTCGCAGACCCGCGACTGTCCTAGCGGGGTCAAAACGCGAAGTCGCGCGATCACGTGATATTCGTCATGTGACAGACCATTGACTGGCAGATCAGCTATCCATCGGAAGAGCAATGTAGAATGCGGTGTATTCTGAAGGAGAGTGGGCTCATTACTGGCAGTATAGATTTCATTTTTGACTCTGATATGGTTTGTCTTTACGACAGCGAAGAACAGTTCATGATGGGTTGAAGAGGCGGTGAAATACACCAGTGACATGACGTATTGCATGGATTTCCAATTTTTACCATGCCGACTTTCTTGCTTTTTAAAGATGCCCATGCACAGTTTGGTAACATACGGCCTGATTTCCACAAGTCTTGAATGTTGTATACAACGGGTATCCTTGACCTCCAACTTTACTCTTGGTGTCGTAGTCTTCCAATAACGCCAAACTGAACCAATCGTAGAGAAAGTACAGTGTTCTGAGTTTGTATGCAAACGCAGTAGCATGACTCTCGACAACTGCGGAATCTCATCCTCCTATAATGTGCCTGATGCAGAACCATACATCCAAACCCATTAATCACCGGTGTCAACCTCCAAGTCAAGCTGCACACCGTTGCTGACTCCGTAATCCTCCAGCGTGAGGTGATCCTTGAACGGTCGTTCGCCTTGACGCTTCAACAGGATCTCGTGTGGCTCCCGACCGACTCTAGCCGCTACCAGAATCTTGAACATCTTGACGGGATCCGAGGCAAGGCAAGGAATCGCAGCTTTGGTACCCAGGCGGTCGTTGACGTGGACGATGATCATCTCTTCACCGCCGGCAGCAGGCGCGGGGGCTGGTGCAGGCTTCTCTTTCTTGCTGGGTTTTGGCGCGTCCTTCGAGCTTGAGGGGCCGGATCTACTGTCTCTTGGTCCCGAATCACGGTCGCGCGGGCGATATCTGTCGTTGTCGCGGTCTCTGTCTCGGTCCCGACGAGGTGAGCGGGAACGGTTGCGGTAGCCGCGCTCGAGGCCTCGTCTTTCATCGCGGTCATCGCGGTCGTCTCTGCGGCTCTTGTCCTTCCATCTAAAACCTCCTTGCTTTCTTGGTCTGTCTCTATCTCTTTCGCGGTCGCGATCGCGATCTCGCCGAGGCGAGCGGGACCTCGAGCGCTCCCTATCGGCCATGGTGGGGTAGGTTGGGCTGGCGTGGAAGAGAGAGGTTGTCAGCTGCGACAGCGAAGCTAGCGACGTGCTGAAGCAACACAATTGCCCCACCAGTATGCACGGCCCACCTACCATGCACTAGCGGTGCGCCGCGTTATGGGGCATTTTCAGAAGGGCTGAGACTTGTTCAGCGATCTCTAACCTTAAACATGTTCGTCATCAATTGACATTGGCTTCTTGTTCCAGGAGGTATCCTACTATCTTGGCTCACTAATACACAGTCGATCACTGAGTATCCAGCTGACCTTCTTAAATTATCCGTTAACAGCAACCTCTTCCTCCAGTGCCCTGTGGTTCGTATGTTTCAAAGTGCTCAACGTGGTCCACTTCTCTCTCCGCTCGATTTCCGTCCTGGTAGGAGAAGAGATGCATCTGACCCTGCAGCACGTGGAACTGAATGCCAGAAAGTGTCCATGTAATTAACTCGCGATATGGACCAGGTTGTGGCGACGTGAAAACTTGCTGATGGGAAGACGTCTCGAATGGCCCTGATGGGGCCCGTGAGACCAAGGGGATTGCTAAACAGTGTGTCAGTAACCAAGTCTGTAACAACGGATACTCAATTGCTGTCTTCCTCACCCGTCCTGTTGTGAGAACGTTTACGTTTACTGTAGCAACATTTCCAAAGTATTAAGATTGTGGGGGGAAGTGCTACGACAAGCGCGACGATAGTAACGATAGCTTCGAGGGTGATCTCCATTTAGTAAGTGTAAACTCAACACTCCTTAGACTCTGTTATAACAGAATCCAGTGAAAGTTCGGTGATAACTTGGCTTAGAGAGAGAGAAGCATCGAGTAACAGAAAAATCTATGGTGAAGGATAAAAGAATCTGTCGAGTTGCCCGCTGACTTGTCCTATCTTATACTTGAATATCTTGCCATTACTATACTACTCAAAAAGAGAGCCTCTGTTTTCAGACTTGGGTCTTGACAAATGGCAATTCGACATGCCCTTTGCCTAATGCACCAGGCCCTTACGCAGTCCTGCGCCTCTTGCCTGGCCATTTACTCAACAGCTACCAGGCCAGTCATTTCAGACTGCGGGCTGAGCCTATGACTGTCCTCAGTGACCTCGCTTGTGCAAAAACGTATCGAGGCTGTGAGGATGTCTTAGTTCTTGTCCGAGTTTCGAGGTCAGGTACCTCATGCTTCTTTTTCTGATGTCGGCTTCAGCCAATGATATTACAAGTTGCGCCGTTGTGAACAGCGCATGCTTCGCAAAAATGCATGGGTTAGACGCACGCTGTAAGGTGACAAAACGCCCATTCAGATACGGGTTCTGACCAATAGCTTTCTACCCACACTTGCTGCATCATTTGAGCTTTCAGATATCGGACTCGGCCAATCACAGGGACCTGGGGTTACAGCCAACAACAATATTTCCCTGACGTCCCCCCAACTTGTGATATAAGGCTACATATCTCTCCTATTTCTCCTTTGCTTTCTTCATTCCTTAAAACTGACTACCTGTAACAGCCACGCCGCATCCTCCAGTCCTCAACATCAGTACACCAAAATAGAACCCCAACTTTTGGTTGTCTTGTATTCAGTTCCTTAACATTCAACCTTAGGATCTTCTAACTACAACATGGCTTCAACCAATAAGCGACCTTCACCTGCTGAATGGCTAAAATACAAGCCCGTGATACGGCATATGATTGTTGAGGGAAATAAGTCTCAAGAAGAGGCGAGGCAGCTCCTAAAAGATGACGAGTTTTTTGTGACGCAAGTTTGATCATTTCTCCCCTCCGCTGTTCCAGCTAACACCAAGAAGCAAAGCACAACTCGAGTACAAGTTGAAGATTTGGGGTTTCCGAAAAAAGGCCCCAAAGAAGGGAGGCGAACAAATCTGGCAGTTTATCGGTCATCGTGTTGACCAAAGGACGCGACAAGGCAAAACCAGCGAGGTCATACTCGACGGACGAGTAATTGACCCCGCCAAAGTCCGCAAAGAAACGAACCGGCATCAACCTACGACAATCGTCAGATATGCACCAGGTAAGTCTTTTCATCTGGGTATTGTATACGTCTTAGTCCACTGATTCAATAGCTGTAGAGATACCGAGCACTCCCGGAGGTGTAGATCTATCGATATGTACACCTGCTGCAGTGCCCATGCGCTTTTCATGGCCGAGTAGCCTGCCTTGGCTTCAATTCCAACCGAAACTTTCACACCGTAAGTCAGGCAGTTGTAGATGGCAGTTCTGGCTTTTTATTAAGATTTTGAAGTTTTATCTTCGTTGATTCTCCCAAAACATATCTTCAACACACCGTTTGGGATAGGCATCCACGGGGAAACTCTAGCCTTCACCAACATGATTCGTTTCCCCCTCGAGATGACTAAGAACAGCACCTCTCGATTGGCTGCTGAGATTGGCTCTGTAATGCCAGAAACTTTCGAATATGAGAACACCACCCGAGCTCAACAGTTGCTGCTAGGCCCGAACCGCGAGGCTTGTAACGAATACGTCAAAATCATCTTCTACGGGCTGTCAAACAACCTTGACAGCCTCAACACACTTGATCTCGACCAGTTGGACCAGTTCTTTGGTTTACTTGAAGACTTCAAAGTCACGGAAACACGTCTTCCGGTTAAGGAAACTGCAGATACCACTATAAAGGCAGTCACAGTAAAGCTTTTCCAGACCGCCATCTGTAACTTAAAGTATTACAAAACCGAAGAAGACTTGATGAAAAGTCCAACATGGAGAATTATCATATGGCTTCTTGACTCAGGGCAAGACCCCAACATTCACATGCGGATCAAAGGCGAAATGATGACACCATTACAACAGGCAGTATTGGAGCCCTGCCATCCATCTCTAGCTATGCTACTGCTGGACGCCGGCGCCGATCTCAAGTTGACACATTCAACAGATCTTAAATTCAGTCCTCTTACACTCGCACTTAAAAGTTACAAAACCCACAGTAATAACGAGCTGCACCTTCGCCTGATTAAGTTCCTGATAGAAAAGGATGCTTCAATCAATCCGGCCAGCAGCCACTTACACAAGTCTTCAGCGCTCATGGAAGCACTTAAGTATGGAATGGACAGTTGGGAACTGCTTGATATCCTGATTCAAAGTGGGGCAGACGTCCTTCACCGGGTCAATGACGGAAACTGGTTTACGCAGACGGAGAGTATCCTTGGAAGTGCCTTGATGAACAGGGATGAAACTGTGGCAGCAGAAATATTTACGACTTTGCTGGAGCATGCAGTACGATTGAGCCCCGAAACCCCGCTCACTGGCTTCGTCTCAATTGATGAAGTCTTGCTGGCAGCTTCAAGGGGGTTTGAACGCATTTTAGGTCTGCATCATAGTCTTGGTATTGACCTGGCTACCCCTGGTGCCAAAGGATTCTCTGCTTTACATGTTGCTGCTTCCTACGGGCACCTCGATACTTGCGAATGGCTTATCGCATATGGAATGCCTGTTGACGGCCTATCGCAACCGCTGGTCGTCCCTTCACCACTGTGTCTGGCAGCTTACAATGGATATCACGCTATTGCCAAGCTTCTACACCGACATGGTGCCAGCATCAATTACTCCTTCAACGCCAGGTTTTGGTGCCAAACATTTTCATTGTTTAAATTTTATCCGGGGTCTGTTGGTAATCCAATAGGTATCGCGATTTTATCAGGATCGAAAGAAACATATACGTACCTGGCTGACAATGGGGCAAGCATACCCGACTGGGCTGCTTATCATGGAGCTGGCTTTGCAAAAAGTCATGATCTGGTACGGTTTGCCTTGGGAGCAGGCGCGAACCAAAATTGGAGATCAAATACCGGCAAAACCGCACTGCAGGCCGCTTTGGAGCCGTGGAGTGTTGGGAAGGAGTCAATGATGAGCCACAGATTCAGCTGTGTCGACATTGCAAATACTTTGCTAGACGCTGGTGCTATTTTGGTTGGTGGTGAGATTCAAAGCGCAATGTTACTTGGCGATTTGAATCTTGTCAACCGGATTATTAGTTGCAGTCAGTTTGACTGCTACCAGCAAACAGAAGTCATGTCTATGCTTGAAGCAGCTTTCATCAGTGGCAACCCACAGATTGTGGAAGCGGCCTTTACTTGGAACCCAAATGCTTACGACCCTGGCGCTCTCTGTGCCAGTATTCTTCTTGCCCGTTCAAATGGTAACGCAACAAATGTTCAGCGGCTGCTGTGCAACCGCCAGCAATCAGCTTCTGTGTCAACTCTAGAGCACTTAGCTATTGGTATAGCAGCACGGTATGGAATGATAAAAATATTAGATTTACTTTTGGAGAATTTTTCGTCGTCGTTGTTGGCCATTCCTTTGCCCATCGAGAGAGACGGATGGATTCCTTATTACGATTACACAGATCTCATGGATGGCGTAGACTCGGTTTTAGATCAAGACAGAGTCATGCCGATCCCGTTCTGGCATAGGAAATCAATGCCATCCAGCTTTTTTCATGGTTCACCACTTGTCTTGGCTCTTGAATCAACAAAGTTACTGTCACGGCTTCTGAAGCACGGATACCGGCCTGATAGCCTTACAATGTTTGTCGCCGCCCTGAAACAGGATTCGACTATCATCAGGGAATTGTCACAATATCCCCGTCTGGTAGACAGACATGAAAAAGTCCCAGGACTCCTATCAGAGTGTGTGAAGCAAAATGACCTTGGCAATGTACGATTTCTCTTGAGTGAAGGAGAAGATGTCAATGAAGATAACAGCCACGTCAGATACGGCCGAAGCCCTCTTCAGGAAGCCGTAGAGGAAGGAAATCTAGAGTTGGTGGAGCTTCTCGTCAAAGCCGGTGCCAACGTCAACACACCGGCAGCCAAATATGGCGGCGCAACTGCTTTGCAGCTTGCAGCAATCAAGGGGCGTCTTGGTATTGCAAGGGAGCTGAGAGAGCTTGGGGCAAATATTGACGCTCCTGGTGCTGAGGAACATGGCCGGACTGCTCTAGAAGGCGCGGCGGAACATGGACGAATCGACATGGTTCAGTACCTTCTGAGTGAAGGAGCTCAGACCACTGGCCCTGGTCAGTTACAGTACTTGCGCGCCATCAGATATGCCCAAGACTCTGGGCAAATGGTGGTGGTGGACCTGCTCAAAGGTCACAGAGAATGGACAGCGGATGATGATACATTATGGGAAGAACTGTTTGCGTCGTCATACAATAATTTGGAGAGGTATGAGGCAAGAGCAGGCGAGCTAGTCACTGACCAAGACGATGGAGAACTAGACACGGACATTACATCGCACAAAGGTTTTAGCCACGGCGAGGAGAGCTCTGGTGATGATGAAGCAGATGACATCTCATCTGACCATCCAGTCCATAGTCATACGGACGACAATGGCGCGAATTCAAATGTATGTCTGGAGGATCTTGGACTAGCAGCGATTGAAGATTTGGAGATGATCACAGACGATTTTATGGCATTCATGGATACGGGACTTGCTGAATGAAATGGCTGGGAAGTAGCGAGAAGGAAGGCCCTTTCTTTTACCTTTTACCATAGATAGTATAGTTCAGTTACTTCTCGCTTTTTACTAAATTTTATGTTCTTGTTCCCACCTGTAAATAGGCTTACCTTACGCTGAGATAGCCAGGTTGGTGTCTGGTGATAAGATGATCGACAATAGGTATACTGTCTAAGACGACATTTTGAGTCCAATAATAAATTCAACAAAAAAGAAAAAGAATTAACTAGCACGACCTGGTTTCGATCCAGGGACCTCTGGGTTATGAGCCCAGCGCTCTACCCCTGAGCTACCGTGCTTGTACTACTTGTTGAAGGCCAGCGAGCTGTAGCCAGTCTAAGAAGGTAGTGGAGAGTGAGTCATTCCAAAGTCGCAATTTTTTCTTACTTTAGCTTCAGTCCGGCTCCGCTGTGGAAACGGCTCATCGAAATCTAGGTCGGCCACGAGGAAGGCGATGGGGCGGAGAGAGAGGGTCTCATGAGATTGCAACGTCTTGTCACCTAGATCCGGGGTATCGCCTCCACATTCCACACCACCCAAAATCTCCCAAGGACAGTCTTGAACAGTATATTACAGCGCTTTTTAATCATCAAAACCTTCAAACTCATCTTCCTTCCCACCGGCCGCCTTGGCTTGATTCTTCTTCCTGATCTCAGCAATCAGCTCATTCAACTCCATAGCCTTGATCTTCTCCTCATCCGTCATAGTCGACATCCTCTCGGCCTCCTTCTTACGTCTCCTCTTCTCCCGGCGCTCAGTCCGCAGGTCATCCCTCTCGTTCTGTTTGCTCCATGCCTCGTTTGTCTTGCGCTTCCTCTTTGCCTCGTCCGCAGCAGCGGTCTTCTCGCCGTTGCGCTCCGCTTCCAGCGCCGCCAGTCGAGCCGCTTCTCGGGTCTTGTCCTTGTAGGTATAGTTATCCCAGTCGAAGCCCTTGTTACCGAGCCACTTGTCACCCTCCCAGGTCTTGGTCTCGGGCATGCGCGGGAGCCGCAGCAGACCCCAGGCCTTGCCGAGATCGGCCCAGTCGAGGTCCTTTACGCGGAAAATGGAGGTCGTTTGATGGGCGCCGTAGCTGCGCACCCAGCTGACGAACGCTTTCTGGGCTTTATCGTTGAAGGCGCGGTCGCTGCGCAGAACTTCACGGAACTTCTCAGAGGCTTCGTTGGCTTCCTCCTCCGTAACAACGACTTCAGGTTTTGTGAGGGGGTAAATTGGCGTCTTCCGGACCTCGAGGAAGGGAACATAGTCCTCCTCATGACCGGGTTGCAAGAACACAACTGCAAGACCCTTTCTGCCTGCTCTTCCAGCACGTCCGCTTCTGTGAATGAAGACCTTGGGGTCTGAGGGAGGATCCACTTGGCAGACGAAGTCTACTTGCGGAATATCCAAACCTCTGGCGGCGACATCTGTGCAGAGGAGGATAGAGGGCGAGACTGAGTTGACGAACTTGGCAAAACTCTTCTCTCTCGCCTTGGGAGGGAGTTTTCCATGTAACGGTACAAGAGTGAAGCCTTCGGGGAGGATGGTAGGTAGGACGTGCTGGAAGTAGTCGACTGCAGCGCAAGATGACAAGAAGACAATGCTTCGTTGCGGCCGGGGGTTGAGATTCTCCAGCAGCTTGCATAGCGCAGGGAGCTTTTGGCTTGCTGGTGTGGTGAGGTATGCCATTTGCAGACTCACAGGCGTTTTCCTGTCTTCGATGATTCCTCCATCCCTCAAGCTCTTCACTCTGACTGCAATCTTGACGGGGTTTCTCAGACCGATTGTGATGATCTGAGACACCGCTTCAGAAACCGAGGCACTGAATAATCCCGTTCTTCTTTGCTTCGGGAGGTAGGACAGAACCCTCTGAATATCTTGCTTGAAACCCATATCCAGCAGGCGGTCCGCCTCATCCAGAATCAGGAGCTCAAAGGTCGCTTGTGTGCAGTGAACGTGGGGAGAGGCGAGGAGCTCTACAAGTCGGCCGGGCGTCGAGACGAGAACGTTAGGAGCATGCCTGACGAAGAAACTGAGGTCCTGCTGCGTCGTATTCGTGCCGCCGACAAGGAGCTGAGGTACGATTACGGGTACTGCTGTGTCGGGGCGCTTATCGTCTTGCTTGAGGCATGGCAGGATCTCTGCGGATGGCGGGTGGAAGGCGACGAGAGACTGGAGGACGGTATGGATTTGAATCGCAAGCTCGCGCGTCGGAGAGACGATGATTGCAAAGACATGGCCGCGCTTCGTGGGCTCTTGGAGGCGCATGAGTTTCTGGACCAGGGGAAGGAGGAATGCGAGGGTTTTGCCGCTGCCGGTGACGGCCTACAGAAGTCAGCTTGGAGTTGTGAGTCCACGCTCCATGGCATCATACCTCAACAACAACATCCTTGTGTCCAAGGAACTGCGGAAGACATGCCGCCTGGACGGGCGTCATCCGCTGGAAGCCTTGACTGGAGACGAAATCGAGGATCCATCTGCGCAAATGTTAGCACGCGCAGATATCTCAGAATAGTAGAACGGCTCGTACTCGGCCAGAGGAGGTGTAAGTCCCCTCCAGGACCTGGGATCCTTCTTCTTCTCATCAGGCGCCATTGCAAGAGTCGTCCAATTGGATCGTGGACTTTAAAGAAGAATGCGCTTCAGAAACGACTCTGCGAAAGACTTCGGCGCAGTCTGAGCTAGAGGGGCTGCTCCGAGAACTTTTTTTTGGTTATCGATAAGAGGCGGATCTAATCTCTTATCGATAGTGAATAAGGAGTCACGTGCCCTTCAAAGGTTATCGAGCTGCGGAATGTCGGTTTTCCTTGGCTCAGGGCCTTTGTCTGATCGCCCACGGACAAAGGAAGTGATATCATCCCGTCTTCCACCAACCGCCTTGAGCCACTCAGAGCCACAGGTGTCGCTGGTGCACAAGCACCAAGTGTCATCAACATGCCAGCCGTGCCACCCAGAGGCTTTTTTTCCAGCCATGATGCTAGCCAAAGTCCACCCGCACTAAGCGGTCAAGAAAAGCAGGGAAAGATATTGTTTGTCCCATACAATACTCCGTATACGATGCAGTAAGCAGGATGTCGGGCAGAACAGCGCTACCCGCACCAGACCCGCTCGACTAGAAGAACGAGATAGAAGCGGCGGGATGGCCGGAGATGGGCTCTCACATGCTTGCATAGAGGCAGCCAGCCAGCCCGTTCAAACGGGAACGTTCCCCATTCAGATTGGGACCGCACCAGAGACCCCTGCAAACTGGGCCGATGGGCTTGACACCACCCGACAAGGCCGTCTCTACTATGTTTAGTAGTCGCGTGCACCGGACGGTTTGGAGTAGGCTTCGGGGCGGTGGTCATTCGGGGGGCCTCGGCACACTGTGCTCGTGGTTATTTAGACTGTGGGCCAGAGCAGAGTCTGGTATAACCTTGTATTGAGAGATTACTCAGTGACACTAGCATGTGGTTTAGACATTGAAAACGCATACAAATAAATATTTCAAAAGACCTAATTTCACCATTAATTCAAAAGAAATCTCCATCATGGACGTTGACTAAATGTGGATAAAATACAACAAGAGGTTGGGTTTTCGGGCGAAGGAATTAGTTAGCTTGCTTAGCTAATAGACAGTGTCACCGGCCTCGCACACAGTACGGATAAGCCACGACAAAGTACTCGGTACCTTGGCCGCCAGAAAAATCCTCACCAGGCATTGGCGCTGGATTCGCAGCACAACAAGACACCGACAATCCGGTCCAAACTCTTCGTTTTAAACACATGTCACGCCGTCTGCTGACCGACCGCATGTCTGCGTGGTCCTCTTCTTGCCCGTCCCAGCCTGGCTCAATATGCGGCGGAGTCGTTCTCTGCTGCATCTTCAAACATCACCCTGGATCCAATAACCAAACCCGCTTCCTTTCTCGAATCCCAGGAAACCCAGCATAGCCATAAACGTTGTTCTCGTTTCGACCTCTTCCGCACCCACGCCCGCGCCGCCCACGCCTCCTCTGACGCCGCCGCCCTGTCCCCCCACGACGCCCGCCTGTCGAGAAAAGACAGACATCTCCACTCCTCACCCTGGCCTCTCTTCCGACTACTTCTCCCCTTCCAACGTATTCTGACGGGAGCAGTCTCTTGTCCTGCTCTTCCGCCCTTCCCATACACCATGTCCGTCCGCGCCGTGCCCTCCACGCCGCGAGTCATCTCTCCGAGCCCGACACCCTCAGAGATTGATGCATCGTCACAAGACAACTACTTTGGTCCGACGACAAGGTCCGCTACAAGGAAGCGGCTCTCTACTCCCCAGCCTGTACCAGAGCGGACAGAGGAGGATGACTACGAGCCGGCGACCATGCGCAGATCGCGCACGCGGAGTCGTTCTCCCATCGAGTCTCGCCGAATCACACCGATGACGACGGTCAAGTCGCACACGAAGACGAGCAAGTCACCCGTCATCCCGAGCGAACCGATCACAAACGGTGTTGCCACCAACGGCGAAGCAACCGGCAACGTCAACGGTAACGGCAACGGCAAAGCCCCGACGGCCAACGGCCACCTTGCCCCTCCGTCCGCCGCTCCCACGGGATGGAGCTGGCGGGACTTTAGCCGGAGTCCCAGTCCTTTGGGGCTGATACCCATTCACAGGAAATGGCGGACATTTGTACACAAGCACGAAGTGCCGAGGAAGGTCCTGCACGTCTCGATTGGGTTTTTTACACTTTGGCTCTATGTGTCAGGTATTCAGACAAGCTCAGTCGCGCCATGGCTCATGGCTGCGCTGATGCCCATCGCGACGGCCGACTACTTGCGTCATCACTTCGCCTCCTTTAATCGTTTCTACGTTTCGGTCCTGGGCGCCTTGATGCGCGAGAGCGAATACGCCGGATGGAACGGAGTCATCTTCTACCTGCTCGGCGCCTGGATTGTCCTCCGTTTCTTCCCCAAGGATGTCGGAGTCATGGGCGTCTTGCTTCTCAGCTGGTGCGATACGGCCGCCAGCACTTTTGGACGTCTCTACGGCGCCTACACCCCGCGCATCCGCCGCGGCAAGTCGCTGGCGGGATCGACAGCCGCCTTCCTCGTCGGCATCGCATCTTCGTACTTTTTCTGGGGCTGGCTCGCACCGCGAACCGGACCATTCCCTGGCGACGAGCAATACCCGTTCATGTTCACCGGGGCGCTGCATCTACCCCGCGCCATCGCAAGCGCAGTGGGGCTGTCGGATGCTCAGGCCACCATCACCGGACCGCTAGCGCTTGGAGTCATGGGCCTGTGGTCCGGCTTTGTGGCGGCCGCCAGTGAAGTAGTGGACATTTTTGGTTGGGACGATAACCTGACAATTCCGGTGCTCAGCGGCGCCGGCATTTGGGGCTTCCTCAAAATCTTTGGCTAGAAGGGCCACGGAATAGATGGACGGGGATTTATCATAAAAGGAAAAAAACACACACCAGGAATACACTAGCTCACCGACCGCTAGCTCGACAACGACTAGCACACCCACGATATTTGGGTTACGAGGCCGGAAAACGGGCACCGGGCTCCGGTTGAGGAGAGGCTGGAAAGGCGGCGGCCTCTTGCCTTGTGCCAACGGCTGGCATGGCGTTATACGTGCATGATTCATCGGCGTTATTCACCGTGCCCATTGCGATGAGCAAGGGAAGTGGGGGGTCAGGGAGGCGGGCATGGCATATGAGGGTCAACGGAGGGGGGCCCAAGGAAACATACCATTTTTCATCAGAGACAGGTATTCAGTTTGTATTTTTTTTTTTCTCTCTCTTTCTTCCTCTTATTCTTGTTCTGCAAAACGCGATATAAGATTGGGGAATCTATGGGAAACTAGGACGAACGGACGGACGACGGAAACGTCCAGACCCACGGGGTATATAATGTTAGCTTTTATTACAGGATAACGAACAGAGCATTCCCTCTTCTCTCACATACCTCGTCCCCTCATCTGACATGCATCTTTTTTTTTCTTCTTGTTTTTCCGCACGATGACACCGATACAAGGACAAGGCCTCCGGGGAGTAGTCTGATCCGGGAGTGTTCAGGTGTTTTACGTCCTGTGATTGGGCGTTTTTCTCAGGAAGTATTTGACGGTGTAGATCGACTGTTTGTATGCGGGCGGGGGAGTTTGTCTTGCCCGTTGGCTTGGAGGAGAGGGGGAGGGGGAGAAGAGCGCTGATATCAGGATCGAGTCGCATGTGGCAGATTGGGCAAAGCTCCGACTAAACTTACATGTCTATATAGCTCATCCGGTGAAGCCTAGGCAAACGATGGGAAGGGGGCGCGCGCGCGCGCGCTCGCCGTGGTTGTCATACTGCAGCGTAGCGTCACGGCAAAAAAAGACCATACAGACCCCTTGGATTGGGCCTGCTTGACCCTGTTTATGACGGCTCAGTTGCGTGTGCTCTAATGTCGTGCAGCCATATCGTTCTTAGCATTGTCAACTGTAAATATCCCGCTCACGTAGACTCTCACACTCGTATGTTTTTTTTACGAGGAACTGAGTGAGTACGGCATATGATAGTCCCGAGGTTCACGGGGCGGACAACACGAGCGGGCAATTTCTTGTACCTCGATGGGCGACGCACGATGTCAAGCTGAGCGAGCGGGTAAGTGACCCAGGCGCAGATACTACAACTACTACTACAACTACTACTAGAAACTTGGAAAAAAATGGGCGTGAGACGTCTGCTTGGTCTTACACGACGGTCGATCCGTGCAGGAAAAAGAATGCAGTGCTGCTGCGTTGCTGCTTCTCACATCCCGGGTTGGGAATTGGGGGGGTCGTAGCGTAGCGTGGCGTGGCGTGTGGGCTCTCGCATCTGCATTCTACATACGTGTATGTCGTTTTTAGGGCTTCAAGGTTAGATTTTGTTTGGATGAGAGCGGATAGCCCTCTGAAATTTGCTTGGATGAGAATGGGCGTGGTGAGAAATGGGTGATGCGGAGGGGTATGCGAGTGTATCTGCGGGATTGGAGATGGGCGATAGATGGCGTCGATGGGGGAAGGATTTTGGGGGTGCAGGGTGAGGGTGAGGGAGTGAAGGAGGGAGGGTTCTCCAAGGCGAAGGGAGATGTAACGTCGACAACGAACGATGCAAAAGAAGGGCGACGGGAAGAAGGGGGTGACCAGCGGTGATGTTGGTTGGATTGGAAAAAAGGTTGCCTTTCATGGAGGGGGGAATCTGTGTTGTCCAATTAGGTGGTGGTGCCCCCATCACCAAAAGTCCGTGGTTTTTTTTTTTTTTTTTTTCTGTCTTCCCGCCCTGTCCTGCTTGACTGCATCTGCATCTGACCTTTTTGCTGGGCTTGGGCTTGGGTGCTGCGGTTCATGTCATGGCAGGTTGCATGAGCGTACGGGAACATACTACATACGGGATTGTCTGTCCCACCCTCCTCAAAAATTGCCCTACTGCTTGCTTCCTTGCCATGCCATGCGTTCCGAGATATGGGAATACAGCAGAGGGGGGAAGCAGACCCTGTCGTTTGGGGTTGGCTCCGTGTTGGACCTGTTCCTTTCACGGTAATTGCAACGGCTTTTTGATGAACACCTCGCACAGAGAAATTACAGAAAAGGCAGACAACACACAAACGCAAACTGGCAAAGAAAAGAAGGTTTGAAGGGCGCTGTTTCGCGTGGCACAGACCGTTTTCGTTTTACCCGTCACCGCCTCTGAATCTTCCCCTCCTCTTGGTCTTACCTCACTTCCACCTCACATGGCTTGTCGTAGTCTCTACCCTGAGCCGCTAGTAAGAGAGAGAGAGCGAGAGAGCGATAGCGAGAGGTAAGTGTAAGAGAGGCAGCATCCGGGCGGAAACTTGGTACTTGACAGTGATGGGCGGTCCTAGGTTCCAGGTCAGTGCTTACGGTTACCCTTCCGATTCCTCACTCGGATTCCGAGTGATGGTAAGTGGCTTGGACAAGCCTCACAAAAAGGTATTGGTCGTTGGGGGCTCATGCAAACCCCCAAGCCCTGTCATCCGGAGAGCACTGTCAACCTATGGGCCCCCGGCCGATGCTTGATGCCTCACCCTGACGTCTCCTTGACTATTGGCGCCATGGAATGCCAAAACTCCCCGATTTCTCACTGCGACACTAGTTCGGCTAGTCTGCGTTCGAGAATGGGCTGTCAGAACGTAACATAACGTCGATTTCCATTCCATTTCCCCTTACTGTCTCTGTCTGTCGGAATGCCGCTTAGCCAAGGACCACGGTGGATCCCGGCGCACACATCGCATGGTGAGCAAGTCATGCCCCTCCCCCTCCTTTTCGACGCCCTCTTTTTTCCATATCGAAAGGGCCTTCACTGCTCCCGGCTCCGGACCAGGGACCCGGCAAGCCTTGGAATCGGTTCTTTGGACGACGATTTTCGGTTTTTTTTTTGGTGCCTTCTTCTTTCTTTTTTTTTGCAATGAGTTTAACGTCAGATTGTTCTGGGATGGTCCCGGCTGAATCCTCATGCAACCTGTTCCATCAACCCGCTTCAGCTCATCCTCCGTTGTTTGTTTCGAGAACGACGTTCGTCATCCCGGGGAGACCTTGCGTGGGGCATCTCGGGTCCTTGCCGGCCAAGAGGGACGTGACAGAAGACAGAGGGTCACCCCGGCGAATCACGGCCGGATAAGGAAGAAATCCATGAGTACGGGCTAACAGGCTTCACTGCTGGTTTTGGATGGCGTATGGCTGGCTGACTGTCTTGCCGTTGACTGCTGCTGCTCTGCTGCTATGTACATAGTATGTCCGCATCGCCCCTGCGCCAGACATGCGCACATACGGCATACAGGTCTTCAAGTGACGGTCCCACTAACTGATAGTCGTTGCTGGAGAGTGGGACCTTGAGGGTCCGGCCTGGGCTCAAGGTGCAGGATAATTCAAAGTAGTTAACTTCTCGTCTGGTTACCGTATGCCTCGTTGGGTGCCTTGCCATGCTCACCATGACTGTTGCATCTCAGGTTCCACCCCGGAACCCAGTCTTGTCGCTGACTCTCCAAGCAAGTCGAGAAAAAGTCCTCTCAATGTGTGTTTCCCCCCGTCCCGGCATCAGTTCCAATCCGAGTTACGGCGTATTATGGCGCACGACATGCAGTTGCAGAGCAGCGACCAGACCTCAGGTGCACCGTGCCATAGGCACTCTGAGGCATGGGGTGACGCGAAACCAATGCGCCGCTAGATCAGATCGGAAAAGCCCTTGGATTGCCCCGTACTCATGACACCAGGCAGGTAGGCAGGCAAGCAAGCAGGCGGACGAATGGTTGGTGGTGACTGATCCCCGATGATGATGATGTCGTTCTCCCATTGGGCTCTTGGTATTTTTATTTATTTTTGAGGTACCTTTGCCTCCAAGGTAGAACCTGGGCTGCCTCACATTGTTTCTTTCTCACACGCCAAAGAGTGTCAACCGTTGACGGCTGACGATGACGGACGTGGGACTTACACCGCCGGTTCTGGGGACTGCAGGTGTAAGATTGCCCAAGGTTAGTTGCCTGCGTTTCTGTCTCCATCCCACGGTGGTAACCCAGGGTGGAAGAGGAAACGGTTAATGTCTTGCCTGTTGACTGCAATCTCGGTTTCTTGACGTGCGTCTGTCTCTCTCGGTCTGCAATTAATCCTTTGCTGCATATTTCTGCTGCTGCTGCGGCCTCTTCTTCTTCTTGTTCTTCTTCTTCTCGAGATGCATTCACACCCCCCTACATGAAGAGCTCAGGTCTAAATTGATTGGGCTCCAAAATGGAGACTTGGGAATGGAGATGCTACCTCACACCCAGCATCGGTGATGGATGCTCGGAGGGGCGAATTCCAGCAAGTCGGCGCCGCTTTTCAGCAATTTTATCCAATGAAGACTGTAAGAAATCCATTAATTAAGCCGACAAAGCCCCCCATCAAACCTCCTGCATCAGTGGCATCTTTTGATGGTCAGGGGGGGTTGGTACAGGGGTGGTTGGGAGCCCTGCCGGAGCCCTGGACAAGTCCAAGAGAGGTAAATCTGGGACTCCTGGTTTTCTGTGGTGTTTTGCACCAATGAAAAATCCAGAAAATGGGCAGTTATCGAGTCAATCAGAGGAGGAGAAAGAGTCTCGTGAGAGAAAGAAAACACTAGTAGGTGGGAAGGGGGAAGGAGACACCGGCAGCAAAGAGTAGGTGCCGAATTGGGAAGAGGGAGGCAGTGGCCAACCAAACAGCGTCGATTCAGCAGGTACAAGGAACCATTAAATAGAATAAAAAAGAAACATACGTAGCAAAGAGGATAATAATGGTTTAGAGCGGGGACTTTTATTCTTGAAAAAGAAAAAATTTAATACCATAACGGATAAAAATAATAATAAAATAATAAAATAAAACATGAAGAGTAAGTACCATCTAACAGTAGCAGCCGTCGTCGTTGTCGTCTACACTGCTACCAAAATCTTGACAACGCATCACCACATAAAATGCCCGAATCTGCTGCACTTCTGCCTGACCTGACGCCAGGGTCAAAGTCAACCATTGAATACCTCACTCAAGTCTCCATCTTCAGTCGCACCCGCACAGCAGAAGCAATACTACCGTTTTGGATGGGTCATTCTTCTCTCTGAAAGTGGTCGATCAACATGGGTCCCCCTTCTCTTCTGTCCATTTTCCCGCGTTCCCGATTATCCCAAAGCGGTTTGCCTCAGTCCAACGAGACGACGACACGAGCCGGGGTAGGAGTGGAAATCCCACGCTGCTTTTAAAAGTGCTTTCCGAAATACCAGAGTACTTTTATCTCAACCTGGAATTCGACTCTGAACTTGTCTCTTGGTATTCTGACCGTGTCCTCTCCGTACCTTGCTGTACCGTACCCTTTCAGGTCCAGGCAACGGGGGTGTGTGTATGCCGCGGAATCCTAGAGATACCTCCAGCAACGCCAGTTTCGTTCGCAATTGCGAACGAAAGAAACGGAAGGGAAGAAATAACCCCGACTTGCCCCCGTTACATTCCCCCCAGCCCGTCCCATCCTTTTCAACTTCTGTCCAGTTCCCCTGCCCTACCTATTCTCTACCTTATCCTATTCTCCTCCATCCCCATCCCATTCACAACCAACCCATCTTCGTTAGCTCCGCCTAATCGTTGGACCAGATTTTTTTTTTTAATCCAATCTATGCCGGGCCATGCCTCTTTCCCGTAGCCCCGACTCTATTACACTCTATCCTGATGTTTCCGCCCTGTGTACCTATTCCAGCCCCAGGTGGCCTCTATTGACCACCCACATATCTAGCCTTTCGGTATTCCACTCTCCTCCTCTTCCCTTTCCATCTGTCACGAATCAGAACACACATCCCATCGCCCGTACATTTGATGACCTTGCCGGTTCGCGTCTTACTGGACAAATGGAAGCATACGACCCGCATGGCCCTTCGTCATATGTACTCTCCCTCTCCTCTTCACGTACATAGGATGGCCGGCCCATGGCGTGGCCCCGTAGGTAGTCGTCGTTCGATCCGAGGTCCTGACGAAGTTCTCGTTTGTCCCCTCCACCCTCCAATATTCCATTTTATGTCTTACATCCACGCCTCCTACTTCAACACCACCTTCCTCATGCCGAGCTAAAGCAACCTCTCCTCTTCTTTGACACCGCACGGGCGTGGGCGGAAAAGGACCCCAAAAAAGATCCCCTTCACGCCATGGCCGTCGTCCCTGTCCACAGAGCCCCATGCCCCTGGCTTTGCAGATGCAGCCATCCTCTCTTTGCCTTAGTAGGTTACTATGTAATGTAGCTTGGATGGGGATACCTCCCAAGCAGTACTCTAGTGCCTTTTCTTTCTTCCCACCCCTGCTTGCCGAGTTCGTCAAATGTGTCTCTATCTGCAGAGGCCACTCTTTGGTCGCCGTTTTACACGACATGCCTTACAACGGCTCTCCTAAACCGCATCCGCATTCCAGTTCCTCGTCAGTATCTGCGGCCGGCCAGTCCGTGCCCTCTCTCCCTCTTTTTCATGTCTCTGTTTCGTTTCTCTTTAGTTTTATTTTTTTCTGCTCCCGGCTGTCATCATTTTTTCATGCCCGTATATTCCAGACAGATCCATTGCCCCATCCGGGCCACCCCCATCCCATCGTGGGCCATATCCACCAATCCTACCCATGATAGTCGCCCCTCGGCATATGCAGACACCTTGCCCGGTTGTTTTATTTGCCTTCGAGACTTTGCCGTTTGTATCAGCCCTTTTTTTTTTTTTTTTCTCTCTCTCTCCCATTATTCTTTTGTGAGAAATTGGAAGCTCGGCCTGCAGATGTAGCAGCAAAAATCTGTTTTCCCTGCTTTTTCCTTGGCCAATGACTCCATGGTACTCTCTTTAGTCTCTTTGTACATCATCACCCTCCCACATGGTCCCTCTGTTTCCACCCCTCAATATCCACACCCTCAACCATTACCATGACATTCGGTTTTCGTCGTCGTTGGATATCATTCCCACCCCGCGAGCAACAGCCATGAACAGGCAAGCAGGCGGGTGAAGACAGGGTTTAGCCTCTTCTACTTCCCTGTCACTAACGCATGGGCTAAACCAGGCCCAGACAGGTCGGCCAGCTTGGAGTTGGTGATGGCCGTCCATGCCCATGTCGTTGCTTGCCTGTCTATCCATCTGCGGCCCCCTTCTCATCATCCCATCACATCATGCCCTGGGACCATTCCGTCTGTTCCCCCCGTACCCTCCGGGCGGGGTTGATGATGAAGCCATGGCTTGCAATCGGACGAATCGAGGGCTCAATGTCTTATCCCCCTCCAAGACGAGACGAGATGGAGTCCGAGGAGGGTCTCGAAAAACTATAAAAGGGCACAAGTTGAGCGGTTTGACATTCTGTTCTTCTTCTTCCTTTCTCATCACTGCTTCGGACCATATTGCAAGCTTTCTGCCTAGCTTTCTCCAAGTTCAAGTTCTACACATCTTCAACAAACTTCATCACATCAAGCAACTTCCCTGCGCTCTGTCTTACCCAAGACCCCTCTCAAGTGACCGGCCCATTCCCAGTCCAAACAACACCAGCAACGTCGGAAACTTTAGTCATCGCCTCGTTTGCTTCAGACAGAGAAGTTCCACACACGCATCACAAGTCTATTTGTTGAAATCGTCCGGCCTCAACTTTCGCCCATCATGTCTGCCCACTACAACGCATACTCGCTCCCCATGCCCGTCCCCAACCACAAGGGCCAGCAATACCCAAGCTACAGCAGCACATACTCCGTGTCACCACCGGAGACGGACGAATCCGTCAGTTCTGGAACCGGTCCCTCATACAGCAACAGCGGTTACTCTGGAGCCTACTCTGTGGCCAACTCCAGCTACGCCGGCAGCAACAGCGGCGACTTTGACAGCACCCACTCAGCCAGCGGCGTCGACTTCAACGACTACATGCAGGACCGCTTCGCCCAGACCTTTGACCCAATTCCCATGGACCGCAACATTGCGGTCCAGGCGCAAACGTGAGTTACGATTGTTTCCCCTTGTTTCCCGAGCGGTGTTCCGATGGGCCGGTGGCTGCATCAGCCACCCGGTGATCGCTGCAACAACCGGGAGAAGAAGAAAAAAATCAACGCAGAAACACAGGAACAAAAATGTGCTGACTGCGCTGGCGACACAAAACAGATCTGGCAAACTCAACGCAAAGCACCGTGAGCTGCTGGAGCTGCAAAAGAAGGCGCAAGCCCGTCTCGCAAAGACCCGTGAGCGCTTCAACGAGGGTTACCGCGACGCTCAGGACGTGCGCGCGGACCTCGAGTGGACGCAGAAGAAAGTCTCGTAAGTTTTGACACCTTTTGTATTATTTTTTTTTTTTTGGTTCCCATCCGAGGCCGTGCAGATGGATCCCGAGACGAAACAAAAAAGAAGCGGCAAAAAGAGAAGAAGCGGAAAATGAAACCAAAAGTAAAAACCAAAAAGTGAAGTGAGAGATTGCCGAATCCGCCGGCAATCTCAACAGTTTCTCCTCCCGAACCGGCGGAGAGACAACCTTCAAAAACGAGAAAAGAAAAAAAAAAAAAAAAAAAAGGGAAAAAAAGAGAGAGCTTCAAGTCCGGATCTCAGCAATGCTTTTTTTTTTCTTGCGCGCAAAAGCGGCCCGACGGGAACGATCTAAGACAATGAACGAAGAAAAAAAAAAGTAGACTAACACGCGCCTGGTGCAGATCACTCAAGAGCAAGACTGCTCGCAAGCACACCAAGGAATACAACAAGGCGCGCGCTCGCTACCCGTCGCCAGAGTACTAGAAAAAAAAAACACCATTGCGGGTTTTTTTCTTCTTCTTACGGTTACGATGATTTGAGCAGCGGCGGGTGGTTTTCTTCAGCCTCGCGATAACAACGAGGTTCGAAAGAGCGACCGGCGAGCAAGCGAACAGCATTTCTTCAGCCTTACCTTTTCTTCTTTCAAAACGTTACTTTCTAGCGTGTCATTTTCAACTACTACCATAAAAGCGACATCATCGCAGCACACCAGCAACAGCAACAGCACCAGCGCACGACATACATACAGGCGGCAGACCAATCCCTGCGAAGCAGAACTGCAGGAACGCAGAAAAGGAGATACCATGATTTTCCCCGGGATTTTACTTTGCATTTACGTTATTTTTTATGAGCGCACGCCTCCTCCACCACCGCCATTCCTAAAAAAACCTTGGTTGTTGATTCTTGGGTACATATTGGGCTGGCTCGCAGAGGGCCAGGCGGGGAAAACGGCAGAGAGACAGGGGCCCTAGGCGAACCTGGCTGTCGGGAACAGATTTGACGCGCAGCGGCACGGCGCGAGGCGAACATGGGGGGCGTGCGTGTGAATATGTGTGTGTGTGGGTGGGTGGGTGTTCCTGGGCCTGGCTAACCACCATCTCACGCTGCTTTTGCGCCATCTGGCGGAGAACATGAGAGAGAGAATCGTAAGCCGTGGAGATGAGAGAAAGGGAGGGGGGGGGGCAAAGATTCCCGCCCGCGTGGCAGGCATGTTTCCCTCGCTCTCTCCACACACACACATACGCATACATTGCAGCATCCCGAGATTTGGCGCCGATGGATTCCCCCCCTCCCTGGCTGATGGGGTTCGCCGAGCTTGTTTTTTTCTTCCTTTTGAGACCTTGTTTTCGGGAGGCTGTTTCATGGGAGTATTTATGAGATATGATTGGACGAATGGGATGATTTTGGGGGCGGCCATTGTGTTAAAAGTACACCTCACCCCCTCCCTTTTTAGGGCCCAGGGCAAGCGCCCGTGAGAAAGGGCTGCAGTAGGGTCTGAAGAGCCGAGAGACTGGTTCGAGTGGAGACCGGAGAGGAGGGAGGGGGGAACCGTCCCAGGGCAGGGGATGAGAAAATGGAGATACGTAGTAGTAGAAGACGAGCAGACGGCCGAGGGGGAGAGGTTAAAATTTGCGGCATCTGTAACGGAGGCGCTTGTCCTTTTCGGGGCGGTAGGATATTGCTCTTTCGGGAAGAAGGGGGGACGACGTGATGGCTCTCTCTTGTTTTTCCTTTTGATGACACCCCGGGCGGTTCTCTAGTGATGATAGGACTTCTTCTCCATAGTGATATCGTAAGCCTATTTTCTTGTTCGGTCGACGTTCCAACTGAGGGGGGCCCCAGCCGTAATGCATGCCCTCGAGGCCCTTCCGCCTCCCGTAGCAGCACCGTCGTGAGCCCGTAGAGTATCGCTAATGCCACCGTAACCGCCCTCCAGACCCTGGCCAGGCCGCGGGGGGTCTCTGAAGCCCAGTGATGGATCATGTGATGACGTGTGAGGTCTTGTTGTGTACTCGGCTCCGTCTGCCCCTGTTCGGTCAGGGGTTGTGATATCACGTGATTCTCGTGAGGTCTCCTTCGAAGTGACAATGGCATCGCCCAGGGGATGTGCCAATAAGCATACTGCGTATCGATTGATGTTTGATACGTAGTTGTCGACCTCTCCTCATGTATCTGTTGTTCTGTACCACCCTTCAAAATTGTCGCAGTTCCTCCACGTCATACTTCAAGCCGACTGTGCCTGTCCCCTGGCGATCCAGGACCCCCTTGACTCCACCCCAGCCGCCTTCTCAAGCCTTTCCCACGGGTTCTCGTTGGATTTGGGGTCGTAGTATCCCTCATACCAGGGCTTTCCGTCGTCCCGTTGTCCATGTTGATGACGATGTTGATTCCGACCACGGAACCCAGATTGGGGCTGTTCAGAGCCGGCCTGGTTCCATACTGGCATGCTCGTGGGCGCCGAACCCATCTCCTTACCCCACGACGCATCAGGACGTTTAGGTAATGACGGTGCAGATGCGGTGCTCAGCGCTGGCGGAGCGTCACCCGTACCAGGTCCTGACCCAAAACCTCCACGCATGGCCAATTCGTCTATCAGCCCCTGCGCGTGTGCAAGGGCTGGCGCCACACTGCTGTCGTTATAGAGACTCGCGCCACCTTCGTCCTCATCTTTTTCTTCTTCTTCCTTAGCGGCAGCATCAGAGTCGGAGTCGAGGGCTATCTCGTCGGTGTTGGCGCCGGCTGCGGTTGGCTTCGGGGCAGGAGGAGGCGCACGGGGTACGACGGCGACTTGGTTCGCGCCGGTCGCGGCGGCGGAGTTGTCGACGGGTGCTGAGGCGGAGACGGCATCTGTACGGTGATTGTATTTGCGCTTCTTCGCAGCTGGTTGAGTACCGAAAGAGGAAAAGCCCATGAAGGCGGCCATTTCAGGGTCCATTTCGGAGTCGTCCATTGTGGCGGTGAGCGAGCGGCCGCAACTTCTTTGGGAGTATGTATATGCGCTGAGAACGCAATTCAGTGTGTCGCGAGGAGGGAGAGTAAGTCGTTATTGTGAGAGGCGCATTTCGCTTCAACTGGTGGTGATGTGAGGAAGTCGGATGTGGAGGGTTGTGCATAGGGGAGAAAAAAAAGTAGGAGCTTGGGGCGCTCAGGGGTCTGTGGCGAAGAATTGAGCGACAGTCGAAATAAGACCCTTGCTCGGCAATGGGGCGTTTAATTTCAGCCTCGTGGGGTAGGAAAGCTCCCTAAAGGACCTGAGCTAAAGGGCTTTAGTGGGTGCCTTGTTGGCAGGTAGTGTAGTTGTCTACTGCTGTCTGTCGCAATGAACAGAATGCTGAATGTCGGGTATTTGCGGCTGTTGAACACGCCTATGAGAGACGATTGGCTATCGACGAATCACGGCATCGGAATATCATTAGAGGTGAATTTTGGGTGTGATTTTGGGTATGTCTCAGAAGCTGTGTCAATGCCACTGATGTCATTTTATGAAACGCCGTAGGGGGGTGCCAGACCCCTTGCCGCAGATCAGGGAGCTTTGGGCGACGGTTTGCGATTTTGTTTGACTACACGCGATTCTTCCTACATTCATGCTACCACAATCACGGTAACCTGCCATATAATCAATTATCCCACAACCCATACGGCTCTGGGAGCAGTCAAGCGCTAGACAGTCACCATAAAGGATACAAGTGAAGCCCCACCACGATAAGATCCGCGATACAAATTCAAGCACAAAAGCCACAATGGCGTCTCCTCCAACAAACATTACCCTGCGTTCGCCATCCAAATACACCTCCACATCTTCGTCAACATCCGCACCGCCACCAGTGGACTGGCTCCTGCGCACATGGACCGTCACACACTCCACCCTAGCCATGTGGCGCGATGCCCGTAACGTGCGTATTACCTACGCCGCCCTCCCCGCCAAACCTGACGGGACCGCCCGCATCGACGACCTCGTCGAGTATGAGTCTAACAAAACCACTCCATCGACGGCCGTCAAGTCTGTCAAGGGCATCGATACCGCTTCCAAAGCCGGCGACACTTTCGCCTGGGACTGGAGGGGCAAGGGCTGGCTCTTCTTTGTCGGAAGCCATTGGGAGGTTCTTGGGTGGGGGGAGAGGCAGACTGAGACCGGCGAAACGGAGAGGTGGGCTGTTACGTGGTTCGCGCCGACGGTATTTACGAAGGAGGGTTTGGATATATACTGCGATCGCAGGGAGGGGTTGAGCGAGGGCACCTATAAAGATATTCTAGAGGGCTTGAAGGGGCTAGAGGCGAAGGAAGTTGCTGAGATGGTGACGAAGGACATGTTGCCTGTTGAGGTTTCGTTGCCGTGGAAGGAGAGTTGAGATACCGAGGTCAGGACTGTGAATTTTGACAGCGTCGAGGTAGGTAACAAGTTGATCAAATACCGACAGACAAAAGCAACCCCAAGAACCTGCAGGTTTGCTGTGCCATCAAACAAGTATGATGCTTTGTTTTTTCCGAGTTCCAAGACTTTCCCCCAAGCCGGGATCAAACTTGTCCGAGAACTCTGGTGTAAAGTCAAGCGCGCCGACCCGGCGGTATTTCAGCGGCTGCTCGGGACTAGGCTCTGTTTCTCCCACAGGTTCAATAAGCAGAAAGAACCAATATCTTTTATCGTCTTTGCTAGCTCCTATCCTTCCGAGACCAACTAGACATGCTGTTATTTTCCGACTAGGCGACGACAACATCCTCAGCGCCATACAATCGGAAGGCGGGTGTTGTTCACTGCTGCAGACCTCGTCGATATCGCAGTCATCGAATCGTGCGATGCCATTGTCTCGATAAGGGGCGCATCCTTCGCGGTCATTGTTATCCGAAAAGGACAGCTTGACCAAACCCAAGAGCTCTTCTGAGCTGAGAAAAGCAGTTCTTAGCTGAAGACGAGTCAACCTAGCGTCCTCAGGCTGGTCAATTGACTCCAGCTGCGCCCGCGGCTCCTGGAGGTCGGTGACATATGTCAAGTGCATCATAACGCCGGAACCTTTCTGCCATTTTGCCGCCATCCAGGTCCAGGATGGTAAACCGGTGACTGCAGGCGGCGAACGTGAAAGTTTCCAGAACAGTCCACCAAAGGAGGACCCGAATAACGAGAATTCCGGTACCCAGGATACCAGGCCTTCAAGGAGAGTATCTCTTCGCAAGCCAAGAATCACCTCACGTCCGAAGATGGAGCTATATCTATCAGCGAAGCCAGAAAATGCAAAGTACCTGTCCTTTTCGAACGTCAACTCCCTTCTAGTGAAGAGGTAAGCAAACCCCCACCATGACGATTCGTCGTCCGAGTACCCGTCCTTGGTGAAGCGGTCGATTGGTAGAAACGAGGTGACTGAAGGTTTTGTCTCGGGGTCCCAGCCTCCCAACGTTTCAAAGTCCCCTTCTCGGCAACTAAGCAGGGCTCTGTCTTGTTGGATGTAGAGCACACGAGAGGAAATGAGCTTCTCTTGGAACGTCCAAGTGCGTCGGTTCCAACAGGACCAAAACGAGTTATGTCTTGCGACTCTGTTTCCCATTCCCTCTGAAGCGCCTTCGCGAGCCAAGATAAATTCGGCGTTAGTCTCCCGAGACCATGGACCAGGCAGAAGATCCCAGGTCATCTCTGTTGGAGCGAGCTTGAAACCAGAGACGGCTGAGGCTGACATGACAGGTACGATAGTGACATAGGCATTGCCGTAGTAGTCCGTCATCTTCTGGGCCTCTGTAGTCCATTCCAGGTCAATCGGCTCTTGTACAATGCAGATGGAGTCGACCCATATATACTGGATGCCGAGAGAACGGGTCAGGCTGACGGCATCGCGGATGGTAGCTGGCAGGTCAGACGAGGAGAACCGTATCATCCTTTTGTTGAGATTTCCAAGCGTAGTCCGAGCATCTCGTACCGACTCATCATCTCCCCAGCAGTAACTCAAAATCGCATACTTGCTCTCCTTTCCTTCCATTTCTTCCAGCCGAATCTCATCGCCCTCCATAAGGCGAAGCAGTCTTTTGGGGCCTTTCCCACTGGTGAAATTGGGGCAAAGCTTGTGTCGCTCTGTGCAAACCTGCATCTTTTCATTTATTCTGGCAATGTTTTCAGATGATATAGGGTCAAAATCTGCGTCGAATTAGCGGCCGAATTCACCTATTAATTATTTCCATTGTATTTGGCCAGGTACCTACCGCTACTCTCCAAGATCCGAATTCGAATATTCCTAACGGGGAGATCACGGCACTCTAAAAAGATGCCTCTGTCGCCATCATTTCCGCCCGCTTTGAAAACCGCATTGACTTTGATCTCGTATCTAACGGGGCCACTTGGCTTGATACGAGGTTTTCCTTCCTTGTCGTCCTCTCTCTTGTTTTTGGATCCTGGAGAGCGACTCTGGACATATTTGAGTAACAATCGTGACAAGAACGAACACCAACGACAGCCCTGACGCGCACTCTCCGCAATGCGTGAAAAAGTGTGAGGATAATCCTCGAGAACCCAGATGGCATCCTCCCTTTCCTGCTCATTTCCTTCATAGAACTGTTCTAGTGCCGACAGGAGCCCTGCACATATGTCGCATTTGGCTGGTTCCGTGTCCGATGCCATGGCAACTGGTATTCACACACAATTGGTCAGCAAAATAAGAGAGGTATAGATAGCTTAGACAATTAAAGGTCATTATTGTGGTCGGTAGATTATATAGAAAAGATATAATGCGGTATGCGCTGTTTAACTTGAAGAATGGATGTTGCTCCCCACTGGTCCAAAGCTGGCAGGTGCATCGCCAGGCACCACTTTCCGGTCCGAAATGGGGGAGTAAAGAGGCGCAATAATGTACTTCGCTAAATCTGATTCGTTGCCTGATCGAGGATGCTCAACGAAGTACAGTAGTACATGGTTTGCCCCACTGCTGCAGCATAGGAAATGGAATTATTATTCTTACCAGATACAGAATAACAGGAGGCATTGTATCCCCGGATTCTAGGCAGCGATAGCATTTGCTACAGGTTCAAAGTATTAGTGGTAAAGCATAACTAAATTCAATCTTTAATCAGTGATAGCACGTGAAGCTCTGTCTATACGGGAAACGGAGCATTTCCACGAAAGAAAAGTTGCGGATTTTATATGTTGGTTTTGCGTTAGGTTTCTTTAGCCATTTTTTGGCAATCTGACTGTAACATTGTTGTGTCTATTGGGAGTCCCCTCCTCTAACCATAACAAAGCAACACATGAAATTGAAAATAACAAAGTATTGGTAAGCAGTGTACAAGATCTCTAAGTCGTCTCAATATCATACCGCCCTCTTGCTAGCAAAAAACCGCCATTTCAGGACCTCACTATGCTAAGCTCGGCATATGCGTTATGCCCGTTACCACCGAGTTCAGCAGGCAGCGCTTGAGTAGATGGCTTCCACTCCGTGTAATGTTCGGCCTGGACAGGCACTACGGCTTGCGCTGGTGAGATGTTATCCCAAGTACCGCTGTGCTGGCCGCCGAGGCGCTGTCTCTTTTGGCGTAGTCTCCACGCCATGAACACTCCGAGGCAAACGACCAATATTGTGCCCAGTGTGGCTCCCACCGCTATTCCCGCCGCAGCGCCCGCGCTGAGCCCTGCAGGGGTCACCGATGCAGCCGCCGCCTCTGTGACGTTGAATTGATGGGAGAAAGTGTGAGTCTGGTTGCCGCTGATATACTTTGAATCGTGAAAATACAAAGAGAAGACATTGTTCGCGGACGAAGACAGTGCAGGGAACCCGTCAAGGTTGGGTGTCCATGAAAAAGTTCTGCTGGACACATTTGCTAGTTTTGGGAACGAAAGGTTAGCTGGGTTTTATTTAAATTGGAAGCAGACTTACCCCGAAGTAGCTGGTTAGATGTGGAGGACCTATTGGGGTCGGAGTACCATAAATAGAGGTTGACCTGCTCATAATCCGTGTCCCACCGAAAAACAACCTCGTTGCCGATTATGTACTTTGGGTTCTGTCTGAGATCCTCATTTGTTTCCATAGGTGGCGGGGTTATGAACTGATTAGCAGCGAGGGCATTCTGAGCGAAGGCAAGAATAACAGAGAAGAATGAAATGGAGCGCATGATGTTGGTCGTCTTGGGAGCTGTTGTCTACAAAAAAGTGTTGGCGAATTGAAGGTATATCGCTTGCAGGCTCATACTCTACTTATAGCCGTCGTCGCATGTTCGCCCTCATCAAGCGTTATAGTCGCGCTGGAGAATATTGCGCAGCCGTGGCTGGAGTCTCCTTGATCTTTGACACTCTCGATCCGGCATGGTGAATCGTGGTGCGTCGACCGAGTGCGATTTAGCAAAGAACATGGCAGCAATGGCTGATCGCTCTCGCAGCTGTTGGTTGGACGCCCTGCCATTGTTGAATTAAAGAAAGCCCTGTTTCAGCTCCAAAAAGGAAAAGGGCTGCCAAGATTCCGGGGCTTCTGAGCTGAAGTGGGATGCCTGAAAACACGTTTTCGCAGCTGAAATGCTAGCCTGTTGCGGCTGCTGGGTTTTCCTCGTGGCAGTGGCAGATAGTCACGGAACATACCGATGTTTTCGAGAAAACCAATGTCCGCCTCAGCCACTAGCCAGCGTGGTGTAAGGCGAAACAGCAAATTAACTTCTGGCCTAGAAATTCTTGCGGCTAGTTAATGAGCGTGGCATTTTTCAGGGGCTGTGAGAGCCAGAGGCTAATTCATTTGAAACTTGTTAAATTAATGGCAAAGGACTTATGGTACTGGCTCTAAAAGATCGGTGACCGGATCTGATACCGGAAGTTTGAAGCCGGATCGGGCCCTAGTGGATGCAAAACGGCGGGGTCCGATATGTGGGGTAACCACCTCCGAGAGTCGGCATCCGGCCACGAGACTCAACAACAATCGACTGCCGCAGCTGTGCCGCTGTATTCCTCTTTCTTGTCACTTGAAATAGCGCTCACTAATTATGCAACAAGACTCTAATAGACATGATGAAGCTCTCAGGTTCTACTGTAGCTTAAACGTTCTCGCAGTTTTTGAAGATTTCATCATCCAATGAACATGACCTTGTTAAGTCGTTGAATGTAGTCAATTATGGTGGTTTTCTGTCCCTAAAGTATAGGCTATTGCAGCATTTCACAGACTTCGACATCATCTGCAAACATACAATAGCTGAAAAAGCCACAAGCTGGAAGTCTCACTGTGAGAAGCGTTGAGCGTCCATTTGCTTCAGCAAAAACCCTATAGCTTTGCGGCATTGACGTTTGCTGATATGTCTAAAGGCCTTGCAGATTTATTTTATTGTCTCCAAATGAAACTCTTTGAGGAAGATTTCCTCTGACAGCGTTGGAGCAAGAAGAGTGGCTGTGGTTGTGGGTTCTAGACAATAGGCCGTCTTGTCTACTTTTTAGCAGGTGCTATCAACAATTTTGAAAAGATTCCTTGCAATCCTATGGCTTATATGCCAATCATAACAGCGCAAGATGCCGATTTGTTGTCAAACTCCTGACGGCATGCTACCAGAAGACGCTGTACCCATGCTTTGTAGCGGCGTCACAGTCTACTCCCCGCTTACTCATAACGTTTGCGGTCCTGTAAAGACTGTTGGAATAGTCGTTGTGGGCGGACTCGGACACTTTTTTTAACATATGTTAAATTCCTAGATGCTGGCAAAGCTAATGGCAACTCGAGAAAGGCCGCCGCCGAGGATAAGGTTCTAGAGTTGGGTGCCGATACTGATATTGTAGGGAATGACAATTGAAATTGGGTGCTGACAACGCTGTGAAGCTGTTCATGTGAGCGTGCAGCAGGCCACGATAGCTATAGATATCTCGGAAATATCTGGTTTAGCATCAGCGGACAAAATTAAATGTCCATTCAACAAGTGGGAAGTGCTTTTGCAATCACGTACCTGCGGTGACACCAGTTTGCCGAATCGGGTGTTGAATTTCGTCTCTTCTGCCAAGTCTGTGTTCGGGGAAGACCATGATAACCGTTTTCCCTTTATTGTCTCGATTACTTAAATGAATATCTGTCGATGAAGGATCTCGGTATGTATAAGTTAGTATTGAACCTTCAAGTTTTTTAAAATTCCTACCAGATACCAAGGTGAGAAGTATTGTCTTCCATGTTTCTGTTGGCGAAGGGTTTAGCTAGAGCTTTGATTTACAGCCGGTCTTGTGTTTCACGGATGTTCAGAGCAAGGTCTATGACAAGTAATTGTATTGAGATCAATCATTACCATCTCGGCACCATTACCATTACATATCGTCAACTTAGCGAACGAATTGGGTATTCTACAAAGCACATCAAACCTGTCCAAACTAGTCATGCCGATTTGGGTATCGTCTCCTGAACAGGCCGCGATTCCTCCTTGATTTCGTAAAAGTACATTGTGTTTTTTTTTTGTGGGTTTCTTGAATTGTATGTGCCGTGGAAACAAGGGTATTTAAAGAGCAAAGCAATCGTATCGGGAAAATCAAAGCGTGAAAGGGTATGTCGTCAAAACGAAATGGTGTCGCAGCAGTGGGAGCCGAAAAGGGGCCGGCTTAATCAATGGGACCAAGCTGTTCCTCACACAACGACCTCAAGTCAGCACCGCGTGCAAACTCAAATGTTTTCGATGACACGGGAGTTAATGGCTTGCTGGAAGCCGGAGTCCTGACCTCCAAAGTCATTGTAGCTAACGTTCTGGGAGCCGCCCTGGTCGCTCGACTCGCCAGTGGGGTTCTTGCTGAGCGCCTGCTGGATGTCGGGCATGGTCTGGTTCGCCGCGGGCAAGAAGATAACCTTGCTGTTGGCGGTCTTGGCCATGGCTTGCATGGCCTCGAGGTAGCGGATCTGCATTGCAGGTGCGGACGATAGAATGTCGGCAGCCTGGCGCATGAGCTTGGCAGATTCGACCTAAGTGGTGTTAGCAAGATGAAAACGTTGAGAGAAAGGGATTGGAAGCATACCTCGGCCTTGGCGGCAATGATCTTGCTCTCACCGATACGCTTGCTCTGGGCAGCCATGGAAAGCGACTCCTGCAACTCCTGGCTGAAGATGATGTCCTTGATGAGCATGCTCTCGACCTGAACACCCCAGCCGGCGGCGACGTCCTCAATGATCTCCCCGATGGACTGCGCAATCTCCTCTCGGCGCTCAATGACGTCTTGTAGGATTCTGGCACCAACGACGTGTCGCAGAGTGGTCTGGGTGCGCTCCATGAGAGCCTGGCGAACGTTGGAGATGCCGAAGGCGGCTCGGTGGGGTGCGACGATGTGGTAGTAGATAACGGAAGTGAGGTGCAGAGTGACATTGTCCTTGGTCATGCAGGTCTGCTGGGGAACCTCGGCGGTCTGGATCTTGACATCGACCTGAATGAGACGTTCGCTAAGAGGGTTGACCTTGACCAGACCGGGGTCGACAGCCTTGTAGAACTTGCCGAACTTGGTAACGAGACCAACGTTACCCTGCTGGACGTTCTTGTATGGGTTCGGGCAGACAACACAGCAAGGAATGGCACCAAGGGTTCCAATGCAGGAACCGACAGCGTTGACTGTTATGTATTGGTTAGCGCATGTTAATCCAGCTTAGGAGAGGCAAATCGATGCATACTCATGGTTCCGTACCAGCCCTTGGGGTTGGCATCGTTGCTAACAATGGTGGCGTAGCTGCGCTGAAGATCCTCTTTGGTAGGAGGCTGGACGGTCATACCGCCTTGGGACTTGAAGCCGACATTGCCATTGTTGCCGCCGTTGAGTGCATCGGGACCAGCGCGGTCCTCATAATCGGGTGCGCGGCCCTTGCCGGTGGAGGAACCCCCGTCGTGATGTTGGTGTACAGGAGCGCTCATTGTGGCTGGTGAATGTGATCGAGTAGAAGATGTTTGCAAAAGTCTTCGTGTTGAGTTGTTTGACGATGAGGAAGCTTGTTGGGTGTTATTAGAAGCTTCGTGAATGGAGTCGGAATGATGAAGCATGTGGTTTGATTAGTGGTGTGAGAGGATGGGAACTGGTCTATTAAGTAGTGGGATTTGTTACGGGAAGAGAAACAGATGTCTCGTATCATAGATGGAAGACGGCACGCCCAGAGGGGAAAAATGACAATGGATGATCATAGATGAACGAAGAGCCGGGGTATAATGTGGGCTGTGTTTTCGCCCAGAAGCTTTGGTTTCCTTGGGGCCTTGTTAGTCTGGGCGTGGAGAGCTTACTGCAGCTACCACCTCTCTCATGACAACAAGCACCCAGGATGCAGAGTACGTACCGGGGAAACCAGGCTCAACATGCTTGAAATCACCTTGGAGTGGCACTGAGCTTCCTTCCATTACAGTTAGTGATAGGTCAGATGTGTTCAAGGAACCAAAGGAGCCGGAAGGAGTGGGGCCAGGGTCTCGTGCAGGTTGCCTGTTTGGACAGGGATCCAAGCTGGTAGGGGGGAAAAGCAGGTGGCACAGGGTGGAACATACATTACCTTCCCTGTAATAGTACACTACCATAGTACTTGCGCTACAGTACTCATCGTCCACAGGTTAAGTACATAGATTTTAGTTAACCTTGTGGGGCAGGGGAAACGCCTTCCCTAAAGCCCACAGCGCCAAAGTGCCCGACAGTGGAGAAACAACAGCAATCGAAAGTGCCTGCAAAGCGAATCCAACACCGAAATTCAGCGTAGGCTGGCCCGTGCTCTTGTCGAGATGGGACAATTGTTTCTTTCCCCCCCTCCACAACCTGGCCACATCTTGATGCACGGGCAAAAGAGGGGAAGGGAATGGTCCTCGTGGTGGTGGCCGGCCTCAAAAAAGGTGACGATGCCTTGTCGATGAGATGGCTTGACTTTCTATTCCGCAATCCAATCATGAGTTGCCCCGCATGCCATGACACATTTCATTCCCTTCACCTTGTCTCTCTCTGCAGACCGACCACCGCGCCCGATTAACCAGAGCCAATTTCAATCTCTCTGTTGTATGCATCGCGAAATACGGCCGTTTTGACATCCTCAGCCATCGATAATCTGGTTTAGAAGATACGAAGTACGAAGTGCGAAGTACACAAGTACAAACGCCACGGTACATGTTGGGCGAGGCGATTTTCTGCTCAGCCCTGTCCGTTTTCTCGCTGCCTAGTCAACCGAAAAATCCATGATCCAAACCTCAACCGCCACCCAGTGGCAGAGTCTCGTCGCCTAATTCCTTCCTATACCATCTCAAATCAGCCTTGGCTACACAGCATCCCGTCAAGTCTGTGCTTATGTTGTCGGCAGCCAGGGATCAGCAAGCACACGCTCAAACACCATGGCCGGGCACCTTTTGTTCCTGCCACCCCAGACGCCATTCGATCTCGGCAACCTCCTTGCTTCCAGGGGAAATTAATTGCTGAGATTATCCAAAGGAGCTTTTGCGAACGGGAAACGTTTCACAAAAACATTCATCTGTGTGTCATGATACTGGAGGCCCAGTCAAATCCAAGATGCTATTGTCCAATCAACATCCACTCCGGTGCCGAGTTCCGCCAAGGGAGGGCATGGCAATGGTCGGATGATATCATGGAACAACACGCCGAGAATGCCACGCTGCAGACTTCAATCACCCCGACCCGTTCTTCAGAGCTATCGCGATTCGCTCTTCCACCGTTCTCGGTTGCCCAAGACGCCATAAGATAATCTTCTACCCAAACAAGAAGCCCTGTCAATGTCACGGGAATACCGCACTGGTAGAACCAGAGCAGAGCCGCCCAACAGTCAGATTATGGTCGCACAAGATGATGACTTCATAAATGACCCGTCAAAGCCTCCCGCTACTGCAATGCGCCCCCTCCCGACGGTTCCTTTTCTCTTCCAAAGTTCCCAATCACGCCAATATGGCTTATCCAACTGGTTCGCTTGTCCCCCCCCCTCCACTGTATTTACCGACCGCGCCCAGCTTCTACTAGTAGGCAGCGCGCCATTTCAGACACCCACAGACTCCGGCTCGGCCAATGTGCGCCGTTCCCCGGTACCCACATTGCCGAATGTGATCGTAGCGTCCCGCTGGCACGCGTGATGCCCGGCACTGCCTACTAATGTTTCGCCCGATGAAGCTTCAAGACCAATTTGACCACTCGGAAGCCCTTGACATCATATCCCTGAAGTGCTTCGACCTCGGCCGATCGCCCCGATGATCAGCCGCTCTTTGGAACAGCAATCCCCAGGTTCTTCTGAATTTTTTGCCCGATGTTCACCGTAGGCAGCCTTCGGAGAAGACCGTCTCCATGCTATTCAAGCGGTTCTGGTCACATGGCTGCAACCAACTCCGGACCCGGTCTTAATTTTGTTCGCAACATTTTGAAAGCTACTTTGGGGAGCTGTAAAGATTCAGCTTCACATTTGTCAGGCATGTAGAGACCAATGGGCCTGCGACCCTGACAGCATCAATTTGCCTTTCACTGCCAAAATAATGCTTAAAAATATACGCAAAGCCCCTAAAATTTTTAACTTCTTACAGTACTCATCCCTACAATTATTCCATTTCAATCCTCCGCCGACGTGACCGCATTTTCAAGGGGCCAAAGGATCCAAAAGCCAGCCCACTTTCGCCAAGCCAATACGGAGTATTCCTACTCCACTGCAGAATCCTTCCAGAAGCTTTCCTGTTCCGCCACCCCTGCGCCGCCATAAGATCCTACGACTATATCGTCATCCTGGAGATGCTTGAATAGTGTGCAATTCTGATGATCCGCCATGTCTCTCTGGCACTGCCGATCCTTTTTCTATCTTGCACGGCCACCATTAGCGTCGGTGACTGACCGATTGCCCCAATGTCTTATTCGGAATATGCCCAACCGTATCTTGAGCGAGCGCTTCCATGGATTGATTACATGGATCGTGGACACCGATGACCTGGCTGAGCCTCAAAACAGACCCCTAGAATGCAAGCTCTTTACTCTTTTCGGATATTTTATTACACGTGTAGAAGCCTATAGGCCTTCATCTAACAATCGAAAGTTGTGACGCCCCGGAGAATATTGCGGCCTGGTCCCTGGTCTAACCCAGAACCGCACGCAGCTGTGCTTCCCAAGCATCCAAGTCCCACCAAAAACGCCGGACTCTCGCCAACAAATTCAAATCAAACTTGACGAGACAGAAGGACCATTAACGGCCTCTCATACCCCGCAGCCCCTCAAAATCCTCCACGATCGCCGCGTGATCCATCTTCCATGTCGGGCTCATCGACACCATCCAATCGCCTTCAAGCAGCTTCTCGTCCTCGATGCTTCTTCGCGTCTTGTCGTTCGTAGCCGACCATATACTGCGGTATATCCCCTGAGCTGGATACGTCACGAGACCAAACGTTGCTGCTGTGCTCTTGGTAACCAAGCTCACCACCCCCTTGCCCAACCCCTTGGCAGCCCCCATGGCGCCCTCTTCCTTCTTGCCCTTGTAAGTGTGCACAAAGATGTCGGTAAGGCCGCCCTTCATGTCTTGACAGAACGTCTTGCCGGCGACAGACACGCCGCTGCGGAAGTCCTCCACTGCATCGTGCTTTTTGACAGTATCGCCGTACAAGTTGGGCACCGCCCTCAGCCCTTCTGTGACTGCGAGTGGTATGTCTACCAATAAGCCCTTGGTCGTGTTGCCCGCGAGCCTTCCGACCCCGTTTGCTGCGGCCACCGCCATGGCCCCTGGTTTCTTTGAGGAGTCATCCCCTCGTGAAGACACGGGACGACTTGGATGTGGGGAATCACCACCGCCCTCGGGAACTCCTACTCCAGGGAGAGGGAGCATCGCAAACGCCGGTGCTTGGCTGTTTCTCCTGACATTCTCGGCTTGTATTTCGGGCTTGTCACCGGACTCGCTGCCTCGCTTGTATTCCTCAAAAGGCTTGACAATGATGTCGGCCGTGGCTCCAGCCATCTTGAGGATTGTCGAAATCGATGCAGCCGATAATGCAGTCACGGGGTCCCATCTTTGGTTCTCGATGTTTGTCGGTTTCGAGCGGTACCTGGGGCAAATGGTTAGCGGCGGAAATCAAGATGTGGGAGATGAGTAAGACTCACGAACTGAGATTTTTCCTTTCTACTTTCCCATTCTTCACCAAGATGGACGCCACTGGCCTACACATCTTGACCTGCTTTTTCCCCCTTCCAACGGCCAGAGCAGCCGGTTGATCGGGGAAGAAGTCACATGCCATCTTGGACATGGGTAGGTTGTTGTGAAAAGAATCGACCGCCGCTTGTACACCATCCTCCATCTGCATTGAATCGGCGAGCTGGCTAGCTGCCGTGACTGCCTCCGGCGACAGACAGTATTGGATGGCGTGGATGAGTTTCTGTGATGTGAGGGAACGGTAGGGGATCGGAGCTGGACCGGCACCTGCGTCTGCTACTACGGCGCCCCAGAACGGCTGGCTGATTTGCGAACCCTGTTAGCCAAGCCCATGTGAGACTGTAGGAAACACTTACTCTCCAAAGAAGGGTACAATGGTCGTAGGTTTGCCGTACCGTAGCCCGCACGCAGTCGTACCGGCACCTCCGTGATGAATCACAGCGGCGACTTGTTGAAACAGCCACTCGTGCGGGCAATCTCCCACGTAAAACACATCTGGGGACTCTTCTCCATTCAGGTTACTCCAGCCGCGCGAAATGATTGCTCTGACGCCAGTTGCTTTGATGGCACTGAGAACCATGGTCATCAGGCCTCCTATTCCACCTACAACGATACTGCCAAAGCCAACGTATATGGGCGGAGGACCGCTCTCGAGAAACGCCTTGAGGTCGTCTGGCGGCGTGTACGGTGCCGGGTCGCGAAAGAAGAAACCGCTGACGTCTGGTCAACTGTAAGCAGCTTGTAAAGCAACAGAAGAGGGTTACCAACCTATATGAGATCCCCAATCGCTGGGCTTTGGCACGAGAGATGGCGACCAGCAGTATGTGAACGGGACTTGCAGAACCTCGAGAAGACGGTGACCCTCGGTCGACGGAACAGGCTCAAGTCCCAACGACGCAACTCGCCATGCATTTACCAAATCTCCCAGGCTATCATCCTTGTCAGCATCACCATCATCAAAAAATTTCATCTGTCTTTTTGTGAAGGGGCCATCCTACCCCTGCCATGTCAGAAACTCCACGGCGGCATACGACGCGTGGTTCGTGCTCTTCTTATCCGCCTTCGAATACCCGACGTTGGCAAGCGGATGCGGGAACGCCTTCGTGCTGCTCCACGGCATCGTGAACATCAAGTGTACCGGGATCCCCAGTGCCTGCGCGCAGTGTACGTGCGCGAAGCTGGGTGGGTTGGCGATGATCGCGTCCGCCCCGAAGGGCACGTTCGTCAGGGGGTCCGGGTGGACGCAGGAACGCCAGAAGCCGTCCAGCATTTCCGTGTACATGTCCCGCTTGCGCTGGATGATGCCGGCTCGGATCTGGGACATTTTCGGGATCAGGGAGGGGGACTCGACCATGTACGCCATTAGGTCGGCGGGGTCACCCCCCACGGGGAAGAACTCGAGGCTGTTGGATGAGGATTTTGGCGATGATGATAGGACAAAGGAGGAGAATTGAGGGTGCGTCGCGACTCTTACGCGATGGCCCGATTTCATGAGGGCGGCGGCAAGGGCTAGGAAGGGTTGGACGTCGCCTCGGGAGCCGACTACTTGGATTACGATGTTGAGGGGCATTGGCCATTGCTTCTTCGGCGAGTATTCGGGAGGTGTCTGGGATTCGGCATGTGCCGAAGATGAGGGCTCGTCTGGAGCTGTCACTTGTTGGATATGACATTCTCCAGGACCAAAGCTGACAGGATGAGCTTACCTTCGAGATACAGATCCTCGAGTCCAAAGACGGAAGCCTTTGATACTCTCGAAGAGTCAAAATTTTCCCCATCTTGATTGCCCATGGTGATTATTTTTTTAAGGAGGGTATTAGAGTGTTGGTCGAACAGGAAGAGGCCCTGGCTTCGCTCGATGGAGGGGACATGGTCTATACTTAAGCATGTGGTGACATGCTAGCCCACAGGGGGGGCCGCGTCAGTTACCGCCCGGTCCTGGACGCAAGTGGGCCGTCCTATACAAGCTGAAAGTTGTCACAGATACGAAATATGTGGCTGGGTTTAGTCTGTAGTGTTCGGGGTGTCCGTGGAGTCAGGTTGGCCATACCCTGCCAGACTGAACGCCGGGCGTCTTGTCAGTCTCGTCTGGTTGAGCGGGTTTCCTCTTCGGGAACTCCGACTACGATGTTTTCGAAAAAGTAGATCTTCGCAGAAAAACACGAAAACTTTGATTGTGATGATTTTTTGAAGAAAAAAGTGTGAAAATTTTGATTATGACTGTATGGAATCCAGATTTGCCCCTATTCGCAAACCCGTGATCCCCCTCCAATCCAGTAGATGGACCAACCGCTGTCTGAACGCCATCTCTATACCGTAACTTCCAAAACGCAATTAAAATCATAAAGACGAATTCTATCAGGTCTAGGATTCTCTGTTCGGAAGATGCTCCAAATCAATCTTGTTCTCCCTCTCCGTCGTCCTCGTCAATTTCCGAGAGACGCAACACCAAGCACATCCGTGAATGGCGTTGAAGACGTACAGCACCATGATAACACCCGCAATCCAAGCCCCAGCCGCAAGCCTTGTTTTTACATCTCCGGTGACCTTGGCCCCATCTTCGCCGCCAATGACTATCGCGGAGGAGACGCCGCAGAGCGCGGCCCAGAGGACGGCGAGAATGAAGTCCCATACACACCACACGGCGTGTGTGACCGTCGCGAGACAGTGGTAGGCACACGTCAACACCGAAAGGACCGCAGGAACGAGGGCGAAGATCCAGTTTGTTCGGCTGACGGCCATCGAGTGGTCCCAGGAGGCAAGGGAAGCGCCGTAGAGACCGATGATGACTACCGCGAGGACGAACTGAAGGATTCGAAGTGCGGCTCGGACGGCTAGTCCAAAGGGCCCTGAGAGGTCCCAGTAATTTCTGATTGTGGCCTTTGTTTTTGCCAGGTTTGGTGGCTGCTGGGTGGTGTTTGTTGTGTCCATGGTGGAGAGGTAGGAGTTGGATAAGGGGGAAGTGTGGGAGATTAGGAGTTTTGAGGATTGGTTCTCGGGATAAGGACTGAACCACCGTATATCTTTGTTATTGAAGGACTTGAGTATGAAGGGAGGGGAGAATGGAAGAGCAAAAAAAAAATTGATTCTGAATGGTAGAAGACGTGTAAGTCGTCCTTGGAAGGCCGCGATTCATGTCACCTCGGACCAATCAAATAATTTACGTATTTAATACGAAAAATCGCATTTCTGATACGAATTCGTCTCCACCGCCCCTGTTTAGCCTCCAGCGCTTAGGTTCCCACTTCTCCAGTATTCTCGTTCACGGTAACGAAAAACCCAGGATCGCCGTTCGTAATCTTCCTCAGACTAGGCGTTGTAGAGTTCGGCAGATGTCAAATGAAGTGGATCATCGACCGGCATGTTGGTGTGGCTTAGTGGTGGCTTTCTACTGGGGCTCGATAGATGCTGACGTTGTTGCCGAACGGACCCCGATCGGTTCACTGCCAGAGTCAGAGGCCAAGACGGCTATGGAACCAACATCAAGCTCGCCATATCATTATATCCTTGAAGACATGACGTCGCGGGGTGCCCAGTATGGCAAGGCTTCGTTATGTAGCTACCAAGCGAGATAGACCAAGTGGCCTACTTGGAGTCACATCCTCGATATCCCCTCGTCAGTCTCCGCCGCCGCCGCCGCCGCCGCCGCCACCGTTGCCGGCATAGCCTCGTGGAGCCTCTTTAGAGCTTGTTTCTTCAGCAAAGATTGAGTTACGGGAAAGCTCTACAGCCCAGGGTTGTTGAGCCTCACTATCAAACGAAAAAAGGGGCGTCGGAAGTAAGTACGAAAAATCGTATACGATGATGCTCGATCTTGGTATAAGATACCACCGTCTAGGAGCCATCTTGAACTACATTGAGATAGTCCACGCTCCTCCCTACCATCGACGCTTCCAGTATGGCACGCACTACTGCACTTTCGTTATTTGCCCTCCTTTCCGCCGTCGGCGGCGTTTCTGCGCAGCAATCCTGCAAACTCACTCCCTTCGACGCAGCTTGGCCGTCTGATGCGGACTGGTCTGCCTTGAACACCACTATTGGAGGCACGCTTATCGGTACCAAGCCCATCGCTTCGTCTTGCTATCCTGGCAACTCGTTTCATTCTCCCCAGTCCTGCGACGAGGTCAAGAAAGGATGGGGATACTCTGACTACCACGCCTCCCTCCCCGAGTCCATCGACTACCCCTTGTACGCAAACAACTCATGCCTGCCTCCAGGCGCGACTGGATACTCTGCGTCCAAAGGCTGCGAAATTGGCGGTTTGCCGCAGTATGTCGTCAACGCAACCACTGAAGAGCAGGTTGCTACTGCCATGAGCTGGGCCAGCAAACGCAACATTCGCATCGTGGTCAAGGGAACAGGGCACGATCTCAACGGACGGTACGAGCCAAAGTTTGCCTTGATAGTTCTCCCGCTGACAGTTTTGACAGATCCTCCGGTGCCTATGCCCTGTCGATCTGGACCCCCAACTTCAACAAGCTCGAATTCGCACCTGAATGGAGATCTCCGGGCGACAATAGTACAGAGGTTGCAATGATCGTCGGAAGTGGAAATAACTGGGGCGCTGCCACCCGCGGTGCGGCCAAGTTCGGCAAGGTTCTCGTCGGAGGCACTGTTGAATCTGTCGGCACCGGAGGGCAGATCCAAGGAGGTGGCCACGGCCCTCTTTCGAGCACGTTCGGTCTAGCGGCAGACCAGATTCTGCAAGCCCGTGTCATTACGACGGAGGGACAGATCCTTGTAGCCAATGATGCGCAAAACCAGGACCTCCTATGGGCTATCCGCGGCGGCGGAGGAGGCCAGTACGGCGTCGTCACGGAGTACGTCCTCAAGGCGCATGATAACCCTGGCAATGTTGTCTCTCTTGGTATCGAGCTGTCCACGGAGAGGAACGACACTGAAGCCAAGGAGGCGACGTGGCGCAGTCTTGCGACTCTCCTCGCTAGCGTACCTGATCTCATGGACGCGGGTTTGACGGGAACGGCCATGTTCAACAGGGAGGCTTCGGCTACCTCTGCAAACGCGACACGCAAAGTCTCTGGTTCTCTTGGGTTTTTCGCATACAACACCACAACCGAGAAAATGGTTTCGCTGCTCGAACCCGTCAGAGCCCGCATGCTCGCCGCAGGTGGAGGCAATGGCACCGTTTCTGTTCAGCTTGGCAAACCGTCCACGCAACCTGATTTCATGAGTTTGTTCGAAGGCGTCAACGCGTCGCCTAGCGCAGCTGGTCAGTATAGTCTCATGACCAGCCGCCTTTTGGGTCGCAAGCAGCTCTGCGATATCCCCGTGTCGACTTTGGCATCTTACCTCAAGAAGATCCTAGCCTCTCAGGACCCAGCAGGCGGCGGCTTTGCGGTCATTGGCCTTCAGGGCGGAATCGGTCCTCGAAGTGTCCCGGAGAAGATGCGTGGTGCGGTCAATCCAGTGTGGCGGTCAACCTACATCCACATGATGAGTTATGTAGCGACGTTGGATACGACTATTGCACCAAAGGAGGCACTTGCCAGTGCAGCCGAATGGCTAGAGGAGACGAAAGAGTCCGTGTGGCGTGAATGGGCGCCAGGCTCAGGCTCTTATATGAACGAGGCCAACGCCTTCAACAGCAACTTCAAGGAGGACTTTTACGGAGAGAACTATGCCCGTTTGCTCGAGATCAAGCGCAAGTATGATCCGACTGAGAGCCTGTTCGTCCTTTCAGGCGTTGGAAGTGATGCCTGGGAGTATGACCTCAACAGTGGCAAGCTTTGCAAGACGGCCTGAAGGTTCTGCGAGGGTGCAGCTGTTGAGCAAGCGCCCCTAATGGTATCTTGATTGACCAAGATAAAAGGGTTGGATAGAAAGATAGTGTCGCTTTAGTATTAATCAATCCCTGGTCCTCCCGCTGTGCCTTTCGTGTCGCCTCTCTTCGTCTTTTTGTCCATCATCGTCCGGTCTCCTCGAAGTTGAGTGTCTATCACGTCGATCATGATCTCCCCGATGCCTATCTTCGTGACTCCTATCTCTTCGGTGTCTTGCGTCTTCATCTCTCCTGTCTTCGCGGCGGCTACTTCGCCTCGACTCTCGCCGATGGTCATCATCGTGATCTCTTCCGTCCCGTCGGGATCTGAAATGGCGTTCGTCGACATCTTGGTGGTCTCTCTCGCTTCGACTCCTTCTTTCGCGGTCCCTGTCTCTGTTGCGGCGCTCTGAATCTCTCCTGTGTTCTCTCTTTCGTCTTTCGTGCTTCTCATTGCGTTTTTCATCATTGCGTAGTTGCTCTAGCTCTTTTTGGCGTTCCAATTCGAACTTTTGTCTTTCCTTCTTGACTTCTCGCACCTTAGCGGCGCCTCTTTTCATCATTGCAAGTGGGTCACTAGCAACAATTCGCAATGCTTCACGCTCCTTCCGCCTGGGGTCCTCGTTGCCCCAAACATCCTTGCTCGGGGGTTCCAGCTCAGCAAGATCTGCTCTTGATGCTGAGTTCGCATACCAGGGACCGACAATGCCGTCTTTGCCGGCAGCATTGGAAAAACGCATGGTGAACTGATCTTCATACTCCTTTTTCTTCTTGGCGGTCTCTTTTTCGGCCTCCTCGTTCTTGAGGTGGCGCCCCTGCTTCCGGTCCTCGCCGAACAGGTCGATGTGGCCGGTACTGTCAACAATAGGCGCAGAACTAGTGGACTTACGCAGCGTGTCGTTGGACGCTTGTACGATTTCCGAGCGCTCTTTTGCGATACGCAACTCAAAATCGGTGTCGTCTTCGCCGGCGCGCTTGCGCTTCTTCCGCTCCCTCCCGTACGGGGCGGCATCGCGATCCCGAGACCTGGGCTCCACATCTTCGGGCTCTTCTAGGGGGAGTGGCGGCGGCTTCTCGCCGCGAAGAATGGCTAGCCGACGTTCGGCATCGACTTCCTGCATGCGCTGCTCCTCGGCCTCCTCCTTGGCCTTTGCGGCGGCCTCATCACGGCGGACGCGCGCAACGTTGTCTGCGTTGTAGACATTCCAAGATTTTTTCCCCAGCAAATGGCTGACTGAGATTAGTTGATATTTTGTCAGTGATTGACAAGATGAACTTACAGAGGCATGGCTTCAGTATTCTACTGTAGTGAATGAGATGGTGGTACCTTACGACCATAGAAATGGCTGAGGGATGCTATCAAATGGATTAGTAGATGGTGATACGTACAGGTGCCATCCTGCCTTAACACTCGTCAGTATTAGTCAGAGAGTCCCGACCACACTAGGCACAAAGCAAGTGCTGTGGTGGGGTTACCTACTACAGGTACCTAAAGCAGGCACTATGATCTACTACGTATAGTGCGTTATGCAGCTGCCGCAGATGCCTGCCCCACTTCCCACACTGACTTCCGGCTTCCGTCAGCTCATCCGTCATCGCTGAAGACACCTGCGCGTTCTCTATACTCAAGGCCTATGAGGATACTTTTCACCACAAAGTTACATAGTAAGGCAGCAACAATAATCAACTTGGTATTTATAAGCATGCTGAGTTACTATTTCGATAAATAACCATAGACAGCCACTTCAAGGGGAAAACAACTTCGGGCGGTGTCGAAACCGGTCAGTTGAAACAGATTGAACACAGTTACAAACCAATGACTGGATCCACATAAGCATCCAGAACCCTTCCATGCCATTCGCCGACTTCAGGGTAAGGTAAGGCCAGCTCAACGTGCCCTTACCGAAGCAGGCTTAGCGCATCCCCCCAGGCCAGGGACCTGAGGCGAAGACGCAGCCGCGCAGCCCCTCCAACGTTGACCATCTACTTAACCTCCCCTCATCATTCCTTCCCGAACATTGCTTTACTTCTCCAAAGCATTATTCCTTCTGGCCCCGTGCCATTTGACTCTTAGACTGCCGTTGTCTTTGTTTTCTCCGTTCTTCTTTCTTTTCACAGCGTATCCGCCTCGAATACACGCCATCTGACATCACCGGCACCACCGCCATGTTCTCCGTCAGGAAAGCGTCCGACCAGCTGGTCTTTGGCAACCGGTAAGTAACCTCCCAGTGATTTTTTACTGCTTGTACGCATCTAACTCTCCGAGTACAGCGCTGGTGTCAGCTACCAGGATTTCGCTCCTCGCAAGGAGTCCTCCGACATCGACATCGTCGTCCGCGTTCGCGATCCCATCCGCAAATCAGTCGCAGAATATGTCGTGCGAGCATCCCCTTCCCCGGATATTCCTCAGGGCAGCGTCTGCCTCTCGAACCACCAAAGACAGTGGTTGAAGATCGCCCTCACAGATCGCTTCGATGCCGAACCCTACAGTCCTTACCAGCAAGGAGTGAAGCCCCTGATGGCGATGGACCTTGAACTGTCATGGGCCTCGGCCAAGATCAACCCCAATTACACGTTCGACCACCAATACATCGAGCACCTGGTCTACGACAAGTTCCAGAACTTCGTCGTTGCTCCCGGCCAGCCCTTCCTTGCAGACATCGAATCCAACAAGGTGTTCTTGACCGTCAAGACCGTCACATTGCCTGGCCAAGGGAAAGCCGATGCTCCGATCCAGACATCTGACCCTCGTGCTCGGGGTGTCATCACCTCCAGCACACTTATGAGCCTTTTCAAGGACTCGAACTCTCCAATGAAACTGCAAGTCGCTGACCATCAGCAACACGCTGAACCAATTATCGCGCCCGACTTCAAGTTCGAAGACATGGGTATCGGTGGTCTTCACGACGAGTTCAACACCATTTTCCGCAGAGCTTTCGCTTCGCGTGTCTTCCCTCCAGCCCTGGTTCAGAAGCTAGGCATTCAGCACGTCAAGGGTATTCTGCTCTACGGTCCTCCAGGAACCGGAAAGACGCTTATTGCCAGACAAATTGGCAAGATGCTTAACGCCCGTGAGCCCAAGATCATTAACGGTCCTGAAGTCCTTAATAAGTTCGGTATGTTTTTTTTTTTTTTCTATTTTGACTACCTTGGATGTAACAATAGCTAACCGTATGCACAGTCGGTCAGTCCGAAGAGAACATTAGAAAGATGTTTGCAGACGCAGAGAAGGAGTACAAAGAGAAGGGCGATCAGAGTGGCTTGCACATTATTATCTTCGACGAGTTGGACGCTGTTTGCAAGCAGAGAGGTTCCGGCGCTGGAGGTGGCACTGGTGTTGGCGACAGCGTTGTTAACCAGCTTCTTACCAAGCTCGATGGTGTTGACCAACTCAACAACATTCTCCTCATTGGTATGACGAACAGAAAGGACATGATTGATGAGGCTCTTTTGCGCCCGGGTCGTCTGGAGGTTCAGCTGGAGATCAGCTTGCCAAACGAGGACGGACGAAAGGAAATTTTCATGATTCACACTGCCAAGATGCGTGACAACAACATCATGGACCGGAACGTGAACGTCGATGCTCTGGCAGCTCAGACCAAGAACTACTCTGGTGCCGAGATTTCCGGTGTAGTCAAGGCCGCGACATCGTTTGCCTTCAACCGTCACACCGAGGTGGGCAACAGCGCCAAGATGAAGTCTGATGTTGCGTCGATGAAGATCACCATGGAGGATTTTGAGAACGCGCTGAACGAAGTCAAGCCTGCTTATGGTGTTTCCGAGGATGAGCTTTCGAACGCTCTGGGAATGGGTATCCTTCACTTCAACGAGAACATTCCCGCCATTATCCGTACAATCAAGGGTTACATCGACACGGTCAACGAGTCGGACGTCCTCACCAGGATACCTATCCTTCTCCATGGACCTCCCGAATCCGGCAAAACTGCTTTGGCTGCCCACACTGCCTCGCTGTCAGACTTCCCCTTCGTCAAGCTGGTTTCCCCTCAGCATCTGACCGCCTACCGCGACGAGTTCGGCAAGAAGGATTACCTCACCAAGGTTTTCACCGATGCGTATAAGTCTGAGAAGAGTATTGTCATTCTGGACAACTTTGAGCAGTTGATCGAGTGGAACCCTATTGGACCCCGTTTCTCCAACACCGTTCTCGATAGACTTATCTCCCTTATCCAAACTCAGCCGCCAAAGGGCCGCCGTATTCTCGTCATGGTTACGACCTCGGAACGCTTCGTTCTTGGTAACCTTGGTGTTCTCAAGCACTTCCGTCGCCAGGTGCCGGTTCCTGCCATCTCCGACATTCGCGAGCTCGCCCAAGTATTGGGACAGACTCGCTCGTTCCACCCCGAAGACATCCAGCAGATTGTTACTGCAGTACGTAATGACACAAGATCAGACAAGGTTGGTCTGGGTATCAAGACCATTCTGGAGTCGATTGAGGAATCGAAGATTGAGGCGAAGTCGGCGGGCGGCAATCTGTTGGAAGGTCTTGCTGCAAGACTCGTCACAGCAATTTCCTCTACAGCATTGGATTCGCAATAGAAAGGGGGGTTTTTGTTAGGGTAGAATAGATGGCAAAAAAGGAGGCGAAAAAGACCTTCTTTTATAGCAATGTTATTTTGATTATGATGACAGACTAGGCGTTCAAACTACTGTTCATTGACTAGGACTTGTGAGGCACATGGAGGCAATATCCAGCCAGTACGAGGCCTACCTCTACCATGGTGGAAAATACACCAACTAACCACTTTGACTATCAGTCTTGGCTTCCTAGGGGTTGCCTAAAAGGTATGACAAGGAACCCAAGTTGGCTTACACACCATAGGTGATATCGCCGTGGTTTGTAGATCCATCCTCAGATGGGTTGTGGATTCGTCGGCCAGGTACCTGCACCTATAACTCCTTGCTCCAGAACCTTTGACCTGTAACGATGTGAGGTTTATCTTGTTCGGACACGGTCTGAGAGGCAAGGGCCGCGAAAGAAGTCGCGAAGTCTTGGAAGTCATGGCTCCTGGTGAGCGCTGCTTTGGTAGTTGAGAAAATGTACGTCACGGGTGAACAAGCACAGTATATGTGGATGTGCAAACTTTTCATGAATCTTGGCCTCCTATAGCGACTGATGATGTTGGCTGCTTCGGCTGCTTCTGGCGCGCTGGCTGCGGCCGTGTCTTTGCTTGTTGGCTTGCGGGCAGTGTCCTTGGGCTTGAGTGTATTGGCGGCGGCTGTGACGTTTCCCAGATGAATGCCAACAGCGTTTCTAGCCTTTGAGGTCCCGTTGCGGCGATTGCGAGCCTGCTCACACAATAGGTCGATTGCTTCCTGGTGATCTTGTACGATTTTGACAAGGTCATGGAGAGCTATGAAGAACTTCTGGCCCTATTTGCCTTCGTCGAAGGCGATGATGAACAGGACGTGAACCGGGTCGATGTCCCACGCTTGTGCTATCTTGTTCAGCTTGCTTTTGATGTTGTTGATTATTGTGAAGACTAGAGTTGGCAGCGTCTGAATAAAGATGCGGACCAGATTAACATGCAGCAGCCGGCGGACGTCGCTTGGGTCTCGACACAAGGAGAAGATTCAGATGACTTGGCAATGTCTTTTTCGAGCGCCTTCAATCGATCGCAGAACTGATCACAACTGCGTTTGGACCTGTGAAGCAAATGTCGAGTCGCGAGGAGAGATCTAGCTCTATGTCCTTGTCGTCGTCATCGTCGTTGGAGTCATTAGAGGCGGTGGAATCGGTGTTATCGATGCCGCCTGGCAAATAGGTCTTTGCTCCCGAGGCTTGACAAGAATGTAGCAATATGGTTTACATGAACATAACTCTGTCTTCCAAACTGAAGCTCTAGTTCCCGCTGTGTGAATGTTGGGAACCTGCGTCAAATTAACATTATATTTAGTAGACAATATTATGACACTTATGATTAAAAAAGCAATTGGGTCTGGAGAACGTGTCTGGTGATGAATCACACACGCTCCCAGTTACAAGGTGAAAAGACGGCGTAGCGCAATATCGAATTAACTTTGTCACTTCATTCAGTCTTGCGATGATGATTTCTCATACATAAACAGTGGGATATACATGGGTCGAAATATTTCTGAAGTAGTATCCTCTTTTCAAGTAGCCCATGTTAAAGGAGATGTAGGTTTTATACCTAATTATTGTTCTTATTCTCATGTTTTTCTTTTTCCGGTAGTATACCGAAATGTGTAGTATCAAACCCAAGAACTTCTTCGTCATTACCTCATTCCTTGTGCTGAAGAGTTAACATCTATTCTGGACGAATGACAATTCAGAATATTAATAGTGCCTGACACACGTTGAAGTGGTCCAGCTGAAACACGTTTTCCAGCCAAGGAGAGTAAATGCAGCAAAGACCAACGCCTGTTGACAACCGAGTCCGACTTGAACCTGTAATTAGCCCTTCGGCCTGCGAGGAGTGAATTGACACCATATTGACTATAAATTACGCTCTCGAATACGTTACCTTGGGTTCTTTGTACAACCCATGTCTCTTGCGAAAAAACAACATTAAGAACATTTGACTTGGTGATCAAGTGCGTCACACCCTGACATCTAATAACCATAATTGAACATTATTAAACCAGCACGAGAAACCAAGTTAGAGATTCAGTTCACTTTTCACCGGAAACTTGTTTCCTCGAGGGAATTACCACGCTGCCTTGCATTAAACAGTGTCACACACCGGCTAACTAAATCTACGACGGTAGCAGTATCTACAGATACAAAGGCAATATCCCATTGGCACCAAATCACTGACTATCATCGCAAGGCGTCACTTTCAAAGTATACCGTCGTCACCTTCATAAACCTAAACGTGATTGGATAGATAATTGAGGCTCCATCTCGCATCCGAACGCCTCGGCAAGTGAAAAGATTCATTCCCAAAGAAAACGGTCAAGATCGGCGGCGCCCCATCTTTCGTATTAACCAAAAAAAGGCTTTTCACGCCTCAATTGGCAGGTCCCCATCACCAGTGCGTCCAGACCCGCAACAATCAGTACGGAGTAGCGTGACATCTGATAACAAGACACACACAGAAGCGGTGAGCTTGGGGAGAAGCGTACGTGGTAAAGACAGAGTAAGAGAGAGGGGGGACAGAAGGAAAAAGATGTGCGAGGCGCGGCTAATCCGCCTCACAACTAGAAACGCAACCTTGATCGAACGTTGGATTCCACTGGAACGCAGAAGCGCGCCCCGCTGTTTTGGTCGCTTTGACATGGCAAAATGGCAGACAACACATGTAATATGTGGGTGACTGGCGACCCAGGTGGAGCGGTTCTGGTGAGCATACCTGCAATTATCTGGGTTGCATATGTGATGCCGGCAATGAGCAGGCCGTTGAGACAAGGCGGGTCAAAGCGCGGGTATACGGCGTATAGGGAGGATGATGATAATGATGCTGCCGCCGTTATCGCTTGAACGATTGGCCGGTTCTCGTATGTGATAGAGAGATTGCTCAAATGCCAACGCCGGCCGGGTCTCGAGTAAACCTCGCCCTCCCATGGTCTTAGTAAAGCGACCTGCCGCCTGATATAGGTGTCAACCCACACGAATCCCGTCACTTGATTTAGCTCTTGACAGCGGCCGGGGGGGCTCGTACTAGGCACAAAAGCAAGCCCTCTGTAAATACCTACCCTCAATCAATCCCACGGCGGCAGATTGACGCCTATCCATGCATCTTTTCTCGGCTCGCGTGGTCGCCAAGGCCTCCGTTGTGTTCGGCTGCCGTCTCTGCGGTACTTATGCAAGTTGCCATCCACTGCAACCGGGGGCCCAGCGCAAAAACAAGACCTGCCCGCACCACGCCTATATGTCCTTGCTTAAAGCTGCTGTTACTGTCGCCATGCTGGTGGACCGCCAGGCCATGTTCCGCTTCATATAAGATCTGGAGAATCAAGATAAGGGAAAGACGGTGTGATGAGAATCAGCACATCGCTTCCCACGTGTGTGAATACCCCGCGGCTGGCTGACTGACGCCTCTTGGTTATCTCCACTCTCTCTTATCACAAAAGGCGGGTGATGCGTCTACTGCAACCAGTCAGCAGGACATTTACTAGAATACCATCCTGGTGTGGCGAGTGGACGGTAAGTCAAGTTGCCGAAAGAGTGGCACCGCCGCGCTTGTTGTTACCTGACGTGCGACGGCGGACGGAATAACCCGTTTGCGAACTGATCCACGCTTGACAAGTTTTTTTCATTTGTTTTTCTCTCTCTCTCTCTTTGTTTTGTTTACGACGGGGAGGCGGCGCGCTGACCATCTCTGTACACGTGTGCCCAAAAGGCGTACCGGTGCTGGGATCATTTGGTGGAGGGATTTGTGAAGAGAAGGTTTCTGGCATTGCTGCCCCTTGCTGACAGGCCTCGTAGACGAGACGAGTGACCACCATTCACAGGCGAGCGAGCCCCAGGGTATATCCAGGTAACCGGGATGGGCGGAGTCTCGAGGTTGCTGAAGTCCAGATGACAGGACGACATTTGACGGCTCAGCTGGCCAATGCTTTTTTTTTCTCTCTTTTGATTTCCGGACGCTTGACGAACAAGCATTAGTGGGCACTGAGCAATCTGCGGCCTCAGAAAGCGTGCTGCGCCGCTGGCCGCTTCCTCGATGAACCCAACACCGATGATGTTGGTATCTCCCAGCGCCAGATGCTCGCCGGAGGATCATAATATGGGGTGACACTCGTTTGCGACCTGCAGATCGAAAGCATGCTGATGGTAAATTCCTCAGGACTGAGGGGTAATATGTGACAGTTTTATGACATGGGAGCTTTTCGCTACCGCATAGTACGATGATGATGCCAAAACGGTAGAGAAGCGAGGAGCAGGATGGTGCCAGGCGCCCGGAAAAGAGACATTGGTCAATGCCGAGGCCGTTCGGGCTGGGGGTGAGTCTTTCACCCCCTGGAGGGACGACATGCGATTTGTTTGCTCCAGACGACCATCCCTCCCCTGTTCATCTGTTCTTACCTCTGCGGAAATGATCAATTACTCTGTAAGTTCACAGAAAGTGCTGTTGGATGCACAGCTGGTTGTGACGGATTCCCTGGCCTGGCAACGAAGTCCGCGGTGTTGGAGGCCGCGGAAGCCCGGATCTCCAGGGCCGTGATGAGGCTGCAAACTGAGATGTGACAGTCAGGGGATGACCAGGGCGATGGAGATTAGGGACGCTATCCGCTATCCTGGTAGAGGGGAGTGAGTCGTAGGTTAGAGGTGGTGAAGGATCCAGGTCGCTGTTGGTCCAGTTCAGACGGAAATCCAAAGCGACAATCCGTGTGTTGAAAGGATTGAATGCGGGTGCGAATGTGATGGCATACTGTACGTATGCAAGGCAGCGCCAATGTTCGAAGGATACGTTAAGGATCGCACCTGAAGAAAAAATGGCCAGCTGAGGCTTGTCGCAGCTCTTCTCCATCTGTTCATGGTGCTTGACTCGCGATAACCTCAGCTGGAAGGCATCCGGACCACTGATTTGGTTGCCACACCACAGGATCCATACTTACATGGAGAGGTCCCAACG